CACTCTTATATGCATACTTGTATATGTACATATATATGTATATGTACATACGTGCATATACATGTATGTACGAGTATATTGATTTGTGTGTATTTTTCTGGAATGTGCGAAAAACAGTAAAACTTGCATTTACTTTTCGTAATTAGTTAGCAGTGGCATAGCTAAAGGACAAATACATGCACAGATATGTACATATGTATAAACAGTGTGTGTGTGTTTGTGTGTGTGAGTGTGTAGGTAAGCGGTAGACCGCCGCCCGAAATAACAACAAAAACTACACACACGAACACACAACACACAGACGCTCTCACACAATCGGCAAGCAGGCAGGCAGGGTCTGGCCTGGTCTGATTCCAGATTCTGCTGCCAAGTCCTGCAATACATAAACAGCCGCATCTCGTATGTGCACACACACACACACACACACATGCAGGTACAGGAGCCGAGCATGCATGCCTGTGTGTGCGTGTGAGAGTCCAAAACTCACGTATCGCCCATAAATGTATATATGGCTATACGCGAGTATGTGTATATACGTGTGTGTGTACATATGTGTGTCTCTGTGTATGTATAGGGGTGAAACGAGTTCTGCGAGGGTAAACAACACGGACGTGGGCGTGGCCAAAAGTGCCGCATGTGTTGCAGGACTCAGAGAGTCAGTCCTCGACCGAGAGAGCGAGCGAGATAGCCGCACTAAATAAGTAAGTCCCGTGGATACGTGTGACGATTGTTTTGTGTCGCTTCGCCGTTGTGTTTAAGCGAACATTGAGGACAGCTAGTATTTCTATATGATTGCTTGATAGTGGGTTCGACGACGTCCCAAATAGCTCCCCAAATATACGCTCACATATACTATACTTACATATACATACTTGTATGTATGTAATATTCGCGGACTACTTATGCTCCAATATTCACATCTACTTACATTTTATCACAGCTTGCTTTTATTTTTCCAGCCGTCCTCCGCGCTTCTCACTTCAAGCAGCTACGCATTTCTTTATTCTCATAAAATGTCATCAGGAAATCCTGCCTTGATATGAATATCGAAAATATTTGACCATTCATTGGTATTTCAACATTTTTGGATATTTTTGATTTCAAATTAGCAATAATACATTGATTTTCGATATTTTCCGCAAAACCTCGAAGCTAGTTTTGTAAACTGTTATAAATATCTATTAAATTAAAATAAAACACTCAATCTATTATAACAAAATTGCTTTCTTGTCATGAGAAGAATACTTAAAGCCTTATACTCATGTTTCTATAAAATAAAATTACAGTTTAAGCTTTAAAGTTTTTTTGATTTAAAATATACCACCAATATTTCGAAAGAATCTATTTCAGATACAATGCATGAAAAACGATATATAATGACTCTGATATTATCAAAGAGGATAAATATTCTATCAAAATAAATTATAAATAAAAAAGTTGTTCGATGTTTAAGTATTTCAATATTTTATATACAACAAATGAAAAACTGTTATTTTGACTTGAAAGTGCCTTTAAGCTGTCCTCTTTTGTTGCTCGCATCGAGAAATTAATCAATGTTATTTTTTTTTGATTATATCAAAAATATTTGAATTTTTTACGTAATATTTTTAGAGATTCTTGATCAGCATGATCCCCCCTTGATGCAACGTTGTCCGTCTGTTTGTCAGTGTGTCTGTATGAGCGCAAGGATCTCAGAAAGCATAAGAGCTAGAATAACAAAAGTTAGTATCCACATTCTTCTAAGACCGAGGAAGTATTAGTTGAAGATTTCTTCTGATTCTGCATAACTTCCGTAATTCTTTGAGATTTTCTCAAATCCGACAGTCACATCATAGTTAGTGCTCATCTGCCCCCATGTTAAGTTTCATCAAGTTAGGTCAAGGTTTAGTTAGAGGGTTAGAAAGCTAATATCCATAAGTGTAATCTCTGCATAAGGTCTCTCAGGAGTTCTGTTGTTTCTCATATCTGTACTGCACATAAAGTTCTACTTGTAGTATTGAAATAGTTCATAAATGTTCAAATGTTTCTATAATTTTATATACATATCTGTATCTTATTAAATATACATATAAATATATATTATCTTATATATTTACTTGTATATTATTAAATCAATTTAGCTTCTTTTAAGCTAATTTGGATAATGTTTTCTTTTTAAGGATTGGATAAAGGATATACACGGGTTGGACCTGCGCAACTCTAGCTTTCCATTCTAACTTCTGCAAATCCAGTTACCTTGCAAAAGATTAAGTTGCAGGTGAAAATACGAAGGGCAACAAAATCTCCACGCGAGGACCTCTTTTCGTGGCTGTTAACTTCGCCCTGGATGCCATGGACCACAATGCTAGGCTCCCCTCCGTACGCTATATATACAAGTACAACAGATATGCCCACGTCCAGGGCAACCACAGAGCTGATAAGGATAACGGAGAGCGTTGCAACAATACGAATCCAGATTTGCAAGGCGATCCTTCGAATGTTCCAGTCGAAGCATGAACGCCAGCAAATGCGCGTGCGTCACATTTGCCACAGGATCACGGTCATGCCGTGTTTGCACATTTTGGAGCCTATCGTTTAAAAATCATAAAGCTATGGTTCGATGATCGGTTTTAGCAAAAGCTAGAAAATTGGCAAAGCTGCTATCACCAAAAAAAAGCTTTCCCTTTCCTGAAGATAAGAATGCTCTCTACGCCAAGAAAGGCAAGATTAACTAGTGACACCAACAAATTAAATCTCCAAGTAAATTGGTATATATTAAATTGAATATAATGTAAATAATCTGTATTCTGTATATTTACATAGATTTAGGTATTATCCTTAGATATGGACAACTTTTGTATTTAGAACACTTGTTTAAAAAATAATACACTTTTATAAAAGAATACAAAAACTTTTTGATTCTATGTAATAGATATTAATTATTATTAATTATTATAATTAGTTAAATCTGTAAATAAAAGAAAATAAAAATGCATAAAAATGAATTTGTAAAGAATTTTTTATTATTGATGATGGTGAGGGGGGTGAAGAGAGTGGTTATAAATAAACAAAATTCTGTTTCAACGATATCCAAATTGCTAAACTCCAAAATCTGAAGTACCAGGCGAACATAAACCAGCAGCAAGACGATTTTTTACTAAAATTTATGAATAAATTCGGCTGCCTAAAAGTATGCTACACTTTTTACATTTATTTTTGCCAAAAATTTGAGCTGCTTTCTGCTGAATTATGTTCGCCTGGTGCGTAGCAAAGATGCCAGCTTGCAAACTAAAGCCACAAGCAGCTGCGGTTTTTAAAACATTAATGAAATAAATAAATAGCCTGAAAATGCTAAACTCCAAAATCTGAAGTACCAGGCGAACATAAACCAGCAGCAAGATGATTTTTTACAAAAAATTTAATAATTAAATTATGCCCCTGTATGATATGCTACACTATCTAATTTTTCTGAAGCTGTAAAATATGCTACACTTTTTTAAATTTCAATCAAACCAGCAGCGACTTTTAAAAAATAGTACAATTTAAATCAAAAAATGCAACTTTCTAGCTCTTGCTGCTGATTTATGTTTTCCTGGGGCTAAAGAAATCAGATCCTATTTCCTGTAGCAAATAAATTAGAATCAAAACGGTTGTTATATTTTAAAAACTGTTGTTTTATTTGAAAACGGTATACAATATTTGCCTTAAAGTAAGTAAAAATGGAAGGGATGCAAGGTGTAACCTGTGGAAACCATAATTTAGCCAACCAGTTTTTGTATATAGTATACACAGCTCCTTTTATAAGAAGAAGAACAACAACAGGTTACCCAGCCGGTTCCTTGGAAAGCAGGATAGGTCCAAAGGAGTTGCTGAGCACATATGGGTGACTTCCGTAGAACTCAAAGGTCACAAAATGCAGGCATCGTTAGCAATGGACTTACAACTTAAGGATTAATCGTATTTACATAAAATTTCAGCATTATACCATTCAATAACTAGAAAACATAGACAGAAAAAAGTATATTAACAATATAGTAGTTGTTTATGCACATTGTACTTGTCCACTGGGCAAGCGCTAGCGCTAGCGCAATCGCCCACGCTCTACACCCTCTTCCCACACGATATCGCCACTGACTCAACGATCTTCATTGAAATACAAAAGACCTGCTCATCGCCACATACTCAGATGCCGGGTCATCTCCTGGCCAGAAACAAGCGCCAAAGCACCAATATGATCTACGCATTGTGCAGGAAACTATGTCGTGGCGTCTTCTTGCAGGACCAGCTCTTCGAGCAGCTCAACAGCTACTAGTACTTCGGCGGAGACAGAGTCAACAAAATGAGTTGGCTCCTAACCAGCAAAAAACTCTCACTGCAGTACTCTCACTGAATATACAAGTCCTGCATTGCTCCTTTCTGTAGCTGTTCTTTAAATGTTAATTGAAATGGTATTAGCCAATTTAAATTGTAGTGTTTTCGTTTTGCTTACCACATCTGACTATGAAGAGTACACATACCATACATATCCTCGGCTTCCCAATTGTGAACTGATTCACGAACCATATCGTTGAGTCAGTACTCAGCTAAATTTCGTAAGGGTTTGAAACTTTGCTAGATTTGTTGAAATTGCTTTTTTCATGAGCTCCAAAAATATTAATACATTTTACATAGTATTTTATGCAGCTGATTTTTCACTACTCAAATGGAATTTATCAAAACGGCACTGTGATATGCATAAGAGCAAAAAAAAAACTAAAACAAAATATGTAGCCACTTAAAATTTAAATCGAATTTCGAGTAACGTTTTCACAGATAACGAAAAAAGCTGTTTGATACAAAACGTGGATCTCTATTGCGCATGTCAAAGCTGATTGGTTCGATATGAGAACCATAAAAGCTCAGTGGAGCTGAGCCGGTTATAGCCAGCAAGTGAATCAGTTCCGCGCTCGCACGATAATCGTAAACAAACACAGCCTTATAGATAAATAAAAATGTATATATTACATATAACTATAAAATTATGAAGATGTAATACGCACGTAATCTAAACGCACGCGCATATTGTGGCACAAATTGGCAATATTTAATTAATTAAATATTTATGAATATAAAGCTGAATCGTTTATTCAGCATTTTTCGTGCTAGAGCTGGAAAAATATAATCTGCATACAAATTGTTAAAGAAAAGAACGCAAAACGAGTTTGGTAGCGGCAAGAGAACACTTTGAGGGCCACAGCTACAGTTAAGAACGTGGCACAACAGGAGGGCGCGGGCAAGGGTTGGGAAGATAACAAGAACGACGCCAAGGTAGTTAACGAGTTGACAAGGGAGCCCCTCCGCCCCGCATTCGCCTGATCCTACAACAACGTTGCGTGGCAGAAATGACTTGCAGCAGCAAATAAGAATAAACGAGAACGAAAACAGACTAAACAGGTTCTGGTTCAGCGGCTCAGTGGGGGCACCAGCCACTAAGCAGGGGGGGAGGAGCAGACGAGTGTGTGCCCCAACCTGTGCACTATGCAAAGCAGTTGACGCGACTGCTGAACTGCAACGGCAACTCAGAAGGTAAACCAAGACTTCGGTTGATGATCAGAAAAATGATGTGGTGGTCAGTGCTGCTGCTCCTGCTGCTCACACAGGATAATGCGCATGCTCGGAGTAGCAGTAGCAGCAGTTCCGCTCCAGAGATCACAAATTTCCCTCAATGTGAGCCCATCCGAATCGAGATGTGCCGCGGTATTGGCTACAATGAGACCTCAATGCCTAATCTGGTGGGCCATGAGCTGCAAACGGATGTGGAGTATACATTGCAAACGTTTGCGCCCCTCATCGAATACGACTGCAGCTCCCAGCTGAAGTTGTTTTTGTGCACCGCCTATGTGCCCATGTGCACACCCAAGGCACCGGTCCACGCCATCGGACCATGTCGTAGTCTCTGCGAGTCTGTGCGCAAACTTTGCCATCCCGTGCTGCAGGGCTTCGGGTTTCCATGGCCACCGGCGCTGGACTGTGATCGGTTTCCCAAGGAGAATAATCACGAGACCATGTGCATGGAGGGATCTGGTGAAACTCACTCGGCAGTGCCGGAGCACGAGTTATATGGGCCGCATATGGGCATTGGTGGACCCAACGGCAAGTTGCCCAATCATATAGGCACGCTGGACTGCTCAGGACTGGCCAAGTCGCATTTGTATGTGCGCTTACATCGCTCCGATCGCTGTGCGCCGCTCTGTGAGGCGGACATCCTGTTCACGCCCAGTGAGAAGCATTTATCCGAGATATGGGTATCCACGTGGGCCTATGCAGCGCTGGGTTTGGCCTGCGTAGCCACTCTCTGTCTGGTTTTATGCGACGAAAGCAATTCGTGCGCCAAATGGTCGCGTCTATTGTCACCGCTGGTCTGGAGCCATGACATGGTCACCATTGGATGGACCGTGCGCTTCATAGTCGGACGAACAGGCACTGCCTGTGGTAGCGATCCGCAGGTGCCAAATGAGTCGCTGCTCACCGTTGACGGACTCTCGAATGCCGCCTGTGTGAGCGTCTTTCTGCTTCGCTACTACTTCGGCATGGCTGCCTGCGCCTGGTAAGCTGCAATATTAGGAAAATTAAGGACATCATTTAATATTAATTATGGCTTCATAGGTGGGCCATACTCTGCCTGGGCTGGCACCGTGAGATACGCCGCAGCAGTCCCGACAACAAGGGGCATATGGCTCTGGCTGGCAACTATGCACACTCCCAGGCGGGTGGAGGTCTGGCTGGCAAGCGACATGTGAAGAGCGCTCAGCAGGAATTGACGCGCAACAATTTCGTCTGCTTTGTGGCGTGGGGCTTGCCGGCCTTCCAAACGGCTGCCGTCATTGTGGCGCGTCTGGTAGATGCTGATGAATTGCTGGGTAAGCTTCCCAACAGCAGCAGAATTGCCATCGCAGTCACTCCTATTCTCTCTTTCCCTTTCTCTCTCTCTATCTCTCTCTCGCAGGAGCTTGCTTTGTGGGCAATCAGTCGGACAAGGCACTGCAGATTTTGGTGGCTACGCCCGTTTTCTGCTATTGGATCTTTGGATCAATGAATCTGATATCCGGCTATCTGGTACACTGCCGTAATAAGGAAATTATGCGCACCACCAACTCGCTTAGTCTACAACAGCAGCTGCAGATGAGCACCAACAATAGCTCCGGCATTGGCATATTTCTTTTCATTTATGGCGCTGCAACAGCTTTGCTGCTGCTCGGCGTTATTTATGAGTTCGCGAACATCGATGTGTGGTTGGCTGCCGGCGAGATCAGCACTCCGATGTGGCCCTTCCTTTTGCGGGCATTCATGGAGCTAATGCTGGGCATTTGCTGCTTTGCGTGGGTGCTGGGCCCCAGCATATCGACAATGTACAAGCGACAGGTTTCGACACGTCCAATCAAGGACTCGAGTGCTGCTGTGGAGCGTGCCTTGCACCAACACCATCATCACCTGCACCATCATCAGCCTCAGCCACACGATGCGCAGAGCAGCTCGCGCAGCTCCCATGCGGCCTGCAACAGCACTGTCGTCTCCTACCAGACAATGCGGCCGTCCCATCAGTCATTGGGTATGCCTCTACCCAGTCCTTATAAGCACAAGGGTGCTGGTTCGATTTCCCTAAATCAGATGTCCAACTATTCGCTGGGACGGAGCACGAATGCCACAGCCAGCAATCATCGCGGTGGCAACGCAGCCTCCTCGTCCCATCGTCTGTATTACCCACCCGGCGGATATGTCGCCCAAAAGCATGCCAACTACTATCCACAAATGACGAGATATGGCAACGAGACTCTATTGTGAGGCTAAAAGAGTCGAGGTCAGGTAACTAATCATTCATAACCAGTTCCAAGGGTCCCAAAAAGAGCAAACAATAGCGCATTATAGGCTGAATTGTGTTATTGAAATGGTAAAGCCACATAACAAATCCATGATAAATCGGACCAATTTGCTGAATTTTGTTTTAGAGAAATGTACATTCAGACTTTTTAGGTTTCCCATGAGCTCACCGTTAACAGAACAATAATATCCCTATATAGAGAAATGAACTGTACAATATAAAGATAGCTCAAATGTATTATTTACTATTAATCGTCCGCAGTTCATTGTCGCTGTTTAGTTAATGGTTCTTGCCAGCATTACTAAGTGTGTTTTTTCTTAACCCTATTTGAACCAAATTTAGGCAGTTTTCGTATAATCCGACAAATATTAAAGTCCTAGATAATAGCGCAGGAAAAGAATGAGGATAATAAAAATTAACAGAGAACTGACTTTGTATTTAAAATATTAATAAGTACATATCTTGAACGGATAAACTAAATATTTACTATAGACTTGTCTTCAGATAGGCTTTTTGGCCCCCTGTACATACAGACAACTTAACAAACAAAAAACATCAATAACAATTGATGGTTTAAAGCAGCTATGTTCTATAAAATACACCTTACCTTATTCTATCGAGAATATAGTTCAATGGTTCTCCAATTTCAACTAAAGTCCACTGCACACTGAGGTTCTGCTTTCCAACTTTCAAATACCATCAATTAACTCCAATACCCACTATGATACTGCTCTTCCACCTTTGAAATATGATCGGAATAAGAAACATATATAAATAGCTTTTCAATTTTGATTAAATCTAATACCCTCTCTTTATGCAGATAATCGGAACGAGACTAACTAAAATTACATAGCTGAACATTTTTCGAGTACTCTTTTTTTCTATTTTCTCACGTCTGACCTCTTCTGATTTATTTGGAGTGTTAAGATTGCATTGCCTTCATATATAGTATTTAGCTCAATTGAACAATATATTTTTGAATAAGGCTCAACAGCTTTTCTACTTCCTCTTCAGTTACGTGAACTTGAATTCAAATTCTTTTCCAGCGATAAATTGATAATCAATTATGAAAGTTTCAAAAAGATTATCAGGTCTGTTTCCGTTTTCGATTTCGTTCAAATTTATTCAAAGCGATTCAAAATTGTACAATATGAAATGTTTTTTGCACAAGTTTTAAGACCAAATTGTATGCCTCAGATTAATTTGATAGTTACTAAAAAAAAAATATGACCGAATTCTGAAACGGAACAGACCACTAGACGCTAGAAACTCTTTTTTTACGTGCCTAATTACAATTTAATAACGGAATTGAATAATTTTTATACGCATTTCTTGAACTATATACTTGTAGTTTTTAAATAAGTAATCGATATAAATATTGCTCCATTGAGAAATTACCTTCAAAAAAGATTTACAAATTTAAGAGTATTGCGTGCGTTTTGCTTTTAAGCATACATCAGTGTAGGTTAATGTATGCTTTTACATAATACTTGTTTGTACTTAATTAAAATTCCCACTCTAAATTGCAATAATTTCGCCCCAAAACTGCTGCCGGCTACCAAAGTACAATAATGTCATTGCTTGCCCCAAACGAGTTTTTACTTCTTTTTTTTTTTTTAGTATATAAACTATTTTGATAAACGCAGCGACAAATACTGTGATACGTGTCCATGTTCAAAAAAAAAAAGAAACCAACAAATGAGAGCACTATTTGTAAACAGTTCCGCTCTGAAAACCCCAACAAGTGTACTTAATGAAATCGCAATTGTATTCAATGTGCCATTAGCTTAAGAACTTACAAAACTTCCAGTACTTATTAATCCTAGAGTATGTGTACGTGTGTATCATTAATACATAACATATCCGGACATTGACATTGGCATGGGGTAGTACGAAGGAATATGAGGGTGGGTGGCTTCGTCGTTATACTACCACTTACAGTGTTGCCAGTTCTAGAGCGCTAACAAACGTTAGAAATAGCTAAAAGAGTTATAATCCTGGTAAAAATTTAACTGTTCCGATACACTATTTGAATCCAATATCTTCACACAATTATCTTGTAATTTCAATGACTGCTACATTATATTGTCTAATAGTCATGATATTGTCTAATCGGGTCGGTCTTGCTGGGTCATCAGTGTTTTCTTACCATGTTTCTTAGTTCTTAATATTAAAACAGAAAATTTATAAATGTAAACGACAAATCCTTCACACAAAAACACGTTCCTAATTTCTTTACTATTGTATGAAGAAGAGATAAATTTACCTAAATTTGAGGCAAATCGAACTCAATAATTTTGATCAAATTCGAGAAAGGGAATAGACCTGAATATTACTTACTATAAATAATATATAAAAAGTTCAGCCCAAACTACTTTTTATTCTACGAACCTTCCATTACTTCGCAAAAATAATTAATTCCGATAGGCGCATTTTAACAATTCCTTCTTTCGCAAATGCCATTCGAAAACTGGCGGGAAAATCGCTAAATTGGCAACACTGCCTACTTCTGATGCCCATGTCCGGTCAAATACATACTATAAGTATATATATATGTGGGTGTACCTAACAAAAGAGTTGTACGTGAGTAAATAATACGATAACAGTGGAAATCAGAGTCGTATGTGTGTATATGTATTTTGTATTTTTAACTTATTTATAGTGAATAAATTTTCGAAAAGTTTGTATTTTTTGTAATACATACAAATATATATGTAAAAAAAGTCTCAAGACGTTTCGATTCACCTGATGAGCATTTACATGGACTTCTAAACAATAGTAATAATACGTATGTATGTAAGTATAAGTTCATACCTAATTTATGTATGTATGTACTCGTATATGGGTTGTTGATTGCTTTCCACTTGCCGGCCGGCCTGGTGTGGTGTGGTCGGGCGGTTCGGTCGATTAGCTCGCATTGCCGGCCTTGCTTATTGCCTACTAGGGGGTCGGGTCAGGCCGAGGCCTTCCTCGCGACTGCGTGCCGGTTCACAAACCACAATGGGGGCCTCATTACGGTCAGTGCTGTGAATGTTGTTGTTGCCAACACGGCCACCGCCTCTCCCTGTTTGCCAATTATCAAGGTCCTCGTCGGTCTCATTGGCATCGCCGTGTTCTTTGGCTCGTTTATAATGATCCAACTCGCTGGCGTATTTCGAGTTTGTTATGCCCAGGAAGGAGGCTAAGCCACCACCCACATAATCGATGCCGGCCAATATGTTGTTCCCCATCCTGCAGGCCTTGTAACGCAAGCGTGGCCCGAGCGGTAACTCACGCTGCAAATATGAGTCACGGTCATTAGCAGGCCATTGCCATTTAGTGTGCATGCAATATGTATATACATATGTAGCTGTATACTATACATATCTAGTACGTACCTCGTCGATATGTACATTATAGCTTTTGTCGGGTACATCAGCCTCCGGTTCGCTATCGCTGGACTCCTCCATGGTGCCGTCGCTGCAGTAAAGAACTCGCCGGTTGGATTGCAATTCAAGGGCGGATATATTGTCGGTTTCGCCATTGCGCTGATCCCCATTAAGTGCAGCAGCCATGGTTGCAAGTTTAAATTTGAATTTCGAATAGTCGAGTATTTAAAATAACGCCACACAACAAACTGTCGCAACAAACAAACAACGCGAATTAAATGCGAATGCCCGTCCAAGCTGAGAAATTTCGACGAGTTGAGCGCGTGGTCTTGAATTGCTAAACGCCTTAATATTAATGTCGTTTCACCATATACGATGGGCTGCCTAACTTGCTGTTGGGCGTTGTTGTCCTTGGATTGGGGGCCGGCGCCTCATTCTGCATTACTCACATTGCCGTTGCATTTCGTATTAACAAACAACAAGCGCAGAGTTGCAAAAAATCATCTATCGATGGCACGATGAAGCAGTGTTATCGCTTCTCTTCCACACTGTGTGTGTTACATTCGATAACACGAATAACTATGTGGCCCTCTGTGTGCAAATATTCATTTTGATTTATTACGAATTGTGGAAATTATGGAGACGCCAATATTAAATACGGCTGGTAAGGGTAAGTTGGCATCCGGAAATTCATTTTTCCTCCTATCGAAGCAATGTGTGACTTGGGAACTCCTTAGATTTCCAGGTTGCTGGCGTATCGCGCAGCGGACGCGTTCGGAAGAAGTCGTCCAAACTGTTGGATTTTGAATCGCCAGAGGAAATCGAAAAGAAAACAAAGCGACAAGTGCGTCAACCCCCCCGTTATCATGGTCGCGGCAGGCCGCCAAATGCTTTACGAGAACGGGAACATGAGCCAAATTTTGAGGAACCTGTCTCGGAAACGGAATCACAGTCACCTATGCCAGGCGATGTGCGTGGTATCCTGATGAATTCCGATGATGAGTTAGACACACTTGTCCAGGACTTGGTCGATGGCGTCGAGGCGGAGGCCACCAACCAGTCGAGGGTTCGTCAAAGCCTATATATGCGCGAGAAGACAAACAAACGCAAAATCTTAAAAGATGGCAAACTCGTTACGGGCAAAATGCAGAGGAAAGACAAAGGCAAGTCACGGTACACAGCATATAGTCTATGGGCACGGGACGTGCGAAAACGGGACTTTCAGGATTTGGGTAAGTACAGTCAGTCCAATGCCATCGAGTTGATTCCCAATTAAAATCCAAAATCTATTTGTCTTCAGACTTTGCCAATGCTGCGCGCCGTTTGAGCGAACTCTGGGCGAACGTATCCAATAAAGACAAGAACGCCTGGCGACGAAAAGCCAAAATTCAGGCGACAAAGGCTCGATCTCGTGAAAAGGCTACACCACCGGGAAATGCAAACAACGCAGCCCCAGTAATACCCAGCAATGGCAATGTCCCGGACTCGCTATTCATGAATCGGGCCACAACGAGCCGCACCAAGAAACTGGCAGCCGAGCGTCGGCAGCCACCTGACACCAACGACAGCACCAACAGTAAGCCACCGAACAGTAGACGCAACACCACGAATCGTGGAAGGGCCAACGCCGCTGCTGTTGGCGGCGGCCAACCTTACACATCTGCAGGTGGCAGCAAACAAGGAACGAGTATATCAACAGGCATGGAGGTGGACATTGCTACAACGGCCAAAGGCACTCATGTATCCAGCATAGAGGCTATTGATGCGGCGGCGCATTTGAAGCTGCTTGGCGAGAGTTTGACGGTGATTGGGGAGCGTCTGAAGGAGCATAACGGCCATGTTGCGCTCTCGGGCAGCCTATCCGTGCTGCTTGACAGCCTGCTCTGCTCCATGGGACCCTTACTCTGCATGACCACACAAATACCCGGCCTAGAGAATAAGACACAGCTGTGCAAAAATCTGGCGACAACCCTCGATAATATTGCCTATGTAATGCCTGGACTGTAATGACGGGCGAAAGTTCAACGACTTTCACAAAGCAAAACGAAATGAGAAGAAGATGCTTGGCAGCTCCGAGGCTTCAATGCTCCGACGCTCTGTTGTGGAGGCAGCCAGCCAATCCTTTCATACCCAAGCAGGATGTGAATATGAATGTATTTAGTGAATGGATGATGCAAATGGAAGCCTCCTAGCAGTGCAAATAATGTGCAAGGGGATTGTATTTTGCGGCCAATTCTCATGATGGTGTTGCGCTTGTTATTTCCCCCCTTCTGTATAAAGCAAAATTAGAACTCATTGTACAATTATAAATAAGTGATAAGCCCTATCTATATGCATACCCAATACACAAATAAGGTATACAATTTTAATTGCATTTTCATTCCGTACAGCATGTTCAGACAGGCGAACAATTTGCATGAAAATTTCGCCAATCTGTTTAAATTATTTATTTATTTATCGACACTGATGCCGATGTAACAAAGACTTTAAAAAGAAAACTAATGAACTAAAATTATAAAAATACAATTTTTAATAACTATTGCAAATCGTCTTACAAATATGTCATGAAGTTGTTACTGTAATAATTATACCAACAAAAATTTGTCTGCTACAGCAAATCCGTTCATGATTTACTTTTCATGGCATAATACGATATTTGGTAGGATTTGTGCGCAAATGATTTGTCTACGTTGGTTGTTTTTTGTGCATATTATGATCTACATATCGTGAGGCGAAGAGAGTACTAAAAGAGCGTCAAATAAATGCAAACATTTATGTATTTTCTGTATGACTTGCATGTGTATATCGATGCACTATCAAAGGGAAAGTTATCGATACATGGGATGCAAAGCACTTCTTTATCGACTCTGCACTTTCCGTCGGCGTTGAATTCGCGCAAGATTTTGAGTGTTTTTTTTGGAACAGTCAGTCGTAGCTGCGGCAGTACAAACCAAAAAAGAGCATACGCAAGCACAATGGGACCGGAATCGGCGAAAAAACGGAAGTCCTCATATATACTGCTGCCCTGCGGTTGGGGATCATGTCAGGAATCATTTGAGAACGAGTTGAAATTGAACGACCACCTAACCGAGCATATTAATGGGTTGCCTCAGAGAAAGTGGGACGTGGACGAGGAGGATGACTCCAAGCTGATTTGCATCTGGAGAGGATGCGACTTTAAAACAGTCTGCGACGAAGAAATTGCACGCCATATCTACTACCATGGATATTACTCGAATCTGCTGTTGCGTGGCAAATGGGAGTGCGAAATGAGTCCTGAAATCCCCACCTGCTGTGCGCCGGCACGCAACGGTGAGAAACTACCGGAGCTGAATGGCAATTTCCATTGCGGCTGGACGGACTGCAATCGATCGTTTGTGTCGGTTGTGGAGTTTCAGGACCATATCGAGCAGCACGCGTCATTCGAGTACGAGATTCAGAAGTCGCCCGACGACCAACGCCCCAAGACGCAATGCAACTGGAGCATGTGCCACAAGAAGCTGGACAATAAATATCGGCTCATCGAGCACATCAGCACACATTCAAATAAAAAGCAAATGGCCTGCTATCATTGTGGCGAGCTCTTTCGTACCAAGACAACGCTCTTCGACCACCTGCGGCGCCAGCCGGACAACAACAGTGAGTACCATCCACACATACAAATCATGTCTGTTCTATGAGTCCTGTCTTATCGCGTGTCTCTTTCTAGCACACAAATATCAATGCGGCCAGTGCTTCAAATTCTTTGCCACGGAGAAGCTGCTACGCAGCCATGTCCTGCGCCACGTGAACTGCCACAAGTGCACGATGTGCGACATGACCTGCAGCTCCTCCAGTGCCCTTACCACCCACATACGCTATCGGCATCTGAAGGACAAGCCTTTCAAGTGCGGCCTCTGCGACACTCGCTGCGTACGCCAATCGGATCTCGCCAAGCACGAGCAGATCGTGCATGCCAAGACTGGACACAATTGCGTTCAGCCCGGCTGCCAATATTCCGTACGCACCTACAACCAGATGCGTCGCGTAAGTTTCGAATCTCTTTGTGTCATACTCGAGCCATTTTACTCATTATCTTATGCTTTACTTGTGCAGCACATTCTTGAGGTGCATGGCCAGAATCCAATTTTCTACGCCTGTCACTGTTGTGAGCGGTACTTTAAGGTTGGAAAATCACTTTCCATGCACCTGATCAGCAAGCACGGCTTCCAACTGCCCTCGGGACACAAACGCTTCACCTATCGCATCGACGACAAGGGCTTCTATCGTCTGGAGACCATGCGCATCGAGAGTCTGGAGGTAACGCAACAGATTCTCGCACCTCAGCTCAAGCCACCAGATGAGATTGACGCCCAGCCACCTATGGGCAGTTGTTATGAGATCGTCAATCCAACCAACGTTGAGCACGAGCGTGTGATTGTCTCAAATGATGCCAATGAGGCGGAGTATTTGGGCGAGGTAGTCATCTCACTGCCCAGCCTGGAGGAAGAAGAATAACTCAGGAATAGGTCCCATTATTACATGAATCCATTAAGGATTCATCATGCGACATACTAAGGCTGTTGAAGGTGCTATTATGCGCCAAAGTACATACTAATAGTTTTAGTCATGACTTTTAAATGAGAGTTAGAAAATTTAAGTCCGTCTGCTTTCACAACCGCCTTACAGTGCCATAGATACTTTTATTTAATAATTAATTTACCGCCTAGCAGCATTTGCTCGTACATATGTAGGCATGTATATTTTGATTTAAATGACGTGGGTTTGTTTTACGAGCCATTAACTCCAATCTCTAACTAGCCTGTCTGTGATTTCCATCTGCTAGTTGAGAAGAAACCGCCCGAATCAGTTTTGAATATGTTTTTATGTAGAGTATTAAGTATAAATATGTGTATCGTCCTTTGTCCAGGTATCCATCGAGTTTATTTTCGTAGCCTCGCATTTAACGTACTGTACATTTTAACCCATTACTGTTACGTTCATTTCAACCCATTCATCCAACTGTTAGTGTTTAAGCTTGAACCAAAATCACAACTGTGTTTCCAAAAGATCGATCGTTCTTTAAAGGCAAATTAAAATTGTAACAGTACATAAGAAAAACCTAGTAAATAAGACAAAAATTGTATAAATACTGAAGGAATTTCAGAAATAAATTAGAATGAAATTTGAAATTTAAGCATTGGTTTGTTTCCTTTTTGTTCTCCCAGAGATGCGTTTACACAGAAGTTAAGTGTAGCCTCTGGTAGTAAATAGTTTCTAGCTGTATAGCAAGGAACTATTTACAAAAACATTTCCATCATCATTGATATGCTATGCCCTGTAAATACTACAAACATTTTAATAAATATTTGAAAATATACAATTCGTAATGAAGTGTTTTAATAAGAGGTTTAAAACAATTACTTAGATGGAACGATGCCGATATTGACGTTGGATAGAACCAAAGCTCCTACTCAAATCATATCCATTTGTACTTCACTTAAATTCAAATTAAGTGGCATGGAAAAGATCGGTTTGCAATGTATTTCTCATGGACAAAAAAAAACACACATTTCTGTGAATCTAGTTTCCCAATGAAGTAACCCGAAATTTTGTGAAGGTTATGTTTTACAATCCGCATATGTACATATAACTTCAATAAAGTTATAACTAGTTTCGTAAATGAATTCACTGGCACGTGCTTTTCTAAAGAGGTTCATTGTTTTAGCTCCAATTAGTGGCAATAAATGGCGATGTGGAAATTGTACATAAATGAGCAGCTGTAGCTTTTTTAATATAGAGTTTTTCCTGTTCCTCTATCCTTCCAATAAATGGGTCAGTTGCATTCTCCTGCCGTATGACTAATCATCCGCACTCAAGCCAAATAACATGGAAACATAACCGTTTCCTTTCTAATGAAATGGCATTAACATCAAACCATTTCGATTTGCAAAAAAAAAAGGGCACGCACTTACATATACAACAAAAAATAATGCACTATATAGTTGTAGGTAAATTTTAAGTTTCTTTTAATTCGGGTAGAATTGAATTTCATTTTTCAGTTAACACTTCTTGCGAGTGGTGCTCAAAAAAAAATCGCGCCAGCGGAATACGGATACACACATTAAAGAATAACAAACATGCGCCGGCTATGCTTTTGTTGTTGTTCATGCCGTTGCTGCTGTAGTTGTTCTTGTTTACTTGGCGTGGGTCTGAGCCTTCCTGAGCTGGGTGAGAATGTTGGACAGCTCCTCACGCTTCCTCTTGGCACGGATGTGTGTGCCCAAACGGCGCTTCAGGAATTTCAAGGCGCGCTTATCCTTGGACACCTTCAGCAATTCCATGGTACGCTTCTCGTAGGGGGCATGGCCAACCACCTCACGCACCAAATCGCGCATGAACTTGGTGTGACGGGTTTGAATCTGTAATGAAAAATATTGATATGTATATAGACAGGCGTACTCAATGTAAACAAGTGCGGACACAATTGAGGCGCCGGCACAAACAGATTTAGCAATACTCACATTCTTCAAACGGGAACCACGTAGTCCCTTGACTTTCTTGACGCCAGTGTATTTCACATTCTTGACTTTTGTAGTCTTATGGCCTCGGTTGAGACCAACGCACAGCTCGTAACGCACTGCCATCGTACCTGTCAACGGAAGAAAACAACAATAATTATATTAAACGATGTAAACACAATTTTGGATTAATATCAATGCACAATTTCCCGATATTATTACGGTATTTACTAGCTTCCAATGTCAACTCAGCGTTGTGAAGCGAAAAATTACATACGAATTTAAGATGTTTGCAATAATTGCGGAATTTTCTGTAGTCCGACCTACCTCAGTTGCTGCTAAAAGGTGGAAAGAGCGCTTTCAGGGCAGCCAAACAGGAAATAATATTGGACTGACACTTGAGCGGTGATGCCAGATCATTCGCAAATGAAGGGTCAGGTAAACTATACGATTGTGTACACTTCAAGTATGTTGCTGTTATTGTAGTTTCTTTTTAAAAATATAGCATCAGTTGCTTTTAGGTTTCTGAGGAGACAACATCGCGGTCGGGTATCAGTGTTCAAGTTTTTTCGTTTTTCTGCTAACGGGCAGTTCGTGGAATTTGAATTTATCAGCAACTTTTTTCGGTTTTAATGTGCTACAGCACATTACTTATTGATTTGCAACTTTTAAACTAATTAAAGGATTCGATTTCAACAGAAACGCAGCATTCGTGCAGAAACGTGCACTTCGAGGCTTTATGGCAGGCAGGAGTAAAGCTGGTCGTCCGATAGGACAAGTATGCACCACCGGGGCTTTTGGGACCACCAGTCGCCGCGCCAACCCTAACGAGGTGCCCAAAAAGGAAGAAGCACCATCAGTTCGCAGAACTAAAGAGGGAAAGAACGACGCGCCAGCCAAATGCGGCCCAACCAAAAGCGCGCCAAATACAAGTGTTGGTAAACAGGCAACTGCGGTAAATGACGTAAAAGTTGACAAGGACGGACTTTCATGTAAGTCGAAAAATTCCAAGATTTCTACCACTTCTGATGAAATAAATGCGGGAAGCAAAAGTGTGGTCGACAAGGAAATTGTGGTTGCCATGCAGTATGACGGGGACCACAAGGGTCCTTTTATTGTTTATGTGGACAAGGCTAGCGAAATGGGAGTACGCAAAGCGATTAACCAATTCGAGTTAATCGAGCTGCTCTCTTCGCTAAAAATCAGTGGCATAGAAGAAGTAAGCAGGATAGGGCATGGCAGGTGTAAGGTCACTTGTGTGTCGGCGCAAAGCGCCAATGACCTGGCCTCATTGGAAGCTCTCGCTGTTCACGGCTTCGAGGCCAACATTTTTAAGCATTTCACTAGAAAGGCTGGGATTATTTTTAACATTCCCACGTATATGTCAACCGACCACATGATGGAACTCCTGTCGGCGGACATTCCCATAATGCAGGTGGAGAGAATTTTCAAAAAATCAAGGGACACAGGGGACTTGGTCCCTACCTCCAGAGTAAAGATCTGGTTTAAGGGACACCAGGTGCCAAAAGAAATAAAATTTCTATATACAAAGGTGGCGGTACAACCGTTTATACACTTCAAACAATGCTTCCGTTGCTTACGTTTTGGCCATATGGCCAAGCACTGCAAGGGGAGTGCACGGTGCTATAAGTGCGGAAAAGAACATGAGAGAAAGGACATTTGCACTGATATTGCTTGTGCCAATTGCAAAGAAGGCCATATGGCAACATCACCCCATTGTGCAGCCAGACAAAAGGAATTCGCTATTCAAAAGTGTATGGCCTTGGAGAATATGTCCCGAGCAGAAATTAAGAAGACTCATCCGTCTCTCTTTAAGAGGACGGTGCCTGATCTAAGAGATCAGTCAGAATTCCCTTTTTTAAGAAGGCTAAATAATAGCTCAGGAAAGCGCGAGTACAGCAGCCACGAAGTGGCGAAGGAGGTGCATCCCATTGCACCATATGCCAGGGTAGCTAGGCTTCCAGGCAGAGCTCTCGGGGAAACATCCAAGCCCAAGCCGTCCAGATACGGCAATACAACTAGTCATAACTTGGCAGATACCGCTCACAGAGCGGAGGTGCTTGAAGTTGGTACCACCAAAGTGTCTTTAGCCCAAGAAAAACTTAATATAGTGGAAAAGAAAATATCTAACTTCATAACGGACCCAAATAGCGGAGCGGGCCCATCTCTACAGTTCTGGGAGGAAATCAGGGATCTCATAAATGCTGCTAATGCGGAGCTAGATGCAAATCAAATTTGCATCGCCTCGGCCTTGACAAGCACAGCAACAATATGAGAATCCTCCAATTCAACATCCAAAGCCTGACTTTCAACAACAACAAACAAATTCTTCACATGTTCCTCCTAAACAACAACATAGACATCGCCATTCTGTCGGAAATATGGGTGAAAGACAATTCAGAGTGTGGAATTCCTGACTTTAACTTTTATGGAAAGCCAAGGGAAGACGGATACGGTGGAGTAGGGATGTACATAAGAAGGGGAATCAAATTCAAAATCCTAAAGATTAAAAACGACATGGAATGTATGGGCATTCAGACCCTAAATCTAAAGAGAAATTTGTGCCTTTACGGTATCTATGCGGCCCCCTCATTATCAGTGTCTATCCTGAAAAAGGGGGCAAAAGAAATTTTCGAGTATGCGGCATCATTGAGCATTGCTTCACTAATATGTGGGGATTTTAATGCCAAATCCACAACATGGGGCAGCTCCAGTAGCGACGGCAAAGGACATGGCTTGGAACGGGCGGCAGCTAACTCGGGCTTTGTATGTATGAACGACAGCTCCCCTACGTTTTCTCGTTGCCCAGGTCAAAGCTCGGTGCTGGATCTGACTTTCTGCAATACGAGTAGTATTCAATATAGATGGCAGGCTCAAAGCAGCAAACTAACAAACAGCAACCATTTTCCAGTCTTAATAGACTTGGTCCAATTCTGCGCGAATACAAGTCACAAAAAGGTACTTCATAATAGGATTGCGAGAGTTTTCGCTAATAGTGACTTTTCAAACCTGGATTCACTCAATGGCAATGTTCGCCTTATCACAAAAACCAATACAATTACGGTATCAAGCAAAAACAAATATGTACCCAAGAGATGGTGGAACGAGGAAGTTGACAAGCTGTTTCGCCTTAGAAATGCCTGCAGGAAAAAGTTCTATTTCACCAAAAAGCTGGAAGATGCGGAGCTACTCATGGTAGCAGAAGCAAAGCTGCAAAACCAAATAAAAAACTGTCGCAGAGCTAATTTTAGGCAGTATATTGACGAAATGACGACAGCTCCCACACTGTGGAATGGAACAAGACATTTAAAACTTTATAAAAGAATGAAAAGGACAGCTAACACCTGGTCAAAAGCAGAGGACGAGGAGTTCCTTATGATAGTAAAGAACACGCCAACCACAACATTCAGTTGTCCACGTATGGCGACATCATTGGTCCAGGAAGGGGTCCCCATTTTGTTTAACTTTGAGGATTTTATGTCAGTGTTGAATGCGAGAAATCCAGATTCGGCATGTGGGCTCGATGGCATCTCGTATAGGATGCTGCAGACATTACCGAACCCTAAGAAGAATCAACTTTTTAATATGATAAACGACATTTGGCGGGCTGGAGTCTTCCCAGAATCCTGGAGACAGATCAGGCTGGTGCCGGTACCAAAAAAGGGCTCAAACTCTGACCTCGTTTGTAACCACAGACCAATCTGCCTGCTTAGTGTTCTGTTAAAAACAGTAGAGGGTCTAATCAAAATGAAATTCGACGAACATATTGCCAGTCGCGACCTGCTACCGGAAAGATCATATGCTTTCAGGAAAGGAAGATCGACAGCTCTATGCATAAACGATCTAATTAACAAGATCCAATACCTTAAGACTGAGGGTTTCCAAGTTGTGGCAGCATGTCTAGATCTAAAAAAGGCTTTTGACTGTGTGGATATTGAAACCTTAGACCACCAGCTTCGTGCCGTGGAGTTTGATCCACACCAGGTAAGGTGGATAACTGATTTCCTCCGACGCAGATATCTGGTAAAGGGGTCGAGCAAAGCTGAAATAAATAGAGGAGTTTGCCAAGGTAGCTGCTTAAGTCCCACTCTTTTCAACATTTACACAGCCAAGTTACACACCATAAACAATTCGAACTGTCTGCTTTTTCAATATGCAGATGATTTCTTTCTGATCTGTTTTCACAAGAAGTTTGATTTAGCCGTTTTAACGCTAAGTGAAAGAATAGAAAAATTTGAAAGAGAATGCAGCAGGCTCAACTTATCTTTTAATCCAGCCAAATCCAAAGTCATTCACTTCAGCTCACGCAGAAGACAACTAAATTTGGTAAGCCAAGGTTTCCACATTAAGGAAGTTGCACAAATCAGCTATTTAGGCAGGAACATAACAGCAAATAACTCGGCATGCACCCATATTAGTCAGGCTATCTCAGAGGCCAATAAATCATGTGCGTTCATCAGGCTCTTTAGCGGCTGTCAATACGGTGTCAGTCCTAGGCAAGGAATCTTGTTGCACAAGGCTTTCGTCAGGAGCAGGCTGGAATACGCGTGCTCCTCTTTTAGCAGCCTATCCAAGACAGCCCTAGCTAAGGTCAAAAGCCATACCAATATGCACCTGAGAAAAGCGTTAGGACTAATAAAATGTACCCCCATTCAAATCATCTACCACATGGCAGCAGAGATGCCACCGGATTTCAGGATTTTATTCCTCACAGCCAAAGAATTGGCAAAAGCATTTGCTTTCAATTTACCAGTCTGCGATTTGCTGTCATCCACCAGCACGATAAACACTAGTTATGCGAGGGTTTACAGGAGGTTTGCTAACATACTAGACCACATTGAAGAGATTCCTCTAATACCTCTCAAATGCGCAAAAATGAAAGGAGACACGGATTTTTTGAAGGGCTCAGCAAGAAACAAGCAGTCCATGGATAATTCAACCATGCGCCTGATTTTTAATGAGAAAGCCTCCAGTCTGAGAAGCAGAGGCTTTAAGCTATATTTTACCGACGGATCGGTCACCTCCAGCCACTCAAGCTCTGCTTTTTTGCAGGAAGAATCAGGGTTTGTAGATAGTTTCTATACAAACAAAATCCTCTCGTCTCTCTCCTCAGAGCTTATTGCAATTGAAAAGGCAGTTGATCATGCAATCTGGTTGAGAATTTCCCATGTGGCAATTTTAACGGACAGCCGAGGCAGCGTGCAAACACTAATAAATCATTCGCTTAACAATTCCATAGCAAACAACATTAAAAGAAAAATTAATAACTGTTCCAGTGTTTTAGCTGTAGAGTTACATTTCATACCGGGACATGTGGGTATTCCCCAAAATTCCGCGGTGGACACGGCAGCCAAAAGAGCAACAACAGACGGCACCTTCATGGTGCTAAAATGGAGCTTAAAGGATGCAGTGCGTACCATGTACAGTCTAATCCATGACGAATGGGAACTAGAGTACGCCAGATTCGTGGCAGAGAAAAACAGAGCATACTGCGCACTTTTTCCGACCACGCTTGGAAAACCGTGGTTCCAAAATAAGAGCTGCAATTTTAACGCAAACAATACAAAACTAATTAATAGACTGCTTAGTGGATACACATTCGATAAAGTCACTCTTTCAAAAATGCATGTTATCGACGATAACAAATGTAACAGCTGCGGCGTTCCCGATAGCGCATCACACATCATATTTGAATGTCCAAAACATAATACAAATCGACAACGCGTCCCATCGCTAACCAAATATAACAATCTGCACTCTTTCTTTAAGCATGAGGCGGTTCAAGAATATAACGCAATAGTAAACTTCATAAATGACACAAAAGTCAAACTGTAATTTCAAGCAACATCCTACATTTATCTAGTGTGGCAATTTCCACTTCACCAATAAGTGGGCGGCCAAATAATTCCACAATACCCAAGGGCATCGTGGTAACTTAAACCCAAAAAAAAAAAAAAAAAAAAAAAAAAAAAAAAAAAAAAAAAAAAAAATATAGCATGTTGGTAAATTAAGGATATGGAAAATAGTCAACCCAACTAGTTGCTTCTAAAAAGAAATGCCGGTAAAAAGCTTATAATGTTGGATTGAGACTGGGGCAGGCTTGTCAGATCAAACGTAAAGGCAAGGCAAACAACCTGATGATTCTTAAATTTCAAAATATATATCTTGTTTCAGATGCCTATATGAGATATTATTTTTGTTATATCTGCATTTCAAAGGCATTTAACTCCAACTCATCAGAGATTAATAGAAACTAATTTAATTAATTAGTATTTTAACAGATTTTTAGATTACTATCTGTACCTAACTTTATTTTATTCCTAATGATTTTATTGTAACAACAGTTAGCTAGTTCAACGCAAAACTTCAGTAATAATTAATTCGATAAAGCTTCATTAAAATATTATTCCCCTTGAAACCTGCCGATAACATTCTATAACTGTGTGGCAGTGATTACATGTAAGCGTTTGTAAAATTTGGCAGCACACTGGTGTTTTTCCATTGACACCTAAACTTTGTTATCGATAAGTCGGTAAATAATATACACCTCTCATAACGTGTGTGTTGCCATTCGATTGCTGTGTGAAGTTGACAGAAGTGTTACACATAAAATAACATTTTGGAAGTGTAATTTGTAAATTCCTTTGAATCACTTAGTCTATTTGTGGTTGATCAGCTAAATATCGTGTCTACAGGTGCCACGCGCCTTTTAAATTATTAATAAGTTCGTGTTGGCTGGGATGGCAACACTGTATTCGCCGGCCATGTTATGATATGCAAAGAAAAAGAAGACTACTACTTGCGTAGACACGTGTTTAATTTGTGCTGCTACACTCTTATAGAAAATTGTGTCAACATTAGCGGAAAAATAGTGGAAATTATATAAAATCGTAATTCAAGTGTGCACAAATCAAAAGCAATTCAAAAACAGTTAATTCTCCCAATCGTTCATAAAGGTAAGCGCTAAATTACTTACGCGGAACATAACCTACTACAAAGTGTTGCCAAAACAGTCGCATTCACCGTCAACGTCGCGTAGACGGCGACGTACAAGCGAAGCAACGAAAATGGTGTCATGTTGCGTTCCACGCAGTTTGTTATAGAGTGTTGCGTAGTAAATGGGCGAGAATTTTGTTGGTCATCCGTCCGATTTGTTATTCATTCATTTTGATTGCTGTTTTTTATTGAATGTTGTGTGGGACACAGCCCAAATTGTATGTGTGTGCGTGAGTGCTGATGGTCCTTAATGCAAAAAATGTGCAACCTAATCAATAGGTGGCAACACTTGGTTCGGCTATTGTTGTTGTGTTGCGCCGTCACATGCGGCGGCACCATTTACCGTAAGAAATGCCGCTCCTGCATTTGCAAATTGAGTGCCCTTATGAGATGCGGTGAAAAAAAAAACAATTTTACTGTTTTTAATTCTACGCCAGCTGTGGGTTTGTTGTCTATGTACAGATGTATATTTAATATGCACACGATGTATGTATTTGCTATTTATTACTCAGCTCCAAGATTTTATTTGCTTGTTAAACATTTGAGGGGATATGGTTATGGTTACACAATTGATATTGTGGATATATCATACAGATGCATATACTATATGCATTGACCCGCCGCAGTCAGCTCTACATAACCATGTATCGAAATTTGTGCCCATTTGTATGTGCATAAGACTGGCCGTGCCTGAGTCATAGCCATCACATATTCGTATACATATGTATGTAAATATATGAACATGTGTAGATACTTGTGGTTGTAAAATGATTTTCCACTCTTAACACATTAATAAAAACTATATATGAATGTATACTACATGTAGCCCTTTGTCACATTGGTGGGTTATTTTTTGAAGTGTCATTCGGTTTAAATGGTTTGGCAAACACTATTCCGAACTCCCGTGTCTATAAATCAATCGCACCACTAAATGGCCATTGATAAGAAACACATTAACAAATACAAATATTGTACGTTTAATTCAAATATGTTGGCAAACCCATTCCGAAACGAATAACAACATTGCCTTTTGATTATACAATAGAATGCCAACGGAGAATTTATTTCCCCTTTTCGCCGCCCTCGGCCAGCCATATGATTGAGACCACGCTGCCAAGATTATCACAATGTTTGGTTTTTGTTGGTGAGGGATAGTGAGGCGGGCAGAATGTTGCACCTGGCTGCTGGCTGGCAGGCAGGCTGGCATGTCTGTTGTTTTGGTGCGTGCGTGTGTATATAAATAGCGAGACAGAGAGCACGTCGAACATTTGGCCAAATGAGCGCATATTTCGGTCCGCTCTCCTGCTGCCTTGTCGCTCTCTCTCCCTGTCTTGTTGTGTTGTTGTTGTGTGTGATTAGAATGTCGCGAGATTGGTTTGATAACGAACCGCTTTGCGACTCGTTCGTTCGCCATGGTCGGGTTAAACTTTTCATGCTGGTTTTGTTTTATTGGCAATATGTACTATTTGGTGTTTTTGTTTTTTTTTTTATGGAAATTACCATTGTATGTGACGCGCCTGTTGAGTTTTTAAAGTTGACAAATATGCTGATGGGGGCCTTTTGGCTTAGCATTGAAAGTAGCAAACATGTTTGCCTAAACACTCACAGACGCCTATGCATATATGTGTTTTACATAATATACACACTAAATATTTGACGCAGGCTTTCACAATCATCCCCCCCCCCATTCTCCTCTAAAATTCAAGCAAATGCAAAACCGAACAAAGGCTTTTAATTGACACATTTTTGAAGTTTTTATTTTCATTTTTGTCGCTGATTTCGACCTTTTGTTGTGACGTTTGGCGCTTTTCTGATTAGCCTTATCACTGCCGCCCGTCCTGCTGATAATTGCCTTGAAACTTAGTTGTGTGTTGTTTAATGTGGACGAAAAGCACTCTTGTAATTGAAAATTGAAACAACAGCAAAACAATTTAAGACGCAACAGGTTTTTCAAGCACAGATGATAGCCTAAACAATTTTTTCATTGTTCGCCACATTGTTGGCCACAGCGCGTGCGTATCTATGTATGTATGTACCTACATATGTAGATATGTATGTAGAAATGTTTGTATTTATGTTGAATGTTTGGGCGTACGATACAAATAACAATGGTACTCTATAAGCAGCTTATGGCGAGAAATATCATGAAATTGCTGGACTAAAGTTCGTTACAATTGACACAAAATTGTTAACGGCCAACTCAAATTTGAGTTAATGCTAGATACCAATTATTGATCAGTAATAAGGCTGATGTATTATGACCCACATTAATGCGTACTTATGTGTGTATATACTATATGTACGTTTATTATTTCTTAGTAATTTTATGCAGTTTATCACCCAAGTAAATGCTAATTTTATTATTTTTTTGGAATTTAATATCAGCTATGCATACGGAAAAAACTTGAAAAACCCAAGCACCATTTATGAGTATATATAATCTTATGAATATCTATTACTTAAGTAACGTCTAGCCGACAAAATTAGTAGACGTGAACGTGCAGTTCGTTGGAAAGCAAAATAAAACGAGTATTTATGTTTCGGAATAAACAGAATTGTTTTCTTTTTCCAATATTCGACCCCACTAACCCCCTTCCCGATTCCGTTATACAAAATGAAATTGGACAAAAAAGCTGGCTCATGACTTGGGATATGTAATCTATTTAACATTTTTGGGGACCGATATTGGTTCTTGAACAGAGAAAATAATGTTCGGTCGTACTGGATGATCTGTCAAGGTTAACTAGAGTCGTCTTCTTCTGCAACTCACCATATTTTGGCATCCCACTGGGCTCTTCAATTCCACTCATTACACTTTATATTTGTGAGCTATCGCGACGGTATGACCCCAAAATAATCTCTACGCACGGAATGCACTGATATATGTATATGTTTGTATTCAGAATTAAACGCCTATTAAGCGAATTTACCACATTTCAAAAAATGTTTAACGCTTATATGTACATACTCCTACATATGCATACGAGTATATTGATTTTACATTCCACAGTGTTCCTTAACAATATATGTATGTAATATCAAACGTTTATAAAGTAATGTACTCTGCTTCCTACAAATACCCTCTCACTTTAAGCAGAGCTCTCACAATAAAGGTGATTGCAGAATGTGCCTTTTGTCACATTGATCGGATCAGTGCGGCCCAATAATTATTTTAGATGAAGATTTGTTTGACACAACATTTGTATAATAATGGACATTCTATTCGAAATGTTAAGCAAGGAAGCGAAGGTGAAAGGCAGAAAATCAATTCTATTAAATATTGTTATCTTGATTGTATTTACTCATTCACGATTGGTTATTTGTGTTTCCTCTGTGTAAGGAAAATTGATAAATCTATTACGCTGGCGATCCACCTTTAAAAATATTTTGACACAAAGCGATACCTATGTATGTATGTACATATGTAGATGGGCGCATGCGGGGCGTATACGTAATGATTCTTGGATGCGAGCAGACAAAGTGTTGTGTGGGTGGGTGGGTCGGTTGGTGTGAGATCGTGGGTGGGTGTTTGTTTGTGACAATCGACAGTAGGAAAACGAAGAGGCGCTAGAAGAAACGACCACAATACGAACATATAGACGAAGGCAAAGACGCAGACGCATCTCCTCGTATCTTCTCTGAAGTAGCACGCGCAGTCAGGAGCGTTCTACGATCTGCTTATGCTGCAGCATCTTGCCGCCCACACCTACAATGCTAGTTTCCTTTTGCATACCGAGGCGCTACCATCGAACGACGAGATACACGCACGAAACGAAGCCCCCAATCTTGTGGCTACTGACCGGCGCGCGTTTCAAATACGAACATATTTAGGCGTATACATATGAATATATTTTAAATGTGAATGATTACTTTTATCAACGGCTCGAAACGAAAACGAATTCCCCCTTCATTGATTATTCTACTTTTTCAATTGCAAAATATACAAATTATACATTTCTCCAAGTGCGCGTTTTCAGAATAAAAAAAAATTTCTTCTTCAGAGAGACTTCAATTTCGAGTCAAAAGTCAACTTATATCGGGCGCGCCTGAAGCATTTGTTTCACATAATCGAGTGAAAGGTGGGGAGCATGACGTCTGATTTCCATTCAAAATTTGTTGTGCCAACTGGATGTGCTGTGTTTGTCTCTAAATGTTAGTGTGTGTATGTATATATGTGTGTGCGTATGTGACTTGAATTCTTTGGATTTCTTTTTTGCCAACTCGGACTTTTTCTTTTTAGTAGCTGCTTGCGTTAATTATACTCTGTACATGAAATGTACAAGAGTATATTAGGTTTGCGGGAGCTGAAAAATGTAACAGGCAGAAGGAGGCGTGGCAGACCCCACAAAGTATATATATTCTTGATCAGCATGACGAGACGAGTCGATCTAGCCCTGTCTGTCTGTCTGTCCGTCTGTCCGTCTGTCCGTCCGTATGAACACCTGGATCTCAGAGACTATAAGAGATAGAGACACCAAATTTTGCACGAAGATGCGTTATGTGTGTATTCTATACGAGTTTGTTTTATTTTTTTGATTTTCCCCCCCACTTCCCCCCTATGGGGGTTTTCCCGATTTTCCATTCGTATAATCGCCTATATCTCGGAGACTATAAGACCTAGGAACACCAAATTTTAGTCCCAGATGCCTTATGTGAATACGCAGAAAATGTATATTTTGGAATTCCCCTCCCTCCCCCCTCTACCCCGCAAATCGTAACTCCCGTAATTCTTGGAATTTCGAACTAAAATTTTGGAAATACCCCCAGTTGGTTATTATGTGTCCGTATGCCAAATTTCATTATGATAGACCGATTTAACAAGAAGTTATAGCCATAAATATATTTGCTGATGCAGCGCTGCCCGCGGCTGTTGTTGATGTTGCTGTTTGGTTGACTGCGAAAATGCTTACACAGACACGAATAGATGCGCATAGGCATACATACACTCACACAGACGCAATTGCTATGTAAATGTGCAATTATACACCCTTTACGTGAGTTCGAATACCGAGAGAGGTAAAATCGATCAAAATTTTTTTTTATTTTCTTAATTTTTTTTATTTTCTATAATTATTGTAAACATATGTACAGAGTATTTCAATGTCGGGACACCCGACTTTAGCTTTTCTACTTGTTTTCATAATTCGTTTTGTAACGATTTCATAACATCATTGTCGCTCTAGTGTGTTTGTTGTTCTTATTGCGGTTCTTAATGCCAATGCCCAACAATAAAATGCTCATGCTTGCTGTTTTAAGCAGTTGGCCGTATTGTTCTTGTTAGCAACTCTCTCTCAGTCTCTCACTCACTCGCTCTCTCTCTCTTGGGGGCATCTCAACGACTCTTAACGAACCACAAGAAGTGTGGTACGCGTGCTTCCGTGTGCGTAAAGATGGGTCGGTACAGTTCGAACTGGTTCCAATGGGCGGGCCTTCAAAAGAAACAACTAAGCCGTGTTTTTGGGCTTAAGCCATAAATTCCCCAAATTGATGAATATCTCCATCAAGAGTAATGGGAAAGAATGCAGATTCCCACTGTTTGGTGGCACTCTTATTGATGCAAATAATTTGCATATCAATTTGTTGCATTTCGCAAGTACTATATACCATGAATAATGTCGATGTTAATGGTTATTAAATATAATTTTCTCCCCTACATCTAATTGCTGAGTTATATCCTTTTTAAAAAAAGAAAGAAAAAACTATTAGTACATTCTATGTACTAAACCAAGTCCGATCTTCGAAGTGAACTAGATTGTCTAATTGTAGTGTGCGTGAGTGGTTTGCGAGCGTTGACAACTCTTCTTCTTCACTCTTGGGTGGCACTCGCTCTCACCTCCGATGGGCGACCGCCGTTCGCTCTCTAATCGCTCGCTCACACTTTTGTTTTGGGTCCGCTGATCGGTGCGGTCTGCAGCGTGGCGTTCAATTTGCTTTGCACCTTATTTGCTCGTCGCCGCCGCCATTGCCATCGCCGACGTAGTCGTTCATGTGCTTTTTAATGCCAATTCGTACGTTTTCTTCTATAATTATGTATGTTTTTGTTGCTATAAATACGCACATATGTATATATGTATGTATGTACATACCTATTTATATAAACGAGAAATGTTGCCATGCGCGGTCTCGTGATAGCTGCTTTGAATATATGTTGACCTATCCTTCTTATTTCAAATGCCCGCCACCCCATCACCCCCCACAAAATCACAACTCTCTAACTCTGTGTGCTCGTATTTGCAGATTCTTCAATATTCAGCGAAAATGGTATCCGGTCGTCCTCTACTTTATCTGTCACTGCCTAGTGTAGCAGTTATACTTGGCTTGTTTTGGTTTCGGCGTAGAAATAAAAATCGCAATGATGATGAGGCGGCCACTGCCAAAATAGCCGGCAGCAGCGGCAGCAAGGAAGTTGAAGAGCCGGCCATACAGAAGTGCAAAACCAATGGAGTGCAACAGCAACAAAAACAACCACAACAGCAACAGAATGGCAAATTACCGACTGGACAGGCAAGCAAATCGATGAACATCAATGGCAATGTACCAAATGGCGATGGCAATGAGAGTCCCAATGCGATGTTATTTGGCAAGTCGGCACCGATTAAGATACAAAGCAATGGGCGCGCTTCATCGGGCAAACATCAGCAACAAATTGATTCGGAAATGCTTAAATCAAAGATACAAGATGCCGAAAACAAGATACTTTGCTCAATTGATGAGGACTTTGAGAATTTGTCATCGCCCAGAGATTTGCCCGATTCGGTTAACAATCGTATTTCGATACACAATCGTAAGGCAATAAGTAAGACCGAGGAACCGGTGGTTATCAAGGCGACACGCACACCCAAAATCTCTCCCGAGAACTCCTTCTTCGAGAGCATGTACACCAAGGAGTGTGAGCAGAACAATAATTGCGAGAACAGCAGCAGCAACATAAGCAATGGAAATGTGGATGACCCCAAAGTGAATTCCTCTGAGGAGACACAACAAACCGTAGAGAAGTCGCTTAAGTTCGAAAAACCCATGGAGGAAGAGTTACAACAACAACATATGATTGCCAACGCTGTAGAGCATGCTGTGGAGTCACAAACGGTTGTCAAAGACACAGACTCCGATGCCAATGGCAATCAGAAGCGCACTGTGGACTCGGCCAGTCCCTCACTGAGCATTTGCAGTGTACAGTCTGGAGATTCGGGTAAAGGATCCAGTCTCCCACGATCGGAGGCGACCCGTGCCAAGACCTCGTACGAGTTCTTCTTTCCCAACAGTCTGATCGGCCAGCTTTATGGACGCAAACGTGCGTTCATCAATAAAATCAAGGTTAAGACTTCGGCGAATGTGGTGCTCAGCAAGACTCGTTACTCAGGCAAGGTGCGCATCTGCACCATTGAGGGCACTGAGAATGAAATTGATGCTGCCTTGGAGTTAATACGCCAACGTTTGCCAGCCGGACGCTATCCAAATTTCACAATGCAAAGAATCCACTATGCGCTTCCTCAAACCATAGTTCCTCTGTCGCCAGAGAGCCTCATCAATATGCAAGTGAGTTAAAATCAAGAATCGCTGTTAATGGTATTACTAATATTAATAATTCCATCTTGGCATTTGCATTTGCCATTTTAGCTTAAACTGATCGAGGGCATCAATAATGATGTGGCTGTGACTACGGTGCTTTCGGGCTCGCACTTATTTGTGCACCACCCCCTGCATCCTTCACACCCAACGCTGCCCGTGCTACAGAAGAGCCTCTACGACAGCTACTTTAACATGGAAGCACCCGTGTTGCCGAGCATTGAGATCAGTGCCGTTTGTGTCATGCCCGTTAATGGGGTATGGTATCGCGTGCAAATCGTCGATATTGATTCTGAGGATGAGGAGCGCTGCGTCGTCAAATTCCTGGACTTCGGCGGCTATATGAACGTCAATTTCAGCGAGCTGCGACAAATCCGCACGGACTTTATGACAATTCCATTCCAGGCAACAGAATGTATATTGTCCAACATAGAGCCTGTCGGTAAGAAAGACCAAGAGAGAAAGAGAGAGAGAGGAGAGAGAGATAGCATCTTAATTCTGCATTTAATAACAATCTTTACACTCAACTGATGATTGCTAATTGTGTCCCGTTTTTATTGCAGACAAAACCTGGTCGGTCGAGGCGGCTGATATCCTCAATCAACTTACCAAAGGCATTGTCTTGCAAGCACAAGTCGCCGGCTACAATAGCCATAATATACCAGAAATATATTTATTTGCTACTTTAGGTCCAAATGTGAGTAATACCTACATATATAATCTGTAGACAGTTATAACTTATCAACCAACCAACAATACCAGAGTTTCATTAGTTTGAATTTTGTCACATCTCGTTCAGTATTTATAGAAAGTAAAGCTTATAGTTTTTAGTTTTAGCTTTCCTCTATTGAAAGATCTTTAGTTATAGATACAAGTACAAGTTCAGTTCTTTATTTTACATACCTACGTGAAGAAATTTAGCTTATTGGTTCATTTAAAATTATGTAATACAATATATAGATAGATAACTTTTGCTCATTTAAAGTAAATTTTTGAAGTAAAACTTCAATTTGGATTAGGAATTTTAGATTTTAGATAATTGATTGCAAATTTTCAATTAATACCTTTTGTTACAATTTTAAGTGAGCAGAAGAAAGGAGAGATTGTTCCGATCAGAAACTGATGAGCTCTAAGAATTGAAAGATCATTTGAATGCTCTAAAAAGTTTCGTAAATAGCAACTTTTACCACAAAATTTAATTCTAAAATATTTTACTACATACTTTCCACGCATATTTTTCAGAATGTCATATTTATCAATAAGGAGCTTGTCGCCAGAAATCTCGCACGATGGGTGGAGATGCGTGACTAACAGCATTCGTGAACAACAACTAGTAGCAAGTAAAACTAAATTTGTGGCAGCAAAACCAACAACAGCAACAACAACTGCAACACCCTAAACAAACCAACCAAAACAGCAACAATAAACTTGAGTCCTAAGGGGGTCGGTCAGAGGCCATTTTGCACATGAAAATATGACCGATTCGATCAATCTGATGATCACAAATGACCGGTCACAAAATTATGAAAGATTGTGGAATATGGCTGCGCTGAGAAAGCCAATAGTTACATGCATATATAGGTATATACATACACTTACTAACACTCATACGCATACACACACTCACGCCTACACTAACCCGCACATTTAGATTCATGCATACATATATAGACTATGTATCTGTATATATATTGTGTGTGTGGCCATAACAACAACAAATGCCAACAAAGAGATGTGAATTGCATGAGAATCGGCGATGGCTTTAAATCCAGATATAGGCTGCTAACTAACCAGCTGTAATTAGGCTTTGACTTTTACTCGGCAACTAAATTGATGGGTGACCTTTATTTTTTGTTTTGGTTTTGGTTGCACCCCCCCACCCAAGGTTGAGGAACCAACGAACCGCTTAAGATATTACCATACTCAGTTTATAAGTAGAGTTAGAAGTGTAAATAATTTCCTTTTATAAAATTAACGGGGTTATATAGCAACAGCACCAACTACAAAACCAACAAACTATAATTTTATCAAATAATTAACAAAGATAAACAAGAGTCAAAGCAAATGCATTGTTGTGCTACACACATAGCTAGCTCATGCATAATTACACACGCAAACACATCTACACACACCTACACACACCTACACCCACACACAGACAAAAGCAACATCAATTGTGAATTTTGAGAGATTGTTTCATATGTGTACATAAATATAGGCTTTTATATAAATGTATAAGTAACTATGCTATGCAAAATTTGTATTTCTTATTATATATATTGTGTCCTATTTTTTTGTTGTAAGTTTTTATTTCTCAAATGAATTCATTTCGTTTTTACTCAGACCATAAAAAGTACAAGCAAGTTTCTTTTGCACTTCAAATGTGCAAAGAAGCGAAAGAACAACAAACAAGATATAGAACCGGACAACAAAAACAAACTTCAATAACTACGACAACAAATAGAGCAGGCAAACACACAACAAATAACATAAAATTCATGAATTTATAAGTGTTCGAGTAAATATGTGGCATTTGTAATGCAGCGACTGATCAGCTAATTAATTACAGTTTATATAAATTACAAAATAGTTTCAGATACACATGTGTGTTGTGCCATCTTTAAAAACAATTGGAGAACGTAAAGTCGGATGTCCCGACTTTGAAATACTCTGTACATATATGTAGAATAATTATAGAAATGAAAAAAATTAGGAGCAGAGAGAACCCATACAGTAAAAACTCCCTTCGGCGGCCAAAAATTGGCTTACCGTGAGTGTCCGGCCAGGAGAGTTTTCACTGTATGGCTATAACTTCATCTGAAATCGGCCTATCATGATAAAACTTGGCATACGGGCTCATAATCACTAAATGGAAGTACACCTAATTCTGTTTTTACACGGCCGTCTTTACACGGTTTTGATTTTGGTGTCCCTAGGTCTCAAAATCTCCGAGATATAGGTGATTATACGAACGGAAAATCGGGAAAACCCCCATAGGGGGAAGTGGGGGGTGGGATTAAAAAAATTAACACAAACTTGCACAGCGTACACACATCAGGCATCTTTATGCAAAGTTTGGTGTCTCTAGCTCTTATAGTCTCTGAGATCCAGGTGTTCATACGGACGGGCGGTCGGACAGACAGACAGGGCTAGATCGATTCGTGTTGCCATGCTGATCAAGAATATATATATTTTGTGGGGTCTAATATAGTTTCGTATATTTCATGTACAGAGTATAAAAACTAAAACAATAATATCAATTGCACTCTTAGTCAGCGTTCAAGACCTTTCAACGAACATACCTTTTATATATGTGTGTATTGTCACAATTTCTCAGTTTCTCAATCGCTTGAAGTCGTCTAGCATTTCAAAACTAATTTACAGATTTACTCGGCATTTTGTGCAGCTGCCAATGCTCTATATATTCGTTAAACCACAACTCAAAGCTAACTACATAATAACAGACCATGTAAATACGTTAAAAGCAATTTTGAAAGGCAAATCATCTATGTATGCATATATAGAGTATATTAAATGATTTAATGTTAAGCAATATGATTACTACATTCATAGAAACAAAGGATGTATATGTAATTGGAACTGTACGATCGAAGCCGGTCTCTATAGTACTATAGTTAGTATGTTGTGTGTGCTAACAACTATAAAATGGGACAGAACAGACAATGAATGACAAATTAACTGACCGATCGGTGAACTATTCACTCATCATAAACACAAAACTACAATATATTATAACACAATTGTAAATGTATTTCAAATCGCAGCGAAATGTTAAGCAGCGTTTAAGCACTTTCCACCACTGTCTACTACTTATACTTATATGTGTGTGTCTTCTTTCAAATGTTCTTTCTAATCAAACTACAATGGTGGAACAAGTTTAGGTCGATTCTGTTGCACATGAATATAATGAAAAGCCACGCACCCAAAAAACTAGAAAAACAAAAACACAAACAAACAAAAGAAAAAAACAACAAAAAAAAAAAAACACAACTCATTAACAAATGAAATGAAAATGCAAAAACTATATGCTATATAGATATATGTGTGTATATTTATTTTTATTCAAATCTTAATTGACAATTTTTGCGAATGTCGACGTGAAAAGGCTAATATTTGATATATATATACGATATATGTATATGTTTAGTTAATTTAACGTACAAGTGATGAATATTGTTAACTTGGAGACTTGGCGTTTTTAGTTTGCTTCCTGACTATTATTTTTAATATCTAAAAAGGATTTTTTTCCTAAATTACAATTAAACTTAATATTATTTGTTTAATTATTGCCTCTACGTGTAATTAATTAATTAATGCTAGTTTAATTATATTCATTTCTATTATTGTTATTACATTACATTTAGTTTTAACACAATACCTTTAGCGACAACGCATAGAAAAGTCATTGCAACTATGCGGGGGAGGGGCAGCAGCAGCAACAACAACAACAACAAATAGGCAAAGTGCAAATTTGTGGAATTGTATTAATGTCGAATCAAAATCTACACAAAAGAAATAGAAATAGCAACAATTAACAATTGATTCGGCAGAGTCGGCACTCCAGCTGTTTGGTTTCTGATTTCTGTACTTTATTTTCTGTTTAAATTTTTTTTTTTAGCGATTTCAATGTACATTTTTCACTTGTACAATTGTTGATAATTGACTTACACACCAACACACACTGAGACACAGAGAGACACATACATTTTGATGTGCGATGTACTACGTGCTAAGGAAACATTATGCCTATAGTTATCTATATACATACATACATACATATACTATATATATATATATATATATAAATATTAATTCTTTTTTTTTGTATTTGTAGTAAAACAGAGACGATAAATAACTAAATTAAGATTTAATTTATAGACGCATTCAAGTGAAAATAATTTACAAATCCTAGTTCTTAACGATAAACATAAAATAAAGCAAATAAATGCATATAAATAAAACGATTGCAAGAAATCGACACTAATCCGCGCCGTTATTTCGTTCTTCTAAATCATCATATACATATGTATGTATATGCAATCATCATGTCATGATCGTGATATTCATTTTTGAAGACTTTAAGTGGCCAGACAACCACACGAATCGATAAATCAATCAAGTGCTACTAATTCAACCTCCAGTCCAAATAGCAGGCCTTATCTATTTAACAGCTCAATGAGGTGACATTTTCGTCATCAATTTGACAATCAATTGCTATTTGAATTGTCATCAAGTTTAAGATGTGTGATGGATTCATCCTCGATGGCAGTTTATCATCTATTCTATATACATCCGATTCATATTCCAGGTCTTATCTGACGCGGCATTTTCGTCATCAAACGCGCTTCAAGCTCTTCACAATCCGTTTCTGTTTGGGATATTTTATACGTTGAACAGTCCTAGAAGTTACTTCAAGCACCGATGGTACATAAATCAATGAAGTGAGACTGACGTGGCATTTCCGTCAACAAACGCGCTTCCAAGCTCTTCGCAATCATTCCCTGTTTGCGATTTTTTTCGGGGTAGTTTTTTAAATTCAGCATCGATGGCAATCATTATACTTGTATTATTAGACTTCAATCGTTTCGCTCAATCATTCATTTGGGGTTTCTGTAGAAAGTCGACAAATGACAATGACGACAGCATGTTTCCAATCTAAGGGGATTAATGCGTATTGATGGGGAGCGATATTTGGAGCATATAGAATTTCTTGGTCAGTGGGGCCCTATATTACATTTTACTGCCAGCTATTCCGATATACACGTACTTGGCTATATATAGGTATCGCCATGATTATCGCTGATTGAACGAGAGAAAAAAAGAACGCAAAATAAACAAAACTGGACAATCATCGCATGCAGGAAGTGTCTAGGCATTTTTATAGCATCTGGGTACAAATTTCGGTAAACTCTATCGAAACACAATTCAGCCGGTACAGTGGCCCTTAACTAAGCTCAACTCGTCGCTCTTCACTCACGCCCCACAAATGCCAATTGAAAAACGAATGGAGTAAGTAAAAATATCACCATCTTCTCTAGCAACATACGTACCAACTACAACTATATATATGTAAGTATGTAGTAAGTATCTTCTGGCAATAGCAATAGACCACTGTATCTGCACGTACTAATTCTTGGTATCTGCAATTGGCGTTTTATATTTGGAATTTGCAGACATAGTTTATGGCAATCAGTAATATTGTGATGATTGTAGGTTAGGGGATCATAAAACCGCTCCACCACTGTTCTAGGTCTACATATGTCAATAATGATCCTAATCGGTGGCGCTATTATTAAGCATTTTATGCGCAACCTACGGCCGCATATGTGTGTGGAGGTGTGTGCGAGAAATAACCCCAAGTTTTTACGAAACCCGCCTAAGTCACTGCCAATATCATTTGAACCGTATTACAGTGGGATAGAGGAACGTATTTGAAGATAGATTTCTGTTCGATCAGTACAAATCATTGAGCATACCCGAAGAGTTTAATTCAACTAAAAAACATACGTTGGGTACCAAATTATTCTGACATTTTACGCGTTACTTCTCAAACTGTTAAAAGTTTACAATATATACTCATTACAAAGTTTTCATTGGAGTCTAACACATATTTTTAATTCAATTTCTTATAGAATTTATCGAAAGACTATTTGTTTAATGATAACATTTTTTTGTGAGCTGCGATTCGAGACTTAATAAATATTGAAATTTCTCATTTCGACCTCGAAATGGCGTTCTCATAACTTCAGTGTTGATCAGCCAGGCATAACATTTGTAAACAAATTCATTAAATTGTTCAATCTTAAACAGACTCATAGCATTAGTATGTTTTTGTTTTATGAAAAAATTCTGTCGGACCAGAACTTATGTTTTATTTCACTTTGAATCTTTAATTTTAGTGAACTAATTTCGAATCCATGCTTCCGAAAAATGCATAATACAAATACTAGTAATACGTAATATTGGTTTTCAGGTACATTCTATTTGACAGTAAAGTCCCGGTTTAAATATCAAACCAATTGCAATTATCTTTCTAACGATTCATAATTGTGCTTTGCTGTCTGCCCAACAAGTCTTTTACAATTGAGTTCTGAACTTCTGATATGATCTTCAAAAATAGCTTTAATTAATAGCAATTAGCATTAATAAATACTTAAAGCTATGTGCCAAGTGACATTTAAAATCTATTCATTTGAAACTAGTTTCATGTGTAAAATACATAGTCATTTTTAGCAATTAGTAATCCCAAATGTATATATATATATATGTTTCTTAGCTAATTTTAGGCACTGGATTTATCTCTTTAATTAACACAATACATAGGCTTACGAAATTTTTGAAAAATTGATTACGTTTTCTAACCTTTTCTACCGTTGCGCAAAATATTAGATTCCTGCTTAAAAACCAAAAACTGTTAGCCTTACTCCTTGTTTACAATAATTAACATTCATTTTGAATGTTATCCTTTTTAATTGGGGTATTATTTTTAAGAAACCCGTTTAATGCTTCTAAATTTGGTGTCAAAAAAGAGCCCGAAGTTGGGTTAAGACATGTTGTAATACATAGCTTATTATTTTCTTACAAATTTAGACCTAATTTTTCCTGAAATTGCCTTTTAAATAAGAAAAGTCTGCAATATTTGCATGATAGCCCTATCACTTAAATGGTGGTCAGAAGGGGAATATTATTTTTTTTACTTACCCAAATGAATTATAATTTGCGTTTTTGGGACAATAACTTCTATATGGATAGAAATATTAATTATTATCCTATAGTGTGCTCATAAGCAATACCGATATGATGACAAAGTCAACGAAATGCTTAAGGGATCAACTTAGAAATTAATGGACAATACCAGGCATTTCTAGTGCGAGATATTTTTTACCACAAATTTGGCAGCGCATTCCACTGTATGTCACTAAGCTACCAAAAGTATAAAAAGGGTGAGGCAGAAATTTAACAAAATGAAAGGAAATACAAAAGTGTAAAGCTCTGTATTCTAAAGCAGTATAATTTTTTTACCACAAATTTAGCTGCCCATTCCACTGTACCTCATCTAAGCCGCCAAGAGGGGTGAACGGAGAACTTAACAAAATGAAAGGAAATAAAAATACAAAAGTGTAGGATTCAAAAGCCGTATTTTTTAACCACAAATTTGGCCGTCTATTCCACTGTATGTGTATGTGTGTATTGGTGTGTGCGCGCTTGCTTGCGATAGAATTGTTTTACGCTGTTACCTGAAAAGTTGTGAGTTTGTAAAACGCTACTTGCCGGTTCTTAAAGCGCATTGCGCTCAGCGGCCTGTCAGTTCCAGCCGTGGCTTTCACGGTAACACAACTCAAAACGCGATTCGAAGGCAAACGAACAGAAATAACAATAAAAAAAATTAAAACAAATATAATTACAAATTGAAACCAAATAACAATTACCACCGCTGCACACAATTAATTATTGCTATTATTTTTCCTATGTTTTTTTGTTTTGGTTTTCGAATGTGGCACTAAACTGCGCACTAAAAAGTACATAAAACAAACCCTCGAACGTTATTGAACTTGCGCGGGCTGCCTTCAAACAATTCGAATAATCTCGATAGCTCATTTGGCATTTTGGAGCGCGTCGGCAGTGGCATTCAGAATCGCACAATGGAGCTGAAAAATGTGGATCAGGACGGACCTCCGGCCACGGTCAATGGCGACACAGTAAGTGGGACTCCGAATCGTTTTATTTCCTTAACCCGAAGTGCTTGAGCTGAAAATAAAACGAAGCTTAATATTTTTATTTGCAAATTATGGGCAGGCCGGACAAGATATTTCGCCAGTCGCTCCCACAGCAGATCAGGTTTTTGGTTTGGTTTTAACAATTAGATGCTCTCGCTAAGCCACTTGTAATTTTTTAATTTAAAGTTCTTTGTTTTCTACAAGTGAGTCAAAGGTGTCGGACGAGTACCTTGTCTCATAAAAAATATGGCCGGTTCCAAAAGTAAACCGATCTTTTAAAATAACATATCGGTATTAAGCGTATAAACACAAAGGGCAAACGAATAAATGCATTTGCTGATCAATTTTGTATGACCAGTTGGGTCAGTTGGGGGCCCCGAAGACTGCAAACGGTCAGTAATAGGTTTACTAAATGACTTTTCTATGACTTGGTTTCTTGACAATTTATGTCACACATAAAAGGAAGCATCGTCTAGTCTTTGAGTAGATAATTCATGCTTTAAAACACTTGCTAAAAGTTCGACTGTATAAACTTTTCCAATTAGCAGACTATCACAGCAAGAGTCCCCAAAATTTGCTGATAATATAGCATAGATATCTATAAACTTTAAATGGGCTTCATATTTTCTATATGAACCATAAACTGTTAAATTTTTGTTAAAAATAAGTTCATAGTTCATTTTTTCCAAAGTCTTAAGAATAGATTTTATAAAAATCCAAGGAGAGTGAGAATAAAGGTGTTGGGACTGCCGCTGCTTGTCTATTTTTCTTTTTTGAGGGTCCTGTTGGTGCACAGCTTCGGTGCGCGTGTCCTTGGACATCCGGTAATCTAAAGTTTGTGATAAGCTCTGACGTTATTTCCCATGTACTAAGGCGCATAGTTAGATACCAATTTATGACCTTACTCCGTACTGGGCCAATGCGTACGATATGAATGGCCATGGTTTTCTTTTTTCTATTCATTGCCAAAAGCAATGCGATTTTATTGGTTTATAGTACTTGTATTATGACTATATAGTGAGTTTGTTGGATTGTTCTGTTCGGACCTGAGGCCGACAATTGAAGTGTGCCATTTAGTTAGTGCCGTCTGCACAAACGAGCTCTATACTCGTAGTTGGCCCCAACAAATACTCTGTAGTATATCTTATATGGTTTATGGTATGCTATGGTATAGCGACATAACGTATTTCCAGAAAACCCAGATAAATCGCAAAAATAAAAACACTTATCTTTCTGAAATGTTGCTTGGGAAATAATCAAACGACGTCGCATGCGCAAACAATTGATGCACTTATAAAACACAATTACGAACCACATACTATAAAAGATGACTTTTCGTCAGTCACATTTTCGTAGCTATAGTGTGTGTAGGTGTAGGTGTAGGTGTGAAATGCGAATCAGAGTGTTGCCTTAAGAACCGCTACTCGTAAGTCGAATCATCCGTATTTGTTCAATGAGCGCGCTTGGAAGGTGCAAAGTTGAAATATGCAAATGAGTCGCGAGAGAGAGTTTCCGAGGCATTTCCATTACAAACATCAGTTTGTCATTGAAAAACCAACTATGTATCTGCAATTTCCATTTGACCTAAAAGAAACTTTGTTGTACCGATCCAGAACTCATACTTCATGGAGGAGTGATTTTTAGACCAATCGGTTCTGGGATAAAACGTTTAACTATCACGAGCCACTATAGAAACCTCATAAAAACCAAATTTATTTAATTTAACGAATAAATTGTTCGTGCCAAGATCGGTATCAAATAATTGGGCTATATTGCGCTTGTAATAAACTTGTTCTGCGTATAGATAAGTCAAGTTCCCATACCAACTTTCTTGTGCCTAGCCAAGTATTATGGTTCAAAGGCTCTCGCCCGGCCGATCATATATGAATGTACCTTTAACCGGGGGTCTGCCACACCTTCTTCTTCTCCCTGTTACCCACATTTGGTCGGAGGACTTCCCCGTATACCTGTTCACCCTTCGGGTACAGGGTATAGAAGGCATACAATGTATACTTTATGGTGCCCAACACGCAATTATAATGGCGGTAATTAGCTAAGTAAATACATTTGTACTGACATTGTTCCACGAATAGCAACAATCATAAATTACAAAATCTGCACAATATCGAGATCTCTGGCAAGACCATAAAAATGTCTTATCATTCGAAGCTAGGCGATACTTGTTGGTGATAAAACAAAAAGAAAAACGAAAAAAAAGTTCAACAGCCTTTTCAAACGTTTGCAAATAGAAATCATAAAACAAAAAAATGTCTATACAATTTTGGGGCACATGTCAATTATGGCTGATTCTCACATGAGCAGATTAAATGGTGATTACTTTATTGATAATGTTAATTAAAAATGTATAACTACTCGTTAACGATCAATAAAACTTTATTCTTGTGATATTTATTGATCACCCAGGCTTGTTATCTGCCAATGTCGATTGCTGAGCTACTACACAGGTATCGTTATCGTTATCGTAGCTTAACGTCAAGTATCACTTGAAAGGGAAAGAGTGAAATGCTGATCTGTGATTTAAGCGCCCTTGAATGAATGTTTAATGAATCAATGATTGATAACAGGAGCAATATTATTAAAGAGTAGAGTTAAACAATTAAATGTTATAAGGTACTGATGTCTTCTCCTGTTGATTATTCAGAACATTTGAGTCCGAAAGCCATTTCATTTCCGCATAATAAGCTATAATAATATTATAGGAATTATTTTAATATGAATATCTATTAACTAAGTCGCTTCTTTTACATTAAATGATGGCTCCCTAATCGCTAAGAACAAATATATCTCTCAACAAATTTGATTGGGTTATAAGTACCAATGAAAGGGCATTCAAACATCGACAAACTTGAGCTTAGGCAAGATTCAGATTCTGAATGGTCTGCAGCAGTCGTGCAGCTGTGGAATTTTATAACTAACTCAATTATAGGGCATGCACGAACTAGATATAAGGCGACATTGTTGCCCGCCCACGGAATGCATGAGGCATAAAATTTAAGCAAACTGTAGGTATTTAAAAAGCCGCAGTAAAATAGCACTCACCAGCATGTCATTGGTCATGTTTGAACAGCCTTTCCGAGCATACTCTCTATGATAAAAATTCTGTCAGCTGCTGCGCTGTTCAAATAGTGGGCCTTAAATAGATTTACCTAAGCAATGATATGGAGTATAGTAGTTAGAAAACATAGACACTAACACAAGCCATACTTGCATGTTGAGTCATCAGACCAGTACGAACGAAGTATATACTTGTATGAGCCTATGAAGTTGGATGTCACTGTAACTATAATTCTGGGTTAATCCATATGGATTGTGGCTGATTCAGGCATATTTACATTTTCAATAAAATTTTGTGCGAATATTTTAAAATATTTTATAACTTGACGTGCTTAGTTGTTTGAAGAAAGCTCACCTTAAATATTGTGCCTCTAGTTCTTGCAGTTTTGCAGATCATTGCGTTCATACAAACAGACGTTTACGTCTACCCGATTAGGTCGACATCTTTGGTGCCGAAAACAAGCCCTCCTTGACGGACATCGACCATTCTAAGTAGTTCGTAAATAGATCGAAGGAAACACTCTGCATGTGAGCTACATTCCTAATATTAGTTGAGTCATCAGATAAAACTATGAGGATAGGAACTCGATAATGGATGTCACTGTTAACATGATTCTTATATGGATTGTGATTGAACTTTTAGAGTATATTTGTTTTTAGGAAAACTAACGAAAGTTTATTGCTGCTTTTTAAAGTAAATATGTCAAATATGTACAGGTCCGAAACTAGGTTTACTAAGTAGCTTGAAATAACCCCACAGATCAGCAGGTTGAGAAATCATTAGGTTCATACAAGCAAACGTCTGTGCGTTCGACCTGTGTTTCCGTTGAGCTGGAGAGTCACAACGGAAGTGCAGCATCGGCGTGTTTATCATAATCACGTTGCTAACAGCGCTGACTATATAAGCTAATATATACTACGGCCTTAGCTAAGTTTACTTCAAGTCCAAATGTAAGAAATCAGTTTGAGTTTTGAGTTGGAGTTTGAATGAAGAACCAAACCTAAAAACTCGGAGCTCATCGACTTTCTGAAACATTTAAGTTTACAGGCAGCTCTTTCAGTTTATTTGTATAAAAGCCAATTCCAAAATGTTGTATAATTACCTATAAAAATTTGTATTTAGTTGGGAATTTTCCCGCCCTTCCCCATACGGGGCAAACGCTATGACGAACCCAATGTACTTGCCACTAGTTTTCTTTCATAATAACTTGAAAAGGCAATCTGGTTTTACCAAGTGACTTGTTGAGAGTAAATGGTTTTCAATAATGCTCGTATAAGTGCTTACTCGTATGTACACATATCTAATATTAAAATTAACTGCATGTCATTAACAGCGGCCGATCATAGAGAATTTCATTCTACTGCAATCCAGTAACATTTAGAATCCCCCTATTGTGTCCGCACTATCTTATCTGTTCTCATGGTCCTTATTTAGGATACCTTTGCGACCCAACATCCTCAATATTCAATTTGGTTCGCATATGGCTTTGTTCGTCAGACATCTTGCATAATACTTGCAAACATAAATGTCAAGCGAAATCGAACTTAAAGGCTGTGTCATACTTCTTATCGATACTTTTCGCAAGTCTCTTATCGCGTGCGAGACATTTTAAAACAATTAGTCTCGCAAACATTTCGCAAGAGCTATATGAGTCGCCGATAATAAAACTACCACTCGATATGATCCGTAAATTGCAACGAACATAGTTTTTATACCCCGCACCCAAAGAGTAAAAGTGTATATTCATTGTAACACCCAGAAGAAAATGTCCGTCTGTCTGTATGATCGCAAGGATCTCAGAAAATATAGGAGCTAGAATAACAAAACTTGGTATTCAGATTCTCCTAAGCCCGAGACAAGTTAGTGTTTTTTCTGAGTCGATTTTCGAAAAATCAAATTTGGTAATTACAAGCAGCCCGCTCGACTCTAGCATTCCTTTCTTGTCAGCTTTGAAGACTCGGCCCTTCTTTTAAATCAAATAAAGCATACCCTGATTTGAAGTGACGTCATTAGGCATTGGAAACTGTAGGTAAGTGAAGGAAAGAAAGAAACAAAATAGAGTCCTTAAGCACACTACAGATCTGCATTTCAAATCAATCGAGTTGCCGTTGAAGTATACTTACGTGAGGAGAATAATTTTCAGTGTGTTCAGAAACTCGTACGGAACACATTGTCGAATTTTCGTCTCGAATTTTTCTCTCTCTCGAAAAAGCTAAAAATACTACGCAAAAAAAAAAGAGCAACAAAGCAATGGCAACCAATTTTGGAATGAATGCCGAGATGTGGCATCGCTTGGCCATCATCAACCAGTATACGGTTAAGATCTTCAACTTGGGCTTCGTGCCGCTGGTGCTACTGATGGGTTTCCTGAAGGGGGCTGAGCCGGAGATGCCGCCACTAGGCCTGGGCAGCCTGCTCTGGATGTGAACGCTGAGGACTGGACTGAAGCTGTTACCACTACAGGATGCAGCCTCCTCCGCTTCAAAAAGCTGCAGAAATTTCTCAAGTTGTTCAACTTTTCAAATCATGTTCCTATTGAAATTAAAGTTCTGGTCTACACAACACATGACAGCACATTACGAGTATTACGAGTTTTCCATTTGCCTAGGTCAGCTACATTTCCGAGATAAATTCACGATGATGAATGATGATTTATATCTTTATGGGAGCATACACGAGCAGGGCCGATTGTCACGCGCATAAAATCCATTATCTTATCGAAGACGAAATGCCAGAAAGGAGAAACGTTTGTCGTACGCATTTCGGAATTGGAGCCAATGGGTTATAAAATTAATTTGCAGATCGCTGATTGGGACATGCACCTACCTGTAGTAATCGTACATATGTACTTTTGATAAAGAACATTTACGTTCTAATATTTTGTATTTTTGAATAAGATGATAGCCAATTGTTGATAGCTACATACTACAAGTATATATTATTGTATAGTGTAGTTAGTGCCCGTCACGTTCACTTAACTCGTCACTGACGCAATAATTATGCGAGTTCAAAGGGAACAATGAATTGGCGGAATTGACGGAATCGTTGGAGATGTCTGCTTTGGCGAAGCCCCGAAAGACGCTTGCGAGTTATAGCTTCACGCCGATTGAATATTAATCGCGTGCGGCGCAGAGAAATCCCCATACAAGGGAAATCACCTTAATTGCCAATTGACGACTCTGCATTATAAATGCCTACTTGTATTGCGAAATAAGATAAAAATAACTTACAACTTTCCTGTACATACATTTATAAGTAGTAGGCCTTGAACCACATACATGCATACACACGTATATAAATGTTTTATCATTTTTGTGACACCCTTCCGCGAAAAGTTTGAGGGCTTACTGGTTTTCCGCTGGAAGTTTACGAAGAAGGCTAAATCACTTACATAAATTTCACGTTCTTTCGAGACCGACCGTGTCAGATCAGTATGCTTCGAAGTGCCCGAAACTGTCTTAAGACTTAGAACATCGTTCTGAAAATACTTCTAAAGGCAACATACTGGCCAGTGAGACAGACTTCGGAACATTCCATTGCATCATACATCGAAGAGCACATCTCTTTATATAGTTAGAGTTCAACTGATCTGTGGAGTGCTTGGACTCCTCAGGCTATCTTAGAAATCTGGATGGTTAGAGATTACATAGATTAATCATTATATTTCAAATAGTTGTATAATGACATATGGGAAACCAAACAGAACACTACAAGTTCTACTAGCACTATTACTACTATAAGTGCTATAACTACTACTAGAAATACAATAACTAGCCTTAATAAAAATTTATATATTTTTCAAATCTTATCATTTATTTAATATCTGTCCTAGGTTGGACAAATATTTAAAATTTACAACTTTTTTAGTTAAAGAAGACTTCTACTTCGTGCCTCGGCAAACAATTTCGATGCAACATACGATATATTGCAACAGCAATGGACTCGTAATAACGCGGCGATAAGATTTGTGCCAACTACAATGATTTTAGGAATACAAAGTTTCAAATTATGTCTCAATCTTATATCTGAAATTAGTAGAATAATCATGATTCATAGCTTGCTAATAAACTTTGCACCACCGGGTCAGTGAAAGGTGGATAATCTTTTAGCCTTTAATTATATGTTATCCTTTATTATTTAAGTAATTTAATTTTAATTTATTATTTTAATCTAATCATTGTTCTTTTTTTAATGCTATTTCTTCATATCCCGAAATTCATATCTTAAATTAGTAGAATAATCATGACTCATGGCTTGCTAAAAAACTATGCACCACCGGGTCAGTGAAAGGTGGAGATCCTTTTAATTATATTTTATCTTTTATTATTTAAGTAATTCAATTTTAATTTATTATTTTAATCTAATCATACTTCTTGTTCTTTTTTTGTATTGCTATTTCTTCAACTCCATTTCTTTTTTGTCTCTGACTACTATCTGCTGTGAATCGGGGCATAGCTGGCCGTTTGACAAATTAAATTCCTCCAACGATTTGGATTCGTTATTAGACATTTTTGTCATTTCTATAGGCTTTTTTATTCTTTAGTGCCTTTATAGTAAGAGTTCACTATTGTATTGACTTCTTTTTACATAAAAGAAAGATTTGTTTGTCGATGAAATAAAGTATTGAAATAAAAATGAAAAATAAAATGATCTCAATAAGCAGAAGAGTTATGTAAACAACTATTTCGTAAAGTGATATGTAAGAGTAAAAATAAAGACTACCCAAATAATAATGGCACTCTGCTCGTCTTGCCCCCATCCTAGGCTACACCCAGATACCTACAAGTATATACTTACTATATATATAGCTCGCTTCCTCGAACCATCAACGAATAATGGCGTTTTAAGCCAAACTAAAGGGTATACAGAAAACTGGCAAGCTCGTTATTGGCCTACAATTGGGCCATACTTGCAATATATTCATGCGAAGCACCTTTGAAATGTTTGCTGAACAAATAAGTAAACGCTGCGAATTGCGAGATTGTTTTCGAAAACCCGTCATTTAGGCAGACATCTTAAATATTTGTCTTTTATGTGGGTTCACCGCTCTGAGGAATTTATGAATCAACGCCGCGGCACACAGCCAGATAAATGAAATAAAATACAAGTAATAAATCAGTTATCAAGCATTGCGTGCGCCCGCCCATTGCTTAACAATTAATGACACCAGATTATACTATATTGTCTGTACATTGTCATTGCTCGTACTTCTAGAGTTCGTATACAAATAAATGAGGTTTATATTTATTGCTTTATAGATCGCTGAAAAAGATGAAAAACATGAAAAGAGTGTAAATGCTGAGAAGGCTGAAAACGCTGAGAAGGTGGAGAACGTGGAGGCCCAGGAAGCTGAAAATGAGCGCAGTAATTGGTCGAATGGTCTGGAGTTTCTCATGTCATGCATTGCCGTATCTGTGGGATTGGGAAACATTTGGAGATTTCCATTCACGGCCTACGAAAATGGCGGCGGCGCTTTCCTAATACCCTACATCATAGTGCTCTTTGTGATTGGTAAATACTTGCTTACTTGAGCGGTAAGCAGACACTATAGCTTGTTATTCCCCCGTACAGGCAAGCCCATGTATTATCTGGAAATGGTTATTGGACAATTCACGAGCAAAGGCATGGTTAAGATCTGGTCCATATGCCCATCCTTCTTGGGTAGCGTATATTTATTTGTCTATGCAGCTATATATCTAATGGGGCTCGATTGCAGGCGTCGGATATGGTCAGGCATTCGCCACTATATGCATCGTCACGTACTATTCGTCCTTGCTGGCGCTAACCTTGTACTACTTCTTCGTGTCCTTCCAATCGGAACTGCCCTGGTCCTATTGCAGAGATATATGGTCGAATTGTGTGGACTCACGACCCCAGGAAGTGGCCGCCAATCTGTTGACGCTACGCAATGCTACGCAGCAGCAGAGCAGCTCGGAGTTATATTTTCTGTAAGTGGAGAGACTGTTCCGAATTCCATTTCCTAACCAAGAGGAATCATTAGGGATCCTTAATACATTGTTCGGCTTGTTTTCCAGCGAGATTGTTATTAAGGAGAAACTGGATATATCCGACGGCATTGGCGCACCCGACTGGAAGCTAACCCTCGCTATTTTCATCTCTTGGGTGGTCATCTTTCTGGTGATAATGCGCGGCGTGAAGAGCTCGGGCAAGGCATCGTACTTCTTGGCCCTCTTCCCATACGTCATCCTCTTCACTCTGCTGGGCCGTGCTGTTACCTTGGAGGGTGCCAGCGATGGCATTATTTTCTTCCTGAAACCACAATGGGGCGAGCTGCTCAGCCCCAAGGTAAGTTATTTTCTTCATTAGGCAGCCAGAGTCCCCAAATCAATCATCGATGCATTCGATGCGTTCTCATTCAGGTTTGGAAGGAGGCTGTGGTGCAGTGTTTCTTCTCGTTGGCTGTCGGCACCGGACCCATCATCATGTTCTCCTCCTACAATCAGTTCAATCACAAGATTTACAGGTGTGTACGATTGCTCAATCAATCAATCAATCAATCAATCAATCAAAATCAATCGTATCTTTCAGAGATGCCATGATTGTGACAACGTTGGACACGCTGACAAGTCTATTGGGTGGTGTGACGATTTTCGCGATTCTCGGCAATTTGGCGTATAATCTGAAAATAGATAACATTCAGGATGTGGTGCGTAGTGGCACTGGATTGGCATTCATATCGTATCCCGATGCTATAGCCAAGTTCGAGGCGGTGCCGCAGCTCTTTGCTGTGCTCTTCTTCTTCATGCTGTTCGTGCTGGGAATCGGTTCGATTGTGGCGCTTCAGAGTGCCTTGGTGACCATAGTTTGTGATCAGTTCAAGAACTGGAAGTTCTGGAAGGTAGCCCTGGCCTCGACCATCATGGGCTTTCTCTGCAGCTTGGTCTATGTGACACCAGTAAGTACCATATGGGATCTCTTTCTCTCTCTCTCTCTTTATGCCCATCTTCAATTTTTGTTTCCCATTAGGGGGGACAATGGATTTTGAATCTGGTTGACTATTATGGCGGCACTTATGTGGTATTCCTATTGGCCATTTTCGAAGTTGTTGGCATTTGCTGGATATATGGTAAATACTTACCCATAGAGCTAGCAAGCCGCTACTTACCCTCTGCTATCTATCCATAGGCGTAGACAATATTTGCGACGACATTCGATTCATGAGCAACAGATCGGTTTCCCTATACTGGCGTATCTGTTGGGGCTTCCTCACCCCCGTGCTCATGATTGTGATCTTCATTTACTCAATGGCCACCACTGAACCCCTCAAGTACAGCGACTTGTTCTATCCCCCGGCAGGAGACGGTATGTAGTTGTCTGATTAAAGCCAATTATGGGAATTGCACGTTTCGTTTCCCCCCTCTAGTTGCGGGCTGGCTGCTCTTTGCCATTGGAGCTGCACAATTTCCACTCTGGGGCATCTGGTATATGAGCCACCATAAGCAGGGAGGTTGGTGGACGGTAAGTTCTAACCGCTCTATAGATGCACAGCTATTTATTGAATACTTTTGACTTTTTGCCAGACCTTTACGGAATCGCTGAAGCCGTCCGAGAAGTGGGGGCCGGCTAAGGCCGAGACCAAGCGGGAGTGGCTGATATTCAAGGCGGATATGGCGGCCAAGCGGGCCTCCGCTGCGAGCTCAAGCAAGATGGGTGCCTTTTGGCAGAAACTAACTATATCGTGTAGAAACTAGAGACTCTGCTGTTGTGACTAAGACTCTGTATGTTTTAAATACTTACTATACCGCACTCCTAGTTGTAAGTGTTCTAAGTTCTAAGAAGCACAACACACACACAATAGCCCCGCTCTACTCTACTTCAGAGAGACTGTAATACCCATATACGAGTATATACTTCTAGTATACTTGTAGTATTTACCATCAGTCTGCTCGTAATTAAGATCGGGCCAAATATTTATACAGAGCCGGCCCAGATGTGCTGGAACCATCAGTGTGTGTCTATTGTCGGAGCTGTGCTTTGAAGTGAGCGCCGGGAATTTTTCAGGGTCGAGCCAGCTCCCTCCCTATAAGTCAACTTATATACGAATGTGTGTGTGTGTGTGTTTTTTTTTTTTTTTTATCTATCTGTCAATCAAATAGAGTTAATTTATAGAATACTACGCAACACAGTTGTTTTTCTTCAGAGGTTTGGGGAGGCGGACTTCGGAGGAAATCAAAAGAAGAAGGTTTATTGTTGGCTTTTTAATTTTGGTTTCTTTGTCTTGCTTTACTGGAACTAATTGTATATATGTTTGTTTGCTTGTTTTTGTTTTTAAAAGTAATTTAACGAATTCTATTAAATGTCGTTTATTTAATGAACTTGTTGCATTTATTTGCATTTGCATTCGAATTTCGTTCAATGATGATCAAGATGTTTGTTTCTTTCTTTGTATCTTTGTTTGAGTTGAGAATACAACATTTAAATTTTGTTTTTGTTTAATTTGGTTTGGTTTGGTTTTTCATCATCTTTATTATTGTTAAAATTTCAATTGTTTTCTTGTTGTTGTTGTTTGTTTGTTTTCTCATTAATTAATAATTTACAATTTTGCTTTCATTTCGCCAATGAAATGAAATGGTTCTCTGCTCATCATCGTCATCATCATCATCATCATTACAGTACATTATAACAGTACACAATTGATTTTATTTTAAATTTTAATTTGTTTTTTTTTTTGTTTTTGTTGTTGTTTTTTTTAAATGGTAAATTTGCTATAAATAGTGGGAATTCTTATGAGGTAAATGCTTAATGAGCAAAAAAAAACAAAAAAAAAATATTCAACAAAAATCAGATCAGTTATACTACCATATGTATACAAAATAACAAATCGTAAATCTAGTAAACATTCTTAAAATTCATATCTCAAATATTTTGTTTGTTAATTGGTTGTTCTTCATGTTGTTGTTGTAATTGTTTTTTTTTTGTTTTGTTTTTTGTGTACATTTGAAATAATCGCAAATGGATTTTATCTTTTTGACATTTTAACATTGTTTTTTTTTATGCGTTTAATTACTACATTTAAAATTTAGTTGTAATTGTCATGTGTGTGTGTGTGTGTGTGTGTTTGTGTGTATGTATGTGTGTGTGTTTGTGTTGCAGTGACTGTGTGTGTGTGTGTGTGTGTGGTTTTCTTTTAATAGTAAAATACTAATTTAGCAAATGTAGGCACCCTAAATATTAAAGCTTTTTGCAAAACACGGTTCCTCGTTAAGATAACAATATTAATTTAAATATACAATAAATTCAAAATAATCTATTTGTTTAGCCACTGAATTGTTGTAAATTACATCGTTTTAGCTTTCATTTCTTATAGAAATTTCCTTTCCTTTACCTTTCTCATTAGTTTAGTTTTCCATTTAGGTTTTGGTTTTGTTTTTTTTTTTTGTTCTTTGTTTTAAATTTTTTCTTCGTTTAGTTTATGCAATGCACTCTAGTTTAATTGTTGTTGCTTTTTGTTTTTTGGTTTTTTTTTTTTCGTTTTACTTTAATAAAAAATTGTTTCGCTTGTTTTCCTCTTCTCTCTATTTATTGTTTAGTTTAACGTAATATTTTGTTGTTCTTCTTAATAAATTGGTCTTTGCTTCGGCTTTCTTTTTTGGTTTTTTGTCTCTTTTTTGTTTGTTGTTTATTTTTCATTTGGTTTACTCGTAACTACAGAATACATTTCTATAATACATATCAAGTCAAATATGATCTTTTTAGAGTTTATATGTATGTGTGTATATATATTTCTGGACTGCCTGCACATACATACTAAGTATATGTATGCCAATCCTTTTTTGTTTTTTTGTATTCGTTTTTGTTTTTTTGTTTTTTTGTTTTAGACCTTACTTCTGCTTCATGCGATTTTGTAGGTAGAGTTAGGGTCGGTCGGTTCTCTTGGCCCTATAATGCTTATGTAAGTATTTTTATATAGTAGTATGTGTAAATATACCAAAATTTGTTTTAGTTGTTGTTGGCTGTTTTTTTTTGCTGTGTTGTTGTTGTTCTTGTTGTTGCTGTTGTAGTAGTTGTTGTTGTTTTCATAGATGATTTCAAATCCATTGTAGCCTATTTCGAATGTCGGAATTACGAGTATAAATCAAGCTGTGCAACACTTTGTGATTTTCGAAGTACCCCATGTGCTTTACGATTCGCTGAAGAAAAAAATATACATACATATAATACAATACATATACGTACACGTACAATACAATAATGCAGTACACCCGCACACCCACACCCTCACACACACACACACACACACACACGCATGCACACCTATTACGAACCTAGTAAGACTGAGTGCACAGTGGGCCGTGAACGCAAGAAAACAAAACATAATCCTAAAAAAAAAAACCAAAACTATAAAATTCCATTTTGATTTCAACTTGCACTCGAACTGTAAATGAAGGAAGTAACAAACGCGCTTCTCCCTGGACACTGTGTGGTGGGCCCAGAAAAAAAAATATATTAAAAAAAGAAATTAAATTGTGCAGCTTTCCAAAAACGAACATAGAAGTAGTACGAGTATGTTTAAAAATCCGCGGCATTTGTGTTGTTTGATGTTTTTTTTTTTTTTTTTTTGTTTGTTGTTTTCAGCTTCAGTTTAAGGAATTCTTTTTAGGGTTTTGTATAATAAAGACCTGTCATTAAATTTCGGTCCCTCATATCAAAGATTACGAGTATCAAGGTATTGTGTGTAGGAAACCAGTTCAAACGGGAATTTCTTTTATATCCTTATAGTTCTTTTTGTTGTTGTTGTTGTTGTTGTCGTCGTTTAGAGTTGAAACCCAAATATGCATTTAAATATACATAAGATTAAAGCTGGGTGTAGGTATTCCACATGTGTCGTCTTGATTTCGTTTTCGTGTATCGTGTCCTCAGTGTACGTTTTTGTTTTTTGTTTCGTTTTTTTTTTTTTTCATTATTGTGATAAAGCTATTTTGACAGCAGTCTTGAACGTTCATTTTAATTTCAATTTCAATTTAAATATTCAATATTATAAACGTGTATACATATTCTTAAGGTTCGCATTTTTGTTATGCTCTGTTCTAGTAGTTCTAGGTTGGTTGGTTGGTATTCGCTACGGTTCCGAATCAGCGATGCATTAAACTGTGGACTTACTGCAATGGAGAATTCGTAGTTTAGAATTTCAATTCAATGTGGCATCGGGAAGTTATTCCGTGTATAGTATTTATATGGTTATAAGGGGGGAGAGCTTAGCAAAGTAAGTACGAGTATTGGGACATGATTAGATCAAATAGCTTATTCGTACACGTATTTATGATCGAATTCATCGAAGTCTGGCATAAACTTTAGTATCGGATGATCCATATTCATATATAGATTCAATAACCGATTGTGGAACATCTGCGCATGACGACTTGGGAGCCAACAGAATGAATTTATTTCCTCGAACCGTTACGGAACTTATGGGGTCCAAGCGATATTTCAAATGAATAGATATTAGAGACAGAGACAGAGACAGAGTTACTGATAGAGATAAAGAGGGGTGCCAAAAAAGCCATATACGAGCATGTATGTACATGTTGTATGTATTTTGATTGCTTCTTTCACAAAGCTACTAGATGTTGTTGGTAAATGGATTTGTATCTGCATTTAATTGTATTTTTGATCCTTTCCGAACCTGATTTTGATGTTCAGCTTGAGAGCTTCTGTTGTAGAGTTTATACATATACAGTACATATATATATATACATATATATGTATATAGTATATTGTTTGATTCATTAAAATGCACTTAAAATGTTTTTCGTTTATGCCTAAGTTGTTGTTGTCATTATTTTGGTTTTGTGTTGTTTTTTCTTCTTCTTTTTTTCTTTTTTTGGTTTAAAAGAACTGCAATGCTCTCTGTTAATACTTAAGGAGTATAACGTGTATGCATGTATGTACTCGTATGGTTGTATGTATGTATGTATGTATGTATGTATGTATGTATGTATGTATGTATGTATGTATATACACATATCTATATCCTTTTAGAAAAGGTATGTATGTAGCTCGGCCACTCAGCTATATATGTAACTTCTATATTTTGTTGCTTTCTTTGCTTCGCCATTCGATCGCTCTTTATTTGTTTACTATTTAATTTCTATCTTGGTTACAACTAATTTGTATATTAACGTGAAGTTATTTTTAAATGTTACAAAATCTCAATTAAAATTGTTCATTTTTGTTGCGGTAAGTACTAGAACTTATTTATATTTTTTTTGTTAAATGTTTTTTTTACCAATATGTCATACCTCTCTCAAAAGCTAGTCAGGTTTTTAATTGAATAATAATTCTTGTAGTTCTCGTTTGTTATAAAACTTGCTGTTCAACTTTGGTTTGGTAGTTAAAGCCAGATCTAGTAGTACAGTTTTCAATAAACAACAGTTTAGTTGGTTTTACTGCCTTCTATATATTTATATATATATAGATATATATATATATATGTATACATATATAATAAGAATATTGTTTTGTTTTTCTCTTTTCATTTTATGATGATACCGTGTGCATCAAAATACAACCCAACACTCATACCACACTCATGCACACATTTATTCGCACTAATGGGAAAGAATGAGATGAGACAATACTGATATCAAAAGTTTGGCTACAGCTGCCCAGTTATCGATCGACAGTCCCCAACTCAGCTCTGCGTCTATTCATACTTGTATTTCGATCTTGTCGTGCACCCCCCCAGCTGGCGGATTTAAACAAAACGCATTCTTCAAATCATAATTTTCAACATATAGTACAACACGCAGATGTTTTAGTATTCCATCAATAGGTAGGTAGGTATATCTATATAATGTGGTTAATGAGCTACTCTTCTTCTTCACACGATATTTACACAAACACACGCACACAGGCACACACACACACAAAAGCAGACACAGACTCTCAGACTAGGTTGTAATTCGTGACTAGATAGTGTTTGGTACGAGTTCGTATCGTAGAGACCATGTTCTTGTATGAGATGAAAATTATCAATACCCTAGGCTTAGAAAAAAATAAACCTTTGTATATGTATATATGTATATATATATATAGATATATATGCATATGTATATATAGTATGTATGTATATATACACATATATATGCTAACATTTGACTTTTTTCTCATTTCGAAGAGGCTTATTTACAAAAGGCCGATTTCGAAATTAGATTTGTAGAATTACTAATATTACTATTACTTGTATTATTACTATTACTAGTACTATTACTACTATTATTGCATACACGTTCTCGTTTTCTAGTAAACTTATTTTCAGTGATCTTTGAGGCAATCGATGTAGCAATCATCGTCGTCGTCGGGGCATTCGTTTCGGTCGCCGGTGGTGTCGCCGCAGTCGTATTGGAATTCGAGTTCAAGCTGGTATTGATATTATTCGTATTTATGTTGGTGTTGGTGTTGGTCTTTGTTTTCAATTTGGAATTGGATCTGTTGGCATTATCGGTATTGGTATTGGTACTGGTGCTGGTATAGTTAAGGGCCGGTGTGGAGATCGATGCCGGCATTGAGGACGACATCATTGGCATGATCGGGTGTTGGTCGGGTGTGCTGTTTGTGTTTGTGTTCGTTTGGATCTCAGGATCCTCGGGTATGGCTGTCTCGATAATACGATGCGGATGCGGATGCGAATGCGGTTGATGGTGATGTTGCTCCCATTGTGGGGATGGGGACACAACCAGCGATGTTGCCGTCGACGGCGAATGAAAGCGTTGCCTCAGTGCGGTCTCGGCCATCATTGTTGATGGGGATTTCGATGGCGATGGCGACGGCGACGGCGATTTGGTTTTAGACGTAGCTGGCATTATTGTAAGCATCTCGATGTTAATCACGGAGTTGAAGCGCTCTTTTTCTGATATTCAGCTGCCGTATTTGTTGGAAGATGCGTAGCTATTAACTGCAGATCCATTTGATGGCATGTGAGTATCAGGCACTAAATGTGGTGTTCTACTAGATATAGGTGGCAAAATAGGGCTTGTTGGCCAATGGTAAGTAGCAGCGGCGTTATTGGATGAGGGAACACTTCTATGCAAAAAGCAGTATGTTAATCGTCATTAATCATATCAAAGATAACGCTATATACGAGTATATAGTACGTGTATGAATGCTCAATTAATGGCAATGAAGTGAAAGTTGTAGCCATGAGCGAACCACCACCCCTCCCCAACTCATCCTCAAATATGGCCGCCAAAATAATAATTACTTGTATGAATAATAGATTACGCATAACGTACGCATCAGGCAATGTCTGTAAGTACTTAGTTCTCATATTGATGTATATAGTATTATGAAGTGACTGTACAAAAAGAAATGCTGGACATGGATATAGTGTTGCGAATTCCGAACTTAATTTATTTTAGCATTCAGCCCGTAGAGTTTTTAGTGTTTTTCAGTCGGCTCGGGTGATAAATGTTTGATGCATTCTATATTTTATTTAACGACATTAATATTTGTGCTAAAGCTATGAGAATCATAATAAAGTAACATTTTTCTCATTAATATATTAAAACAGTTATGGGTAACAAAATACCTGCCTAACTTTTTCTACAACAAATATGAACACAACTAAGATACTTTATAGAGAAGAATCGCAGAATCGTGAATATTCAGGGTATTATACTAGTAAGTGCGTTCATTAAAATACTGGACCATACCATAAAGAGGAAAATTTCCAGATTTATTACTAGGAGAGTTGGTTCGACACACTATTATTCTGACGAACTGAAAACGCTTATATTTTATGAACTAACGAAAAACTAAGTTCTTTTTTAAAGTTTTTTAAGCTTTCTGTGGTTTGAAGCATGCTTATATTGAAAACTAACAATTTCTTTGATCGAAACTAAAATATATAAACAAAGTTTATTTCTTTTTATTTTTTTTAAATTTTTTTTAAAATATGCTCACACCTATTATTCTGTTCAGTGTACATCTCCCGTTTGTCCCATTAAGGAATATTGCTCATGCCTTTGGTCTACCCAGTATTAAAATAAATAAATGGATACGATTGGGTCGAGGCCTTCCATGGGATCCCGATCGACGATCGCCACCTTATTGTTTGAATTTTTACATTTACATTTTATTTACAAGCTACTGACGGGAGAAATTACTTCAAAGGCAACCTTAGGCACCGTATAAACTTCGTAAATCCTCTGCATCTGGAGCGCACTTTACTCTTCTTGTTATGTGCTCTAATTATAAGGAACTCTACCATATAATCTCATCTAATTAATCTCTTAGTACTTGAAACAAGACTGCTGTACTAATCACTCGCCCTGAGTCGGGGCACAGTGGCCTATTTCGGCTACTGAAATACGCCTTTAAGATTAGTAATTCTGTTTTAGGTCTTTTTTTTTTTTTTTTTTTTTTTTTTTGAAAAAAATGGCAGTAAAATTTGCTGTAGATTTTCAAATAAATAGAAAAATAAAAAATATTTTTAATCCCTTACTGCACGAGGCCTTTATAATCAGACGAAATCGGAGAGGTTTATAATGTTTGAAGATTTTTCTTTGTTTGAAATAATGGCAGTATGATTTGCTATTGATTTTCAAATAAATATAAAATATTTTCAATTTATAATCAGACTAAATCGTAGAGCTTTATAATGTTTTTAAGATTTGTCTTTGTTGTAAATAATGGCAGTATGATTTGCTGCAATTTGGTTTGATTTTCAAATAATTAAAAAAATAAATATTACTTTCAATTTATAATCAGGCTAAAGCGGAGAGCTTGAATAAGTTTCAAGATCTTTGTTTGTTTTAAATAATGGCCCATTGATTTTCAAATAAATCAAAAAATTAATAAGTAAATAATACTTCCCGCTAATTCCTATACGATTGTAAATCAGACTAAATCGGAGAGAGGCTGGCCGCGAATAGTGTTTGGTTGAAATGTTGGCTTTTTTCGATAAGAACTATTGATTTGTATGTGGCTGGGAGGTCAACAAATATTTATCACCCGACTCCCGTATAGCCGTTTTGCTGGATGTATAGTGTATGTATGTATATATGGAGAATAATTAATAGTTGATGAGGACCAAAAACCCATGTATCGAAGCTGAAATGGTACTCAAGCGTATGACCGATGAACGACATGATGCTGGCGAAAGTGCATACATACAAGTAGTATATGTATAGATGTATATGTATGTATATGTATATAGTGCATATATGTTTGGGAGAAGGGGACTTACCTAGAATGGGGGAACAGCATGGGCGCTGCGTTGAACATGGACTGGGGCGTTGGCTGCTGGATGGGAGCAGCAGCTGTGTCTGGATGCAGAAAATTCCGTCGTTGTTCAATGCGCTCCTGATGTTGGGTCAGACATCGAGATAATAAGTCTGGAAGGCTTTCCATGTGTTCCTGCACAAATAGCACAAAAATGTGTAAGTTTCAGATTAGGAACTACAAGTAGATCGGATCTAGATATGTATGTATATACTTACTTGTATGCTCTGCATTTTGTCCTCTAGATTTGTTAGGCGCTCCTCAATGGCATCTTGACGGCTAGACATATCCGATATTATTTCATATACTGTGTTTTGTGTCTGCGAATGGAGAATGGATGTGATTTTTCATTTCTCTATAAGTGGGGGGGGGGGGGGGTTGGGTTGGGGATGGAGGACTTTAGCTACCTTGGCCATATCAGTTATTGTGTTTGCGTTATCCATAAGTTTGCGTTGATCCATTTTAACTTTTCGCAACCTGGTGCAGTGGAAGAATTGTCAATGTTATATAGAAATTATTGATGATGTGGCACAAATTAAATATTATTTATTTCTCTTGCTTTGATTGGATCGACACATTAGTAAGCATGCCAAGGAATCAATTCATTACGAGTACTTTGGGCAAGTTAGAGAGAAGAGTGTGGAGAGAGTAGTAAGAACTTGGACCTCTGAACTACTACCCCTTGCCTAGGGCCTAGGGCCTAGGGGATGCGAGTTTAGTAATACTTTAGCAATACTGGAAGCGGACCATGAGACAGTTAGACATATGTACATATGTATGCAGATGTTCCGGGCTTCCGTTCGGATACATAATGGTGGTAAGAAGGTTCTCTCTGAGTGGAAAAAGAATCAGTTATGTTATGGTATGGAAATGAAACAATTGTGTCTGCAGAGTGTGTGTTTAAGTGTGTGTTTAAGCATCGGTGGTCCGAGGTATTATTCTTTAGTATGCGCTAAAATTGCAGAAAATCGTATCTAAAAAATATCACCAACATACATAATCGCCACTCAATCACGATCGAATCGGAGCAATGCTTTCGGCGGCGACACACGGAACATGTACTATAAGAGAGCGCAATGCCAATGGGGTGAGGGGTACAGATAGTGTGGCACAGATGGGGTATATAGTACATACAAGTATGTAGATAGATGATGTGGTGTTTGTGTTGTGGAGGTAGGTGTGTTAATACTTATGCCTATATACTATCCTAGTGTTGGAGGTGAAGCTGAGTTTGAAGTGTAGTATCCGTAGTTGTTGGCTAATTATGTAGATTGTGGCATTTTTTAGATACGAAATTCTAAAATTTTAACGCCGCATGCTAATTAAGTGGCTATTTTCGGTTTTTGCATAACGTAAAAACAGGGCTTTACAACCTATTTACAGGCTAGTAAAACGAGTTCAATCATTAAAAATTTGTCTTTCTTTCTTGTTTTTTTTTTTTTTTTTTTTTTTTTGTTATCATTCGATTTGCAGTAATTATCGTTTATTTGTCATTTTATATGTATATAGTATATAGTATTCGCTCTTCGGTTGTTAGTATTGAACATACAACTATATACATTTCATATTATACACAATCTCTTCTTGCATGTCTGTAGTAAAGATATATAGTAAATGAGTCCAGAAGCTTGAGATAGAAGCTTATTGTTATTGTTGCTGTTTGAATGGAATAATACAAATAGGAGTGTACTTATATGAGACTGGCACTCGCACCACAATATTGAGGTTAGTTTGGTGTGGTTTTTTTTTTTTTTTTTTTTTTTTTTTTTTTTTTTTATTGGATACTAAGTAGTTACGAGAAACATTACTAATTACTGGTTACTGGGACATTACACAGAATTATGGACGTTGACACACAACAAATTATGCATATGAGAAACAACTATTGTACATATATATTGATGGCATACATGTGTAGAAGCAAGATTATTTGTGCAGCACCCATTATTGATTTATCTGTCTCTGTCTGTCTCTCCCTTTCTCTTTCTCCCTCAATGTTTGAGGGTCTGAACATCTTGTGCTCGGAAACGAATCGAGCTAAAAGCATCGGACTTGGTGTGGACATTCCTCGATATATATTGTCATTATGTTATTATTTTTAGTGCGCAGAGCAATACTCTATAGCTTTGTTTGTTCAGAAAGATAGTAAGCTGTAGGTTCCCCAGACAAAAGGAACTGGATATGCTGCAATGAAGTGCATTCAACTATGATGCTGTTTGGCATTGAGTTGCAAGTTTCAGATCCAATTGGAACTGTATTTTGGTTTTATTTTTGATTGATTTGCTGTTAAATGATTTCTATTAATTTATATTTTATTTGTCGGATTATATTGAATCGATTTTCAATTGGGCACGTTACTTTGTTGATTGGTCTGACAGTTAGTTGATGATAGATCTCTAAAAATACTCACGCATATATAGCTAGAAGGAACTTTCTTTGGTGGGTTCTTACACGGCCGGGATTAACCCGTTTTACTAGTCTTGTATGTTTGTAAATGAGCCAAGTTTCACGAAGAACATTCGCCGCAGCATTTTTCAGCTAAATTATTTGTAAGAAGAAATGAATACAAAGTTATTAGAATGCATTTGTGGCATGTGGATGAGTCTGTGTGTATATATATATATATGTGTGTGTGTGTGTGTGCGTGTGATTGTGTATATATGTATATGTACATATAAAATAAGATGCCTGCTGTTGTTTAACTTGTTGTGCCTTCAATAAAAGGCGCATATAGTCTGTCTCCCTTAAGCTTTTTAAACTCACTTGACAAACAAACAAAAGTTGTAGGGGAAAGTCAATTCTTTTTTTTTTTTTTTTGTTAAGCAAATACTTTTAAAATAATACTTAAATATATTTAAAATATAATTTACTCTGCAAGCTAGTCTGAGAGTTGAAAAAGAAGAAATAAATGTGAAATAAATGTGTGGGTGTATGGATGTGATGTGTGTGCGAGTGTGTGTGTGTTTATCGGGGTTTGGAGACGTTCTATACCCTTTTGGTTAACTGCGTGTCCATCATAAAGTTGTGCACATGTTTCTCAGCCCGCGTCAGCTCCAGTTTGCGCGAAACGACAGCCACAAGTAGCGCCGTGCAGCCGGCTCCCTGTAAACGATGCAAGAGAGTTGTGTTAACCAATCAGTGTAGAATGGGATCGGCATCGTCTGTCCCAGCTGCTGCCACAGCCGCCATAGCCATCGATTGCTCGCCCCCAACACCCATGTATGTATGTATATATATATATATATATATATATATATATATATATATATATATATATATATACATACATATATAATATACATAAGTATGTTATATATAGAGCCTCGGGTGGGAGCAACAGCCCAAGCGGCCGAAGCAGCAGCTCGGCAACTTATTCGATCGTTGAATAATGCCAGTTAAGTATTGTTGTTGGAATATATGCTTAGAAATGACAGTTCGTTGTTTTTGTTGTTGTTGTTATTGTCCAGAACAGGTTGTTGCCCTTAATACGAGTATATATATATGCATATATATATATCCAAGTATATATTGTGCATTGGTAGCATTAACATTAACACATTAACATTAACACATTATCAATGTTATTTATCATTTTTTCAATCTGTTTGCCTCTTTTTTTGATGTATTAATCGATGGGACTGACACTATATAGACTATATAAGTATATATGCATGATTGATTTAATGAGTAGCAGTAGCATTAGAGATTAGAATGATTTAGTAGTATGTATATATGTATTTTGATATTTTAATAGAGTAAGTAATGTAAATATGTTTATCAATTTTTTTTAGATTATTAATATTCATATATTAGAGTACTAGAGTTGGGGGAATTTATGCGTTTTGCGATGTACATGTCTATGTATTACAACAGTAAGAGGTGTCTGGCAGATACATACACACATACATAACGATTAAATAAAAAAAACGAATGTTCGAAATCATAAACACAATTCAGATCTGACGTTGATTTTGTATGACAGTCCCAATTATATAGAACGGCGCTACGAGTTACAAATTATAAAGATATTTGTTTTTAAAATATATTTCAAGAGAATCGGCTCTAAGGATATTAGATTTAGCCATTAGAAATAGAGAAAGCGCAGGCATAGAGAAGAATCAGAGAGAGTTAAACAAAAAAAAACAAAGTGGAGGCAGAGCAAGAGAAATTAGAAGTGAGAGAAAACGGAAAAGTCTACACAATTGCAGAAAAGTTCAATATTTTCCATTTTTATTTATGTCTTCTCATCTATTTTGGTATCTTTTGAACTATAGAGAAACTATGCTATGTGACCTCTAAAGATTTGGTGACCCCTTCAATGCCATAACGTTTCTCCCTTACTGCGATGCTTTTACTGGAAGAGTGTGAGCTTTGTGATATGGCATTCGTCTTTATTTATTTATTTATTTATTTTTTCGTTAATAAGTGAAACCTCAATCGCTTTGAAACGTTAGCTCAGAGTTTTCCATTTCTTTGCAGTGTAATTTAATTTTACAACATTCTATTTACAAATATCCCACAAACTGTTTCTGCATTGTTGAAGATAATAAGCCCAAACCAAAAACTCTGCATTTCTTTCTGAGATGGATTGAAAATTAATATTCATAGACAATACAAGTATTGTCCAAAACTTTTGAGATTATTTGTAGATAGTAACTACAACTCATTAAAACTATAGTCTGGCAAAATATTCAATTTAAATATTCTATTTCCGAACTCAAAACTCTGCTTTCGCTACAATTTGGCAAAAGACTCTATAATAATATTCCATTCCCGAATCAAAAACACAGCTTTTGATGGTTCTTTTAAAAGCTTATAGTTATGAAAGATTTTTGAAATTGGGTTTTTTGCGGCCTGACTCGCAGCATTATTTGGAAAGTACGGTTGAAGAGAAGCCATTTGATGAAGTAAAGCAAAAAAAAAGTAGTGAAATATGTTTTTGTCAATTTGCCTTTTTCGCATTATTCTTTAGGATTATTAAATTGCGAGTTTCGCATACGAGTAGTTAGGGAGGACATACGAGTTTAAAGTTACGAGTATGTTAATATTTACACATGAATTTGTAATATTCGTTGCGGTTTTGGTTGATTCTTATGAGTTGGTAAAAGCTGTAGATTGTAGAGATTCGTAGAGAATGGTTAGGTACGAGTAAATCGATTTGGATGTGTGTGCAATTCAAATACATAACATATATTTGGTTTGTTTAATTTATTTTTGGTTTTTTTTTGGATTTGGATTTGGTTTTGTTTTTTTTTTCATCTTTGTTATAGACTGTAAAGACTCACCATTATTCCTGTACTGACAGCGATACCACGTCCACAGTACGTATTCGGAACAATATCACCGAAACCAACACTCAAAAATGTAATCGCTATCAGCCACATTGCATTCAAAAGATTCGCATGTTCTTCGTCATGAAATCTGTTGTTTATTCATTTATGATTAGTGTTCAATATATTGTCATATTGTTTAGAGTTTGGTTATTTTTCAAGGCGGTTTTGTTGTAGTTGTTGTCGATATAGTTGATAATATAGCGATTATTCAGGGGGGAAATAATACACACGAATCGAAGAGCGTTTTCGTTTTTATTTTTCATTATTATTATAAATTTTTGTTTTTTTTTTTTGTTTTTTTTTTTTTTGTTTTAGTTAAATGAAAGGGAAAGAGAGATAGAGAAAAATATCGTATGATTCGCTTAATGTACGAAAGAAAGTAACGAACATAAAAGAAATCGTATAAGTATTGAAAAGAAACGAAAACAGAAACAATTAATTGAAAATGTAAATAATCAGTAAATTGAACTTAAAACGCACACACACACACACACACACATACATATAAAAATATGTGGGTGTGTGTGTGTGTGAAATGCAAAAAGATAAAAAATATTGAACTATATAGAACTGAACAGAATAGAATAGAACTGAACTGAACTGAACAGAAGGGAGTCAATTGCAACAAATATAAGCAGCAGCCCATATGTAGTATGTATATATATATATATGTATATATATAAGTATATATAGGAACAATGGAAAGTAATAATAACAAATAACTCATTATATATAGATACAGATTGATAGATATGTATGTGTGTATATGAGATACATCTGATAAAATATACAAAAAAATTAGTCAACATATGACGGGCATGGCACAAAATCAGGTTATACATACAGAGGTGTGTATATACTATATTGTATATAACGGTAAACAAAATCAAACAAACAAACAAACGAGGTGAGAACACAACAACACTGTGGCATTGAGATTTAAAAACATTGTTGGTAAGAGAGGACGCACAACAACGGAACGGAGCGAAATCATTTGATAAAATCAGAAACAAGTTTAGCTTCTTCTTTTTGCTATTTCTCCTGCTCCAGCTCCTGCTGTTGTTGTTGTTGTTGTTGCTGTTGGTGCAAACACCCACGCACACACACACACACACGCACCCAAAACATGCTATTGTTAATTTGTTAGAGATATTTGGCATTTTCGCCAACTGCCATCAGAGCTGTCAGCAAGGATTTGTAGCTGCTGCTCTGATTCTGATTCCGATTCTAAAGAGGATTCTCTCACACACACACGCACACACTGGCACATACACTGGCACACACACAATTGTTATCGGAAAACAAAAGTTGTTGGCAGCTTAAAACGTTTGCCAAAAAAAAAAAAAAAAGAAGAAACACCCATACCCCCCGATACTTAGAGACGAGAATAGTAATAAATACATACATACATATACGTATACATACATGATGACGCGCTGGTGTGGGTGTGTAAGTGATGTGTGTGTGTGTGTATATACCTATATATAATATACATGTATGTAACTATATATAATGTATGTATGTGTATGTTTATGTTCAAATATATATATTACAGCGAGAGACAAATGTATGTATATACTTATATTCAACAAAAAAATGCTGTTACTGTTGTTATTATTATTGTGGCATATGCGTGTTTGGGTGTGGTTGTGTGTGGGTGTGTGTGGGTGTGTGTGTGTGAGTGATGAGTTACAGTTACAACAGATTGGCAATGTGTGTAAAATTCATATATGGAATGAACTAACGCGCGCAATGCCCTAAAATGCTAATCAAAACAAATGCCAAACCATGACCATGGCATTAACATTTTAACGCCAATATTCCATTCCTTCTTACTTGGTTCGCTTCTTTTTGTTTTATTTTGTTTTGTTTTGTTTCGTTTTGTTGTCTTTTTTGCGCGAAGAACTCAAACCAACCACCACTTACCGCACTCAACAAAAGCACACGCACACGCACACGCTCACGCACGCCAAACCGCCAACACGCCAGCTTAGTCATGTGCGTGCGGTGCGTATACGTAATATGCAATACGCAATACGCATACGCCATGTGAGCCCAGCAAGCAAGCGAGCGAGCGAGCGAACGAGCAAGAACGTGCTGATAGCGTTGCCTGTGTGTGTGTGTGTGTGTGAGTGTGCCTTTGCATTTGTGCAATGTCGTTACATCGACGATTCCCCATACATAGTATAGTACATGTACATAGGCATATAATGCTTATACATAGTAAGTACATCCATATACATACATATACGAGCATGTACATTGGTTTAGAGTATAGATCAGATAACGATTGTTAAGTAAGTACAGTTGTTGTTCTCCGTCTGTTTACTGTTCTGGTATTCTGGTATACTGGTATACTGGTATTCTGGTATTATTTCTGGTATATATACTTACCACCATGCCGCAGGTGAGCGTTATACCGCGTCCACAGTACGTGTTTGGCACTATGTCACCATAGCCGACACAGAGAAATGTGATGGCTGTTAGCCACATGGAGTTAAGCAAATTCGCGTGCTCCTCATCGTGGAACCTTTCTCATTATCGTTCGTACGTACGTAATTTTATATTGTTTTTTTTTTTTAATTTTTAATTTTTAATTTACATATGCATTTGTTGTTATTATTTTTTTTCCAATTTGAATTTAAATTGGTTTTTCGTTTCGTTTGTTCATCACGATGGACAACATTTTTGATATGTTGCATTGCATATTTGCATTTTTGCATTCGCATTTACATTTTGCATTTCGGATACATACATACATACACATGTAGTATATTGTATATCGGTTTATCAGTTATTGGTTTCGAATTTCGGTTTCGGTTTCGGGTTCGGTTTCGTATGCGTATTCAGAATTTCATTTGCAATTTGTGGATACAGAAGTAGGGTGAGAAGTGGAGTAAACAAATAAACAAATGTGAAATTATGTGAACATTTTTTCATTCTTTCTTTTTGGTTTTTTTTTTGTTTAAATAAATAGTACAATTGTATGTTTTTTTTCGGTTTTTTTTTGTTTTTTTTTTTGGTTAAATATTTAGAAAATTTTGTATGTATAAAAGAATTACGAAAAATTACAAGTAAAACATAAGTAAAAATATACAACAAATCAAATACAATACCAAACTGAAAAGCAGTAGAAACGAATTAAAGTCCTGGATAGAATACTGGGTACGAATATTTCGAATATATAAATATATAGATATATAGATATATATATATAGGGATATATATATGTATATACAATGACATGAAGTTGCTAGTTGTTGGTATTTTTTTTCTTTTCTCTGTTAATAGTCTGTTAATTGGGATCGAAATGTGAAAGCAGCTTTGAAAGGCATGACTGAATAGATTGGATTGGATTGAATTGAATTGCCTGGCTGTCTACGGCATAAAGAACGTAAGTGGGTGTGTGACGAAGTGTGGGTGGGGTGGGGTGGTTCTATAGCCTATATATACTATAGGGGTGGGCTCCAGTTGCTTGCAACTCTTCCTCCCACTCTCTGAATTCCCCTCTCTCTCCCTCTCTCTTTCGATCGAGTTTACACAGTTTACAGGTGCTTAGAGTGAGGAAGCAAGGAAGGAAGGAGCTGCAACAGGAAAGCGCAATCGCGAAACAAAATGCTGCACAAAGCATTGCACAAGTGGCAGACTTAAAAGGCTCAATTGAAGGTGAAGGGGTTATTGTTGTTGACGTTGTGCCTCGCCCGGAGGCACTCGTGTCACTTTGATGCCCGAGCGGAGGAGCGGGGGATTGCAGTTTAAAAGCATGGCACATGTAAGCGAGCTGCGTGATAAAGGAGCACAAGGAGCTGGATGTTATTAAGGTAGAGGAGGAAGTAGTGTGACGGGTTGGGGTCTGGTAGGGTTTTGTGGGGGGGGGGGGGGGGGGGGGGTGGAAGCAGCAAGGAAGCAACTAAAACAAATGCTATGTTGTCTTGCTTACTTAGTAAGTTAAAGTAAGTAAGTCGGCAGACAGGCGGTAGTATGTATACATAAGTATGTGTAGCTTACGAGTCTGCTATATAGTTGTTGTTACTAGTGTTGTTGTTATTGTTGTAAGCTGTATATAGGAGGTGTGTACAGAATATGCAGAGTTGTGTTGTGGACAAGCGCTTCTAAATGTCTCTATTTGCGTTTTTAAATGTTGATTTTGGTCAGCAAGAAAACGACACTCGATCTCGTTATAGATGTGTTTCGCTTCAATTCGATAAATACTTAGTATTTTGTGTGGGACTATGGTGTGTGGTCTAGGCGGTGTCTTTTAATTTAGAATCGTATTAGCGTATTGGTTTTGTATCTGTTGCTGTTGCTGTTTCTGTTGCATATACGAGTAAGTATGTAGTACGAGTAGTTCTCACTTATTATTATTATTATTATTATATTTTGAATTTAACAATGAGCATGCGGTTAGATCCCAGAGCAAAATTACACTTGCTTTCAATTTACTAAAATGTCATAGATTAAGATGTTTTGATTTCGAATAATACATACACACATACGAGATTAAAATATGTTTTGGTATATGAGAACACATAGAAGGAAATACGACAAAAAAGAAATGTAATTTAAAAAGAAGAAAAAAACGGATAACAAGAACATTGGTTCTTTTCAATTTTTTTCCCCCTCCTTTGGCATAAAGTCCTATTTAAGATTTATATTTTTTGAAATGCGAAAAAAAAGAAATCTATCGTTTCCAGTTTAGTTCCCATTTTAGCGTTAGAGTTTAGAGTTGTTAAAAAATGGATTCCTGTCAAGACTCCCAGTTGATTCAAAGGATGCCTAAAAGTATGCAACTTAAAATTGGAATTGCTTCTCTCAATGTCTGAGTGCTATGAAATCGTTTTATGTTCGTTTGGAACAATCAGAAGCCGATTTACTCGGAAGAAGATGTGGAAAGCTGTGTGGATCCATTCTATAAGCATTTCTTGGCTAACCATTTCAAGAAACAGAAATATTTCTATCACTAAATAATTCTGCCCATTTCGCACATTCCATATTTGTGTTATCTATAATTTAATTTAATAATCAATCCAATAGTAAGACCAATATTCGATTGCGATCTAAAAAATATATGTGGACGCATGTGATCGCTGTGGTACACATTTACCCCTTATAAATCGGAAAATCTTAACAGATCTCAACCCAACATTGGGCTCCACTATTTTTTCCTGTTTTTCTAATAACTCCAATAAGTCAAAATAAAAGGAAGAGAAACAAAAGATATCTAGATAAAAAGTAAGAGCAAGTTATGGTTAATATTAACGAGAATTTAGCTAACGATACGATTACTTATTCAAAAGAAAAAAAAACAGGTTTCTTTTCATTGTTCAAAAATCAAAGATATGTTATATGGTATATAATTAATTAGGTATGTCAGATTAGTATTACAGACAATTATTTAATTGTTGAGTAGTAAATAAATGGACATCAATATATTCGAAAAGAAACAAAATTCGTTCGTACGAGTAAGTAAGTAAGGTATATACGAGTATGTATGAGTAAGTACTTGAAAACGTTTACAGAGATTACACCAATAATAGTATGATTTCATAAACAAAATAAATTTTGGTTTTTTGTTTTGTTTTTTAGCTAAACACAAAAACAAATCCAAGTACGCACACATATACAATATATACATGGTTGTATATTCGCATATGCCAGAGATGATGATAATCACCGGTTACAGAACAGAGATAAACAACTGAAATGAGGAAATGGAGAACGGATAACGGATAACGGAGAAACCATAACACAACAAAACCAGAAGACCGACAAATAGTATGAAGGGATACGAATACACAATACTATATGTATACGCATTAGCTTTATCTTTATTTGTTGTAGTTTTAGTTGTATTTGCATTTGTTTGTTTCTTTTCCATTTTCTTTTCTTTTTTTTTTTGTTTGCTTGTTTTTTTTTCATTCCGAGTATTATAAAGTATGGCATCCGTTAAGGGACATTTGTCAAGAGCTGCGCGTCACAGGGCTGGTGCCGGGGTGGGGCTACGGCTGGGACTGGGGCTTGTGTGCTCTGTGTGTCTAGGCACAGACAACAAGAAGCGGAGAGGAGTGTGAAGCGGAGTAGAGAAACACGCGCAGCAGAAATATCTCTTAACAGATCTCGTTGTGGGCGGCTGGGGTTTGGCTCTCATATGTCTTTATACTTAGGCACAAGTAATATGTACTCCAACATACATACATACATGTGGGCTTGTGTGTCCATACACATACACACGTACATACAAAAACTGATACAGATAGGCGGCATATTACTCATTACAAATAGAGGTACTTATATATATATTATATATACCTAAGTATGTACGTTACAGATCAACAGACAATGTTTTGGGGCCAAACTCCATTGTGAAATGCATAAATGTGTAACAATTTAACACCATCATCTCATCATCCCATCATCGTTATCATCATCATCAAATCTTTATCTTCATCGTCATCTGTTTCTTATCTTCATTTCACCGTCAAAGCTCTTCTCATTTCATTCATCATCTCAACGATAAGGGCGAGCAATGTCATTTACTATTTCTGGTAATTGGTTGGTTTGAAATTCTCTTTGCAAAGAAAGGCCTAAACCGATTTGTATTAAACATTACGTTTTATGATCTACGAGCAATGCAGGCGTAGTTCAATCCACACTTTAAGCTTAATTTAAATAAATATACACATAATTGTTTCTTTTTTAAAGAATAAAAAAAGCTTAGAGCTGCTCTAAATACAACAAATGAACTTAACAATTGAATCAAATAAAAATACAATATTATATAGTATATATATATACGAAGGCATGTCTTTAGTTTATATTTTTTTAGGAGACTTTATCGGGGTGGCTGGGTGACAGGGTGGTGGATGGTGGGGGGGTAACCAAAACAGTACGTACTGCATATTGCAAAAAATATGTGAGTGCTTGCAAGCACATGGAAGTCAAAGGGGAAGCAGTTTAAAAATATATATAAGGGAGACAGCGAGATATTGAGAAGGAGAAATAGAGAGAGAGAGAGATGGCTCCAATGCTGACACAGTTTCAAGTGAAATTTAAGGACAATGCAGATCGATCGAAAAGGAATTATAGCAGCTGCTTCAAACATAGAAAATGAAAGTTATAGTCAAGAACGAGCGCTACTTTACAGAAAAATAAAGATGAGAAGGACAAGGCAAGGTAAAAATCAAAAATTTAAATGTGATGCAAATTCACACATACAAGTAGAGGGGGAAAAAAAGCAAAACATTTAAAGTAGAAAGGATGAAAAGTTACACATACGAGTAAATATTGTCAACAACATACACACATACAATACAAGTATATCATTCGGATAATGCTAATGGTGAGAAAAGTGTGGAAGTATAGATATTGTTGTAGTTTACCCCAAAAAGCTAAGAGTCAAACAGTTCCCAAACAACTATGTATGCCAATATTCGCAATCCATCAGCCAAAAGTAATGGCAGTGCATTCATCTCCCGAGTTGCCGCTCAAGGCATGGGATGGGAAAGGGTTGGGAGAGAATGGAAGCGGGAGTGGGTTCCAAAAGATGTAATCGTTTGAATAGAGTATTGTTGGTTTTTTTTTCTTTATTTGTTCATCTTCGTATACATACAGACATACAATACATACATACGTAGATACGAGTGGTATACATATATATATTCAAAAAACATGTTTTTCAACTCAATCACACTGTCAGCTACGGCTTACAGGCTTACCGGAACCAGGCAAAGTACGAGTACGATATAATGTACATACACATACATACATACAAACAAAACACAGGTAGAGGTAGCAATGTAATAGTAGATGTTAGAAGAAATAGGAGCAATCGGACAAAAACAAGCGAATTCAAATGTGAAACTCTTATTGAAATTTGTAAAAAAAAAAAAAAAAACAAAAAGAGAAATTGTAAATTCAAACGCATGCAGCATAATCGTTCGATATAAGTACGAGTATGACATTGTGTGCATTCGGCTGTTTGATTGTTTGGACTGTGGCTGTGGTTGTGGTTGTGGTTATTTGGTTATTGGGCCAAAAAGGTGGGTAGGTGGACTGTGATGGTGATGTAATATTTTCTATGCATATATAGGTGGATTAATAAATTAGATATATGTATATGTTTGAATGCTCGAATTATGAGTTCAACTTTTAGGACAAGCAAATGGGTGTACATGTGTGCGTGTATATGTTTCTGTGTGAGTGTGTGTAGGTGTGTGGGTGTGTGGGTGTGTGTTGGTTGCAAGCTGTGCTAACCCCTTATTGATATAGTAGGTACTTATAATTGATATATTTATATATGTATATTACTCATTTGCTCAGATATCAGATATCCTTCACGCCTCGTCTACGAAAATACATATGTGAAAAGGTTTGAGCGTACACTTTGAGACATTACGTAATGTTTAGCACATACATTTATGTACATAAATTATTAATTAGTATATAGTAGTTATGTCAAAGTATTAGTGGCATACATTGAATCAGAGTAAGAAGTAACGAAAGGCCAAAAACGAGAACCAAAACGAAAACAAACACAAACACAAACAACAAATTCAAAAAACATTTCCAAACGCAATCGCAAATTTCAAACCAAAAATCAAGAACGAAAAAATAGGAAAAAAAAAACCAAAAGAAAATAACTCAAAGTATAATTCCATGTAAGAATCAAATTTGTATACAACTATAGAAATATTATGGATAATTGCATTACCTTTCGCACTGCCGTAGCGTCCACGAGGCAATAATCCACAGCGAGACCATAAAGACCAATAGAACCGTTCCCGGACATATTGTCATTAGTGTTTTTAAAACGAATCTAGAAATATTTGCAAAATCAAATATTAGCTAAATGGGTAGAAAACGTGCTTAGTTTTTAGGAGCATTTAGAAAGACATCGTTTATTTAAATAAAAACAGCTGCACAACTGGATTAAGCCGCCACATCAGGAAGTACTTAGTAGTAGTAGTTTTAGTTTTTAATAAAAAAGAAACATAAAAACAAAAAACGTAATGAATTAAGTAATCGTTATTGCTCGGTAGATGAAAAAAATTTGTTGCAGCTGTGTATGAATAGCTGCACTCCAGTTTCCTAGAAACCTAAACTTATTTTTAATGGAATCACAAAAAATGTAACTTTCAAATATATCCTGATATATCGTCAAATGTTTCAACTCGTTTTCATTTAAAGTGGTCGGCTCAGATGGCTTCAATGATTAATTACATTTCTTAACAAATCATCATCATTTCCTAAAAAAAAAGTGTTGTGTTAACTTGCTTTTAAAAAAGGCATAATAGATAAAAGAAATGGAAATATCCATTGAAATATCCACTCCCACTGAATGCGTTATTGTTTTTGTATCTGTAAACGTTTCACAATCGCTCTAAACAACAAAAATGCTAAAAGTTACGAATGTTTTAAAATGCCAGATTCAAATCGAACTTTGACAATTAAAGTTTAAAACATAATACATTAACCTGCTGATCAGCTAAACTGGATTTGTAATATTTTTCTCTTTCTTTAATTTAAGCATTGTCTTTAATAATAAAGACAGATGATAAAACAAAAAATATTTATACTAATATCACGAAACAATTTTCTACAAATCAAAAATTGTTGTCAATTTTTTTCATGAAATAAGCAATAGAATTTACTAAAGCATTTAGTTATTTACTTAATTTAAAGTCGTAATCGAACCACTTGATTTTGGATATAATACGTTTTGTTAAGTAGCTGTGATACAAGAGAGAACATACAAATAAATAAGTTACTGTAATAAGCTTATTTTACTTTGGAACTGATATAATGAATACGTTATAATTCGTTACTTAGTTTCGTAATATAAATTATTTATTTATCCGGTGATATTTTTGTCTTTGCATAATACAACAAAGCTGAGATCTCGTGGTTGTGTTCATGAGGAATCCCACAATGTGAGTTCGTTTCTGAGTATATGACTGGGTTCGAATCGAATCGGCGCTACCATCATCGCATAAAGCATGATTTAAAATATTACTTGCAGCCTTAAAACTCTGTAAGAGTGGTCTCATATAGAAAAATGTCAAACTATCTTAATCCAGTTCACAACGTAATAAAAATAACTTTAAAACAAACTGTTGCTTTAATAATAATAATTAAAAAAAAAATTATCTTACATCTGCGAAATTAATTAAAAATGTCAAAGATGCCTTTTTTAGGCGTTCATTGATTTCAAAATCAGGAATTGTGGGACATACTCGTATGTAAATAAAGTAATACTCTTTCACTTGATTAAATGTTTTCATGGTCTGTTCTCGTGGAAATAAAACAGTTAAACGAATTGTACGAAGAAGTAAGTGGGAAGTAACATTATGATTTGTTCGACTCGGTCATGAACGGTTAATAAGAAACGTATATAGAATAATTTATAAATTGAGTTATAATCGAGTTTTATGCGTACCTGGTATTAAAATTTATCCTATTGAGAGCGCCGATGCTCCGTGATGATGCGTCTGTGAATAGCTTTGAATGAAGCAGCATAACGCGGCAGATTAAATATAATCGAAGGAACATAGGTAGTGATAAAGCTACGTCGTACGGAACCATTTCGGTTCCGATTGTTTTGTTCTTATTCGCCAATTTCGTCGTCCACTGGAAATAGTATTCACCAGGAATTGGATGTATAGCGCATATAAAAAGTTCTAACCCTATTTGACTAATTCGTTGCCATGTCATTGCGATCCTCCAATCGTCGGCGCAGTTATCTATCATGAATAACTATATAATGTATATACATATATATATATATATACATTGGATTCACACAAGCAATCAGCGTTGTAATTGCGTTTTTTTATTTATTTTAATATTTTGATTTTTTTCACACACATTGCGACGGCGTTGGCAGTGTTGATAATAATAATTATTGTTGTTGATTGGTTGGCCAATTTTTTGTTTGTTTTTGTTTTTATTTTTATTTTTTCATTTTCGTTTTAATTTTCGGCGTTGTTTTCAATGTTGATGTTGTTGTTGTTGTTGTTGTTTTCGTTGACATATATATTGAGCAGAGAGAAAAGAGAATCAAAAATGATTTATTAAATATAATTGGAAATTTATTGATTTCTATATAAATATATATATATACATATATATATTTATATATATTGCGACTAACAGAATGAAATACACTCAAATACGAGCATGAGGTTAAGTATTTGATAAGTACAACGTCAATGAGGTGTGCACATGTATATAAGGCGTGTGTATCTGTATCTGTATCTGTGTGTTTGTATCTGTGTGTTGTATGTGTAAGTGCATTTGTTTCGTGTTCTCTGTGTGTGCGCGCGCGTGTGTGTGTGTGTGTGTGTGTTTTTTGGGCATACAAGCATTTAGCGATGGAAAGGTGAAAAAAAGGTGAACCCTGCTGGTAATCGTCATCTTGATTCAATTGCTTGATAGCTTGATTGCAGCAAATGTTACGTTAGCTTCCTTTCAATTCTGGTTGGGGGTTCCCCAGTTGCCCAGTGCCCGCATCTTTCGATGACCATGCCGATTTTTGTGTCGAGCTTGTGGTCGTCGTCGTCGTCGTCGTCGTCGGTTGTTCCGCTGTCGTCGTTTATCGTCTTTGCTGCTGGCACTACACAGGCAGGCGTGTTCTCTGTTCTATGCTCGTATTAAGGGGTTTAGTGCTCTCACGTGCGTGCGTGTCTGTATCTGTGTGTGTGTGTGTGTTTATAGGTGTGTAAGTACTGCTATGTAGACGGCGTGCGTGTTTACGTGTAATTAACACATTTCATTTCATTTGGCAATTTTTGTTTACCTTTTTGTTTTTGTTTCTGTTTCTGTTTTTTTTTTTTGTTTTTTTTTTTTGTTTTTGTTTTTGTCGGTGTGCTCGAAATTAATTTTTAATTATTTTACCATTCAAACTAATTGTTAAAGTTCAAAAACCACAACACTTGCAAGGGGAAAGAGGGGGCGGCCCATGACCTTTGCCACTACATGAATTGTTCAGTAAATTGCATTTACATAACAACTTCGGACACACATACATACATACGAGTACATATGTATACAATATAGTATATATGTATAGTATAGCATAAAATAATAGGCATATAACATTCTATTGCTATCACTAAAACATTAACTAATTCCACTACATAGATTGGTTATACTGTGTATATTATACTCTGTACATGAAATGTACAAGAGTATATTAGGTTTGCGGGAGCTGAAAAATGTAACAGGCAGAAGGAGGCGTGGCAGACCCCACAAAGTATATATATTCTTGATCAGCATGACGAGACGAGTCGATCTAGCCCTGTCTGTCTGTCTGTCCGTCTGTCCGTCTGTCCGTCTGTCCGTCCGTATGAACACCTGGATCTCAGAGACTATAAGAGATAGAGACACCAAATTTTGCACGAAGATGCGTTATGTGTGTATTCTATACGAGTTTGTTTTATTTTTTTGATTTTCCCCCCCACTTCCCCCCTATGGGGGTTTTCCCGATTTTCCATTCGTATAATCGCCTATATCTCGGAGACTATAAGACCTAGGAACACCAAATTTTAGTCCCAGATGCCTTATGTGAATACGCAGAAAATGTATATTTTGGAATTCCCCTCCCTCCCCCCTCTACCCCGCAAATCGTAACTCCCGTAATTCTTGGAATTTCGAACTAAAACTTTGGAAATACCCCCAGTTAGTTATTATGTGTCCGTATGCCAAATTTCATTATTATAGACCGATTTAACAAGAAGTTATAGCCATAAATATATTTGCTGATGCAGCGCTGCTGCAGCGCTGCTCAAGCGCTGCCCGCGGCTGTTGTTGATGTTGCTGTTTGGTTGACTGCGAAAATGCTTACACAGACACGAATTGATGCGCATAGGCATACATACACTCACACAGACGCAATTGCTATGTAAATGTGCAATTATACACCCTTTACGTGAGTTCGAATACCGAGAGAGGTAAAATCGATCAAATTTTTTTTTTTATTTTCTTAATTTTTTTTTATTTTCTATAATTATTGTAAACATATGTACAGAGTATTTAAAAGTCGGGACACCCGACTTTAGCTTTTTTACTTGTTTATAATTGCATTCGCAATTTAAAGCTAATTTAAAAAATTAATAATTAAAAGTGGGCATAATTGTTCCTGCAATTATACAAGTTATAGTACAGTGGGCCTATTAATGTATTCTCTTTAGTAGGTCAATGCATCCCACAACACTCAAACATTGCTATATATTTGTACAATTTTGCCAACTATTGCCGTTAGTCTATTCTTTGCATTTCTATTTACAGCTGCGACTCATGGTTATACTTTTATGGTGACCCCTAACTAACAAAAAACTGCTGACTTGGCTTTATTGTGATTTAAAGATTTTAGTGCAAAATACGAGATCTTCAATATACAAATAAATCATAATATCTGCCTTTAGTTTTGTTCCACAAAGTTAATATATTTCTCAAAATATTTATGAAATAAATATTTATTTTATTTTAATAATTTAGTTAGCTTTCCTCATTTCTCTCTCTCTAGTTCCACAATAATTGAATGCGTTTAATATCGAGCATGTAAGATTTTCAACCATTTCTTGCACTTAATTGTTGTCAGTTAGTTAGTTTTTAAATTTTGTAATTAATTTAAACAGAAAATGTCCTTAAGCTAGCGAAATCGAAAAGTAAGCCCTAAAAGTAGACTATTTTTAATTTAATTTGTCTGTTCCCATTCCAACTCTTCGTATATGTTTGTATATTGTTCTTTGAATTCATTTTTGATTACTTTTGCTATTTATTTTAGTTAACCAGCAAAATCGAAAAGTGAGCTGTAACTTTTACAGCGTATAGAAATCAGGGACTGTAGTAATTATAACCATAATAATCATTGTAATTATATAATAATTATAAAAACTACAGTGCAATGACAATTTATTCATTCTTTTATATATATATAATGATGAATTTTCAGTTATACTTTACAAGTCAACCAATTTTAAGTTTTTTTTTTAAATCATTAATCCATTGATATATATAAATTTGGTCCTTGTTCCCAACAAAAAAGGAAAAATTACATGTTTTATTTTTAATAAAAAATAAAAATTTGCTGAAAAATATGGATTATTGGCTTAGTTGTCAGACTTAACTCAAAATTAATCACCATATCATAAGAGAATGAATTAAAATTTAAATTTTTTAATTATTGTGAATATGCATAGATAGAAAGATTTTCATATAATTCTCTACTATAAGGGAAAGATTTTTTCGCTTCAAAAAAACACAATAATCATTACAAGTATTTGCGGCCCCTGATATAAATTTAATTGTGTCTGGTCACTCCATTCAAACGGTAATTGGCTTAGTAGCATTGTAGATTTTCACCAAACAGTTACTGAGAACTGGGAACATTGATTTAGTTTTTAGTTCTTCGTAACGCTGCGCACATTGCTAGAAAAAGCGTAACATATCCCCAACGCTATGGTCTAGTCCTAGTCTAGTAGATGTAGATGTTATTCTAAAATGTAATGCATGTTCCAGCAAGCATCGGTATGTTGGCGAGTGATTTAATGAATGAATGTTCCTATGGGTTTGATTAGACGTGGTACCACAAACTAATTTAGTACACACTAACAGTAATTCAAAGAAGCACAATTCTAATTAACATATGTACGAGTATGTTTGTTAGCAAATAGTAGTAGTAGTAGTAGTAGTAGTAGTAATAGTATTTACAACATTGAGTTAGGCAATTGCACTTACGAGTGAATGATTCAATGTAGTCGGTGCGGCAGCAAATGGTATTCAAATGTACTATGTTCGAGAGTATATACGAGTATATATGTATGTATATTGCGAGTATTGGTACGAGTATGTAAGCTAGAATGCATGTACGATTATATATGCTGGTATGTATACACAAGAAGCTGAGCAAGCTAGTAGTACTATGTTATGTTATATTTATTTTGTACACTATGCCTCGAATTGTTATCACATATGAGCCATTTATTGATAAATCATTAATCGATTCAATTCGAATGTTTTTGTTTCGTTTTGTTTTTCTTCTTTTTTAAGAGCGCATGGCGTCAAGAACGGTCTTCAATATCGAAATGATCGGATAAGTACCCGTAAATAATGCCTTCAAATAGCAACTGGTAGTATAAGGCAAATTCTGATTCTGATTCAGATTTGAGTATTGAATTGGAATTGATTGGAAAAATGTCGTTCTTGAGAGACCATTGCAACGTTTCTATCCACGCATGGCAAAGGTTGATGAAGTACGATTTTATAACTGATTGATTGACTGACTGATTGATTGATTGAGATGCGCGAGGCTTTTGACAAACTGCTTTCGTTTCGTTAGATGCTGGATTATGGAATGAGCGATGAATTGAAAGAGACGACTGATGATTTGAAAAAGGAAATTAATAATAAATTACCAGGAGGAAAAAAATAAAGAAAAAACGAGTGAATATGTATGTAATTGAATCAGTGAGTGGTTGAATTAGTGTATCAGTGGGTGGTGAGTTGGTGAGTTAGTCGCGCGGTGGTGAATTATGATTGATGTGCAAACTAAGCCACGGGCATATTGTTGTTGGTGATGGTCTTCAGCAAGCGATTGCCATTTTGTTGTTGTAGTTGTTGTTGTTTAAATACTGCAGCTAAGTTGATGCGTGGATTGCTTTTGTTGTTAATTTCTAGCCAAAACAAATTGAATTTGATTTGCTCTTTATACAAATACATACATACATAAAATGTATATACATATGTAAGTACAAGAAACGCGACTTCAACTATACATCAATTTTGAATTTGAAAATTTCAAAAAAAAAAAAAAAATACATAAACTTTTTGCGTTTGGTTGTTATTGTTGCTGTTTATGTTGTTGCTGTTGTTGTTTTTGTTTTTTGTAGCTGTTGTTATTGTTGTTGTTGTTATTGGTAGTATTTCTACATTGGCTTCAGTAGGCATTGTTGTACATTTTTTTTTGATTTGATAAAAAAAACTTCTATATACGAATATGTACGAGTATGCATAAAAAAATATTTTTGTTTGGTTTTTTTTTTTTGTTCAAGCTACTCTATGAATGTTGTTGTTTCCATATATGGTACATAACACTATGCATGTAGGATTTACTCACAAATATTTATGATGTATATTATAAGTATTACTTACTGAATTCTGCAAAGCATAATGGAAGGTAATTACATATTAAAATTTTACTTTAAACATCAACATTAAGAGGGGAACATTTAGTCGGAATTATAATTATATTATTATTATTATAATTATTATAATAAGATTGTTGAGAACAAAAGTGTGAAGAGTACGAAAAATGAGCGACGAAGGAATGTCTGAGTCTTCTGATTGATTGATTGATTGTCGATTGATTGTCGATTGATTGGCTGCTGGATTGACTGACTGACTTACTGACTGACTGACTGATTGACTGATTGACTGATTGAACAAACATTCAATTGAATGATATCCCTAACTGACTGATCCGATGGACGAAATGAATGCTTGAATGCATATGAGAGATACGAATAGAGTTGAATAGATGAACAAATTCGAATTCTGTGCACTGCCATTGCCATTGCACAATACATACAAACATGTGACACATAATTTTGAGTCTCTCTCTCTCTCTCTCTCTCTCTCTCACATACACACACTCACACACACGCACATACATATAAAGACACGCACACACGGGACCTTTCTATGTACAATAAATGCATGTATGTATTTATTTATTTATATGTACATTACACAAAAACACGCACTGAAGCTTATACTTATGCTGTAAACACCTAACAATTGATATCAGTCTGTTATACATAAGTAGTATGTATGTATGTACATATATATGTACATTCCTGTTCCGACATTGTCCAAGAATTTTAACAAACAGTTATGCAAACCGAACCGAACTGAGCTGAATATATACTTGTATGTACATATACATATAGTATGTATATAGCCGTATTTGCTCCCTTTCGGATATGTGCATGCTGTGTAGTTGTACTATACTTGTAGCATATATGTATATACGTATTACATATATATTGTATTCGTTACACTTTTTGCCAAATTGCTGACTACTTGTAATTTGGTAGTATACGAGTATATAAGTAGGAGGTACTGTTCGTTATGTGTTTGTGTTTCATGTTTCAAAATATATTATTATCATTATTATTATGTTTACATGCCATTATTATCCAACATATAGAGTATATAGTAGTAGTAGATGGTAAAAAAACAAATCAAAATGAAACACCCGTCATGCTCTATTCTAAGTTAGTACACCATTTACTCATGCGAACACTTTTTATAAACTAATAGTTTTTGTAAATGTTATTGCAGTTGAATCACAATTAGAGATGCAAGTAGATTTGAAAACAAAATATTTTATTTAGATTATAGATCGTGCTGTACATACAAAATGGTACTGAAAGCCGTTTATATCTTTTGAAGAATGAGAAACATTGGAGAGTATGAGGATTTCTGATGAGCCGTTAGATATATATATATATATATATGTATATATATAACTGCCTGCTATATAGTTCCTAAAACAAATGCTACAAACACTTCCAACTTCCTATAACTTAGCTTCCCGAACTATTATAAAGTTTTAAAAATATTTAATCATCAATTTTTCTACAGCATAACATTTAAGGATCTCTAATAAGTTGGTCGCACTATGTCTATCTACAAGTATATATTAAATACTAGTCTAGCTACGATCTCGATTATCGATTAAGCACTTAACATCGATAAGTCGCAGACAAACAGAATAGGATTGGAAAAACGCACTTTTAGTTAATCCGTGAATTAAATAATTATTATTTTACTAATAAATATAGATATATATATAAGAAATGGAGAAAGTGATCTCACTATATTGATCAACTTTTCTAATACGCTTTCTTATTTGTATTCTCTGCTCTTCATTAGTTCGATCTAGCTAGAATGTACATACATATGTTGAAGTGAAATTTTTTTGCAAGGAGACATCTTTGGCTGTCTGTACTGTAGAATACAGGTATTATATAATAGTTATTTCTCGAGGTGTAAAACGACGAAGAAAACAAAAGCATTCGGTTACTTGGTAGTTGGCATAGAATAGGCTAAAAGCAGACCGTTAGTGATGGTGAAGAGGTGTGAAGAGGTGGGTGAAGAAAGAAGTGATGGAATGATTCTTGCATATATGTACAATGTAATCGCTTTCTGGTTTTTGCCAATGTCGTTGATGGGGAATGGGGCAGTTGGGATGTTGGGCAACGAACCCGGCAACAAAATGTCTGTGCCAATGCTGAATTTCTGAAAAATGGGTGCTTCCAAAACAAAAGCATATACATATAAGTATATATGTATGTAGTACATATATATGTATGTTGAAAATTCGATTTGCATTTGATTGGTGCATTCCTAGCCAAATCAGAATTCTGCATAAAGAATATTGAAATAAAATGCTAGCTGTTTAATAGAAAGTCTGCTAAAACTGTTGGAATTCAAACGAAAAACAAAATGAATCGAAAGCCAGCTGTAAGCCTAAATAGACTTAACGGACAATGGACGATCATTGCTTCTAAAGAAGTTTCTAATTAGTCTTCGGAATGAAAGTTGTTGGCACAATGTTCATCTATTTGAAGATTTCCTATTGCAATAAATTTATGTTTTTTTCTTTTTTTTTTAAATAAGAATGTTAATGAATATTAATGATAACAGACAAAAAGAAAATAAGAAGAAGAAGTAGAAGAATAGATGCAAATAGGAATACTACGATACGAGCAGCAACGATGATGACATTAACGATAACAACGGCGATGAGGTGGAAGAGGGTACATGGGCAGGGGGGGCAGGGAGACGATGGTGACAGGTGAAAGGTGACGACGGCAACGTTAACAATAACGATGACGACCATCAAAACATCTGGAAAGAAGGTTCAATTTGCACTCACTCTCACCTGCACTTCCAAAGCATGGTAAGCTACTATAAGTCCTAAAAGAATCACAGTCGAAACAGATATTAAGGTTTTTAACGCTGTCGAGTAAAACGATGCCTGAAAAACAGAAAAAAAAACACGCAAATATAGTATTAGATTTCTATAATAAAGTATAGTAAGTATACTACTAAACAAGTATAACTTCAATTAAACTTCAATAAACTAATAAGAACTACAAGTATATGTTGAAAATCAATACAAACATAAGTACCAATGCACGCATGTTAATATAAGCAGATAATAATCTTATGTTATCTACAAGTTATCTGTCACTGTTGCATACGAATGTAAGCATAAAGAATATGTATAGCAAAAGTGTCAGTCTCCAATAAAACTCTAAAGCGAACAGACGCACGGCGGTCCGCGACTATTGTCTTTTACTTTACTCCTACTGAGCCCTTCCCTTTTCAGCGAATATATAATCTATTCAATAGGTTATGGGCCCAGGGCATATAGGCTCATAGGAGAAGTTCAAAGTATTGTGAAATAGTAATCGTTTGGTGACTCAAGAAATATAACATTTAAAAAATGAGTGCGCTATATCAAATAGACAAATTGGAAGAGCATAACTATGACTCATGGAGCATACAGATGCGATCTGTCTTAGTGCACGCGGAATTGTGGAGTGTGGCATCAGGTGCTGAACCTAGTAATACTGAGAGTTCAAGGCCAAAAGATGAAAAGGCATTAGCAATTATAACGCTAAGTGTAAAAGCTTCACAATTGGGCTTCATTAAAAATTGCAACACTTCGTACGAGGCATGGAAAAAGTTAAAGGACGTTCATCAGCCGAGTGGACCTGTACGGAAAGTGTCGCTGTACAAGAAATTGCTAGGCAAACGCATGTTTCAAGGCCAAAGCATTTCAAGTTACATACACGAATTTAACGAAATTCTGGATGGTTTGTGTACAGTTGGCATCGAATTAAATGATGAGTTAAAAACAATCGTGTTGTTGTCAAGCTTGCCCGAACCATACGAAAATTTTGTCGTCGCCATTGAGACGCGTGACAATTTACCGTCATTTGATGTGTTATGTATCAAGCTGATGGAAGAGGGAGAGCGCAGAGGCAATGCAGATGGAGAGAGCGAGAATGCAAGAGCATTTATAGCTACGCAGCAGATCGTCGCGCATTCCAAAGCGAATTCAAAAAGGAATTCAAAAATCGTCGTTTGCTACAACTGCGGCGAAAAAGGGCACTACAAGGCACAGTGCAAGCGTGAGAAAATTCGCGGTGAAGGGAAAAAGCAATCGACAAAGAAAGAGATGGAAAAGCAGAGCAGCTTGTTAAATGCGTTGGACGTTGGAAAGATAGAGAACAACATGTGGTGTCTGGACAGCGGAGCAACAAGCCATATGTGTTGCGATAAGACGTTATTTTCAAAATTTATTGCGCACACTGAAATGATCGGTTTAGCTGACGCTGGTTTCCTGAAGGCCGAAGGCAGAGGAGAGGTGAAGTTACAGACAGAACTTTGTACCTTGGTGTTGTCAGATGTACTGTATGTACCGAAAATGAATGGCAACTTTATGTCCGTCAGCCGGTCAGTGCAAAAGAACAATGTTATACATTTTGGGCCACATTTTGCTAAAGTTATACAAAACGGCGAGTGTATACTGAAAGCGAATAAAGTTGGGAACCTTTATATGTTTCAAGGCAAACAAAATAGGTGTTATTCCGCAACTGAATCAGATGGTACATTGTGGCATAAGCGTTATGGCCATTTAAATTTTACCAGTCTGAAGGAAGTGATCAGCAAAGAGCTAGTGCGTGGTATTGAAAAGTTTTTTTTCCCAGACAATTTGAATTGCAAAACGTGTATGCTAAGCAAAATACATGTACAGCCATTCCCAAAGGTAAGCACTAACCGTGCCGAAGAGCTGTTGGAACTGGTTCATGCTGATGTATGCGGCCCATTCGACACGAAGTCACTTGCTGGATCCAAATACTTTCTGACCTTCATCGATGACAAGTCCAGGCGTATATTTGTTTATTTTTTGCGGAAGAAAGATGAAGTGTTCAGTAAGTTCGTCGAATTTAAAAACTTGGTTGAACGGCAAACAGATAAAAAGCTCAAATGTATTCGAACCGACAATGGAGGCGAGTTTGTCAACACAACATTCAACGGTTTCCTGAAACACCATGGTATTGCAAGGCAATTGACCGTGGCTTATACTCCGCAGCAGAACGGCGTGGCGGAAAGAGCAAACCGGACATTAACGGAGATGTCCAGATGCTTATTGGTGCAGTCGGGCCTAGGCGAGTCTTTGTGGGCCGAAGCAGTCAACACAGCAGTATACATAAGAAACAGATCACCTACCAGTGCACTGAACAACCTGACTCCAATGGAAGCGTGGACAGGTAAGAAACCCTGTGTTAGCCATCTAAAAGTTTTTGGTTCCATTGCAGTTGCACTTGCAAAGGGTCCCCGTAAAGGCAAATTCAAACCCAAAGGGCATGAGTACCGTATGGTTGGGTATTCGGTAGCAGCCAAAGGCTATCGGTTATACGACCCAGAGACGAGGACGATTGTCGAAAAACGAGACATTCTATTTGATGAGCGTTGTGGTGGTCATACCAATGAAGATACCGTTACGGTAGATTTTCCTGCATGCGAGGTTCAAGAGCATGTCACTCACACGGATGGTGACAGAAGCATCGACGACGATGACAGTGAGCACAGTTCTGACGACAGCAGCTCCAACGCATATGAGAGTGCAGTCGAAAAAGAAGACTCTGACGAGGATACTGTGAAGATTGGGCCAGGCCGGCCTAAAATTGTTCGAAATGGTAAACCTGGTCGTCCAAGAAAGCAATACAATGTGCTTGGAGCATTGGTTGCTAGTGACGTAATGGTTCCGACATCCTATGATCAGGCCGTTGGTAGCACACATGCAGTATTCTGGCAAGAGGCGATGCAAAAGGAATATCAGGCACTACAATCAAACGAAACCTGGCAGATGGCTGATTTACCAAAAGATCAGCGAGCAGTTGGTTGCAAGTGGGTATACAGCCTGAAACGTGACTCTGATGGAAAAGTCGAACGTTTCAAGGCACGACTCGTTGCTAAAGGGTGCTCCCAGAAGTATGGCGTGAACTATGTAGAGACGTTCTCACCCGTTTGCAGATTGGAAACCGTGCGGTTTATTTTGGCGTTAGCAGCGGAATTGAAGCTGTACCTTCACCAGATAGATGTGTGTACCGCCTATTTGAATAGCGACCTGCATGAAACTGTTTATATGAAGCAGCCACAGGGATACACAGATCCCAATAATCCAAGTAAGGCTTTATTGCTTAAAAAGGCAATATATGGATTGAAGCAGTCGGGGCGCGAGTGGAACTCCAAGCTCGATTGTGTACTACAAGGCATAGATTTTGTAGCATGTGAAAATGAACCGTGTCTTTACAAAAGGAACGGAAGAGGTGACTTATCATTAATCCTTGTTTATGTTGATGATATAATTATAGCATGCCGATCAAAAGAGGACTTGGCCAACATCAAGTCAGCCATTACAACATCGTTTGAATGTGTTGACAAGGGAGAGCTGCATTTGTTCCTTGGCATGGAAGTGCAGCGCGACGGTGAGCTTGGCGAAATTTCGCTAAGCAATTCGCAATACATCAAAGACATATTGCGTGAACATGGATGCGAGACCTGTAGACCTACAGCGACCCCACTGGATGCTGGTTTCCAAGTGATATGTACCAGCGAGCATTGTCAAAAGGTTGACATTGCATCCTACCAGTCTTCAATTGGCGAGTTAATGTGGCTGGCGCTTACAACAAGGCCAGACATATTGCATTCCGTTGCCAAGTTAGCTCAACGGAATCAAGATCCGCATGCAGAGCACCTAGTGGGTGTAAAACATGTGCTTCGATACCTGGCGTCAACTGTGGACCTGAAGTTGCACTACAAAGAGTGTGGACAACCCCTTACCGGCTATGTGGATGCAGACTGGGGTGGCGACCGCATCGATCGCAAGTCGTATACTGGCTATGTATACTACTTGGCTGGAGGACCCATATCCTGGCGATCTGAAAAGCAACGCAGCGTGGCACTTAGCAGCACGGAGGCGGAGTATATGGCTCTTTCAACTGCGTGTAAGGAGGCCATATACCTACGGCGTCTTATAGTGGAGATTGGCTGCGGTGACTCGAGTACTCCAACTATTCTTCATGGCGATAATTTAAGTGCTCAACAATTAGCTAAGAATCCTGTACACCATGAAAGAACAAAGCATATTGATATTAGATATCATTTTGCAAGACAGGTTGTAAACGAAGAACAAATTGTTTTACAGTATACATCAACCAATGAAATGATAGCTGATATTTTAACGAAAAATCTCCCTAAAGCGAAGCATGTTCATTTTACAAAGCTGTTAAATTTGATTTGAAAATTTTTGTAAAACATGTTTGCATTGAGGAAGGGTGTTGAAAATCAATACAAACATAAGTACCAATGCACGCATGTTAATATAAGCAGATAATAATCTTATGTTATCTACAAGTTATCTGTCACTGTTGCATACGAATGTAAGCATAAAGAATATGTATAGCAAAAGTGTCAGTCTCCAATAAAACTCTAAAGCGAACAGACGCACGGCGGTCCGCGACTATTGTCTTTTACTTTACTCCTACTGAGCCCTTCCCTTTTCAGCGAATATATAATCTATTCAATAGTATATACAACAACAAATGTACTTCTTCAGCCTATGGTCAGACAAGCAAATAATTTGCACGAAATTCTGTTGATTCTTATAAGTATAGTATATCAACAAAATATTGTAGTTCAATTAAAATGAATAGAAGTTTTATACTCAAGTGTAATTTTCTGCGACAGAATTCAACTTGCTTACCTAACCTATGGTCAGATAGGCAAATTATTTGCACGGATATCTGTCACATCTGTTACAAATATATCATAAACATTATTTTAGTTAAATTAATGCAATTTTCTGCTACAGCAGTGCAGTACTTAGCAATTTAATTTTCAAAGTGTATGTTCACGGAAAGTACGATAAATTTGCATGCAAATAATTTGCATGTGTGACCGTGTCTTAACTTAACTTTTACTCTGATTTGCAGACCAATCGATTATTGAAAAGTTAATGGTGCACCTACCTTTGTGTAAACGCCGGCACTGCTCAGTTCGTTTTCTATAACCATCACGATGATCCCGAACATACCCATAACAAGCGCGTAGTCGCTGATGCGTTTGCGCTTCTCAAATAAAGCTTTTCTTTTGCCCAGGCGATAGCCCACATTGGGTTTGTGTTTGGCCGAATTTGTTGAGGGTTTTCTGGACGTATTACCGCCAGTAAGAGCACGTTCTTCCATATACCTGAAAGACCCCGATCAATATCGTTCGTTAAATGGGCGATGCACTTAATAAATGAAAAGCTAACACTATTCCGAATCCATTCAAAGAAAAGATGAGTAATCGAAAACGCTCACTAGGACTATTTACATATGTATGTATGTATTTGTTTTTTTCAAGTTCATAAATACAAATACTATACTGAACGAGTATGTGTTGTGTTGTGAATGCGGCTGGGATTGTTACTTGAAGGTGAAACTAAACCACTGGGACTAATTATAACGTACCAAATATAATGTTTGACATATTTAACTGAACTCTACCCCCGCCCCGCCATATGTATACGTATGTGTGTGTGTGTGTCTAGAAAGTGGTCGTAAAAGTTCAACCATAAGGTAGTTTGCAATGTATTTGTTTATTTTGGTTCACTCACATCTAGATGATGGTCTACGGATATGTGTCGAGTTGGTTATAAACTCTAGCTACTTGGCCATTCATTTATGTATGTATGTTTGTTTGTTTGTTTGTTTGTTTGTACAGCTGTATACATTAAGTATGTATGTGTAAATGCTAGTTGTGGCAGACATTATGTAACTGTGGAGCAAAAAGGCAGGGAAGGGGCAATACAAGCCACGAGGCTAGCATTTGGGCATTGGAAAATGCTGACACATGAAAATAAAAATGCCTGCTTGTTACTAAAACTGTTGTAGTTGTTGTTGTTGTTGTTGCTGCTGTATAAAATGCTGAATGCCGCCCATTTTCATAGAGATTTATGTGAAATCTAAATCTGGCAAAACATATTCGTTGGAGCTGAATCCCACTTTTGAATGCGTACTAGAAAAAACTGAACTGTCATCAAAACTGAGCACAGGTCGTTACTTGTACTGTACTCGTATCTGATGGTGCCTTGAAATAATGTTGGGTTAGACAAATAAATGCGCATGTAGTGCTAACTGTCATACTCGTATTTAAGGTGACAGCTAAGCTCTTAACTTATACTATATAGCCAGACTCTTAAATAACCTTTACTCTCAACTAAAATACAATTTGTTGGTCCTATCCTTCCTGTGGTAGCTATATGATATACAAGCCTGAGCAGCTGATGAAACTTGGGAATATAGTCGAGTATTATTAAATACTTCTAACCACCAGACCAGCTTTTTCTGAGTTATATTGAGAAAGAGTGAAGCGATCATTCCTATGGTAGCTATTTAAAATAGTAAGGCTATATATTATTTGTATTACACTTACTATGCATTTAAATGAGACAAATCGACGTGTTAAGTTTTGTGTCTCTAGCTATTGCGGTTTGACAGCTCTCGGTGTTCATACAGACAAACAGTCCGACATATCTATTTACGCTTCGAGCCTTGGGTATAAAGTATAACCATTAGGTGCAGCACTCAGTTAGTGCCCCGCTCGCTTATTTTAATTAATTTGCTTCATTTTTTTCCTTGAAAGAACCCAAGCAATAGGTTAATACTAGGGGTGTGTGGGTATGCCTGTCGGCTGCAAACGCATGTACATATAAGTTTATCATTGACAAATGTCACAAGTTGGCTGACATTTTCAGGCCCCCTTCCACTCCTACTCCCACTTCCATCGCTGACACTGACACTGGCATTGTGTTTGACAGCTAATTATCGACAAGGCTGAATTAGAACAGGATTTTGGCAACGCCCATCGATCAAATACTTGTACTGGCACTTTTTATACTCGTATCCCTCAACTTGATTTCAAAACACTTCATCAGATTAGTGTGCGTGTGTGTGTGTTTGTCTCACTGATTGATCAATTCTCTGCTTTCGAATGGAGTTGGAATGGAGTTGATAGCTCTTGGATTGTGTTGGTGGTACATACGCTAGGCGATGGCTCTGGGTTTGGTTTGGGGCATACATACATTTCATACCTAGGGTAGTCTGAGTGGATACCCACTAGTGCCTCGGCCGCTTCTTCGTTGCATCCAGATGAGATCTGTTCCCGGTTCGCAATGGAAGGTGTTTTCATCGAGCCAGGAATTGAAAGTGTGGATGCTGGTTTGCGGAGCTAAAAATCAGAAAATATCATAAAGTTCATCATTTGCTCTTTTAAGTGTCAATAATATAGTAAGTATACATAAATCAAAAGAGTGATGGCTCAGCATAAAAGGCGAATGCATAAAAGTTACTTGTCTCTCTCTCTCTCTCTCTCTCTCTCTCTCTCTCTCTCTCTCTCTCTCTCCTCTCTCTCTCTCTCTCTCTGTGTGTGTGTATGTGTGTGTGCTCAAGCATAAGTCTTGTGATAAAACTTCATCACAGAATCTATAAAATTCGCATACACTAAGTACACTACAATTTTCAATAAACTACTCGTATTTATCTAGCAATGGTGTGGGAGCATAGCCAAGCCGTGTTGGTGACAAGCAGTTGCATTTTTATCGAGTGACGTTTACGAGTCGCGCATAATCGACTCTTGTATGCGCTGTACCCTTACCTTTAACTAGCCCTACAACTTAAATAGATCTTATTGTACTAATCGGGAATATGGTAGCTATATGATATAGTGCAACGATTTGGATACAACTCCAGATTATGTTGAGGTTTAGTTAAAATCTTATAAATATTGCATTTTATTCGGTTATCTTAATAAACATGAAATGTCTATTACAGCTGAATAAAATAATGCAGCTGTATCTTTTTATACCCTGTACCCGTAGGGTAAAAAGGGTATATATGAGGGCAGAAGGAAGTACATCCGACCCCATAGAGTATATTCTTGATCAACATGACATGAGAAATCGATCTAGACATGTCCATCTGTCTATTCGCCTATTTGTCCATCTGGATGAACTCAAAGATATAGAAAACTATAAAAGCTGGAATAAACAAAGTTGGTATCCATATTCCATTGGGTCCGAAAAAGGACGAGTTTATTGTATTTTTTTGATTTCCCCTCCCCTCTCCCCGCTGCAGAATTTCGGCAAAACTGTCCACATTTCCAAAGCTACATAAACTAAACACGTAATCTATTTGCAAATATCTACTATTGATTTAAATTTCATCCAAACCGGTCAATTGTAAGATCGCTCTACTATAGTACAACGCCCGCAAGATGTAGCACCAAGTTTGCTTTTCCTTTTCTTTTTGCTTCTGCTAGGGGTGCATATAACTCAGTGTTCAATGTCGGGCTTGTCCGTCTATAGCTTTCTCTCTTGTTTGAAATAAACTTGTTATGCATAAGGGTAGGACAAGTCCAGATGTGAAGTTTGGTGTTCCTAGTTGTTAAATATCACAAGTTATCGATGTTCATACAGACGAACAGTCGGACAAATGGCCATGTCCCCATCAAATCGTTACGTCAAGCTGGCCATATGGGCTTATTGCTTATACAATGGAGTCACACTTTTAAGCCTACCCCCCTTTTACAGTTACAGTGTTGTTGTGCTGAGCGGACTCTAGAAATTTGAAACCATTAGCTAAGTGCACGCAACCCATTCGTATACACACATCGGAATTCTATGCTCGGTTAATGCGAGTGCGTATCGAAACACCTGCACATCAAATCATATTAAATTGAATCAGAGTTGCCTTTAACATAGCCCTTGCCTTTGGCATTGGCTTGTAATTTGATAGCCAGGCAATTGATTGACGTGCTAGCAACAACAATAACAACAACAGCAGCAGATTGGATCCCAGCTCGTGCCATCATAATTGACTCAATTGAAATGCGCCAGCAGCCCTAATCCTTTTAGCAGCCACAATATTTTGGCTTGCGATTGGTCTGTATTTCAATCTGTGGTATCATCTGCTCTGGCAGAGGACCAAATACCTTTTTGTGATGTCGTGACGTCATTGCCGTTTCTTCTGCCCTGAAATCCAATTATTTGGCTGCCCAAGTAACACAAAATAAAAACTGGAATTTAAGGCACAAGCCAGCAGCAAACCAACAGACAAACATACTCGTACATACATACATACATACATACATACATAAGCACTTATGTAAGTAAATACTCGAATGTATGTTCATATGTATATACATAGGTGGGTAGTGGTTGCGTACTTCACCGAAGGAAACACTGCTGGAAAATATACAAAAAATATTTCAAAAAAAAAAAAAAAAATGCACTGAAAATAAGAAAAGCACTCGTTTAAAAGAAAAATCACGCAAAAACAAAAACGACGAAAGCCAAACTAAAACAGACGCGTACTTAGCCTTAATGGAAACGGGCAAAAAAAAAAAAGTGAAAGCAGCTGAAAAAGAGAGAGTGTACAAACACTTACACACACACATATATATGTATATACTTATACATACTTAAACCACACACCCACATACACCGCAGGATATAAACTTGTGTGTTGTTACACTTCTTGCTCCTCATATTTAAATGAAAACTAAAGATAAGTAATCTCTACATGGGCGCGGTTTGCTTAAGCACGATTTTCTACCACACATACACACGCACTCACATACACTGGCACACACACACACACACACACACACACACACACACACACACACACACACACACACACACACACACACACACACACACACACACACACACACACACTCACATATATAGGCACCCACAAGTTGTGTACTGAAATGAATACTGACGTGCTAGGCGGCCTAAAATCACACTTAGTTCCACAAATTTTCCACAAATTTACCATAATTTACAAATATATGTACATATATACTCAAGTGTGTGTATGTATTGGTATTCGAGAATTATGCATGCATTTCCTGAATAGCGAATTTGTTAAATTCAAATATTTGTTTACGAAAACCCCGCCGAATACACGTACGTGCTTATGTGCTCAAGATCTAGCTCTTTATAGTCTCGTCTTTAATATACGCACAAACATATTTATTTATACACTTGGCGAAAAATCAAGTGGCTTTACAAGTAATTAATCCCCAAGCATCTCCTAAGCTTGTTATACTTGTATGATGCTATGCGACAGATTTTTCAAAATTCCGATGCACGTCTAGAATAAATCGGATATTTTAAGCTAATTGGAACAACATTAGATTCCCTTATATTTGAGAAATTTGTTCGGAACTTTCTTGATTTAGAAGCATGGCTAGATATAGTCTCATATTTTCAGCTCCTCAAAAATTTGTATTCAATAATTGTTCTACAAATTATATTGTTGTAAATATTCTCAGCCTTCATTTGCTGTGAGTTTAGGTTTATTTTTAAATATTTAGTCATGGAAGACTACAAAATTTGACTGCTATTTCCATAACGAAAGTTGGGATCTGTTCGGACGTCATGGAGAGTTTGAAGTCGAAATTCTATGCTGACTTGAATTTGTAGGAATGGTCTGAGTTTCAAGAAGTATATTAAGAAATCGTTGTTGCTGGAAACTTCCGGAAACCGCTCTACCGATTGTTGCGAAATATATGGTTATAAAGATAATAATGGACCAGCAAGCGGATCCGCGGATATATTAGAAGAAACATCAATTACTAGGTCCAAGTCTGAGAAACGGCTTACAACATATACTGTGAGTCGACTCGTCCACACTCCAATGATGAGAAGGGCGCTTTAGAAAGAAAATAGTAACATAATTTTAAAATATCGTAATCAAATTTTTGGACAATTGACACCCAAAATGAAAACATTTCTGACATTAATGATGTTCCCTGTTTACTCAACTGCACTTTTAATTGTGTTTCAATTTCATTCAATGGGTTTTCACTTAGATATTTAATTGCAAAGTGTCGTCAAAATGCTGGCAAAACAAATTCCCCAAAAACAACATTTGTGACTGAATCTTCTCTTTAAGCTTGCAATCTACACTGCAATAAAAGGACATTCAGAAAACATTACAACAATAAATGATTTACATATGTATCGGTGCTTTCCTAAATATATTGATTTTAATGTTGGTTATCGTACAAATGGAGAAAACCAAGAGAATTGAATAAGAATTACGATTAAAGCTATAACTAACAGCGTTACATGTTAACAGCATTTGTAGAGATCTCATATAATTTAGCCAAACCACGCACAGAAAAAAAAATTAACAGTTTTTTTTTTTTTTTTTTTTTTTTAAACGTGTATACGTTTAAAGTCTCTTCTCTGATCATTGGTATACTCGTAATGGAAGTAAAATAATTATTAAGATAAGCAGAAGCGTCTGAATTTGAAACGGGAATGCATATCTGAAAGACGATAATTAGTAGCGCAGATTTCCCCCAGTGCATATACATACATATCTATATAGATGTATGTACTATTTCTGTCTCTCTGTACATGTGCGCGGAAAATGCTGTCTTTGAATTGAAGCCGTAATCTTTTTGGCTTTAGTTTGCCGCTTAGAAAGCTCAGAGAATGTACGAATCTTGTTTACGTTAAGTAGATTTCACTTAATGGTCTTATTGCTGTTTCTACACACACACACACATACATACTTGTATGTATATATACTTAGTATGCATGTGTTTATTTATGTTTGTAGTATAGCATTTGTTGTTGTTTGTATTTTGTATTTTGAATGCCATAACTCGGGCACATGGTGGATCAACATGAGAACAGATGACGCCTTAAGAACCAACCTTGCCTGATTGTAAGCTCCCTCGTGTGTGGATCTTAAATCACGCATATACTATACATATGTACATACAAGTATATATATACATATATATATATATATATATATATACATATACATACATATATACATACATATGTATACATATAAGTACAAGCTGCCCAGATAAGATAATATTATGACTGCGATTTGTTAACGCCCATCATATTTTTCAAGGGCCTGCGCTAGAATTCACAAAGGACCGCCAGACGGAGCGACGGAGCGACGGACTTGTTGTGGAAACAGCTGCTCGCGCTCATCAAAATCAGGCCTTGAAATGGTCAAAAGAAAAGCGCTGGCTGTCGACAAATCAAGCGCTGTTTTGTTGTTATTGCTATTGCTATTGCTATTGTTGTTGTTGTTGTCAGTTGATGTTGATTGTATATTTTGCGTTGCGTGCCCTTCATACAATTGGTACATTAAGACACACACACACACCAACACACCCGTACACCCGCACACATTCATAAACATGTCCGCACGCAAAGGCGCGTGGCGTCGAAGTCGACGGCGGCGACAGGAGTCTACTCCTTCAAAAAAAAAAAACAAAAAAAAGGGCGGCACTACATACGCAAAAATTACCAAAAAGCACAGACACGCATGTCTCCATATATGTATGTACTTGCATACATACACGTATATAGTATAAGTACGTACGTGTGTGTGTGTTCCTCTAACATAAAACAAAACAAATGGCGTATTCTAGGACATCTAATGTCAATGATGTTAATTGGATTTCTTAATTAAGTTGAAAAGCAACAACAACAGCAACCCATCCACTGAAACAGTGTAGAAACATCATTAATATCGAGCCCTGTCGATTCGAAAGGCAAAGGCAAAGCAAGCCTATGCTGTCAGTGTAGAGTTTACATTCCAGTCCTGACCCGCCAATAAAATACTTACAATTATTTGTAATTATAAGAAGTTGTAACAATTTCAGATCACAAGAACGATTTTAAGAATCTCAACAAATTTCATTTCAATCTTTAAATTTTACATTCAAGACTGTTTCTTAATTTTGCTATTCCCAACTAATTGTGGGGAATAGAAAATAGAAATAGAAAAAAAAATAGAAAATATAAATAGAAAATAATAGAAATAGAATAGAGAATTTCATTTCATATTCAAAAAATTATTCATTTAATTGGCTTTGCAAGTGAAATGTTAGCTTTTGGGAATTGAACATAATTAATGATTGATTCGTTCAAATTTGGAAATAACGTCGAATTGGATAGAGTTTTTATAGCAAGGGATATGGAATATTCCAATCTGAAGCTAGAAGTTAAAGATTTTAAGAATCTGAAAATTCTGAACTTTCATTTCAATCTTAACTTGATAGTTCTAGTAGAAATCAGTTTAAATTTTGCATTCAAGTCTATTCCCATTTTGCATTCATTTTCATGCGGAATAGAAATTTGTAATCGTTTCTACTTGTATGTATATTCAAAAAGTGATGCAGACCTTTGCAAAGGCTAAAAGGATCCAGATTTTTCAAAACAATTAGATAAGCATAAGCCACCACTTAGGTTAGGCTATTTATGTTTGTTAGCATGTATTGTTAAGGTGCTAAACCTTTATGGAAGATTTTATGAAACATAGGGAAAAAAACGATGATGGTTCTTTGGTTTAACTTATTAATTATGAAGTTTATTTATTAACAAATTTATTTTCCAACTAATAAAATAAAATATGCAAACAGTAAAGTAAAAAAAAAAAAAAAAAAAAAAAAAATGGGCTTAGTAAGTATATCAACAATTTATGTGGAATAATCGCTTTTGGACATTAATTGATCAAATTTTTAATAGACTTTTTATGGAAATGGATATGGAACATTCCAACCTGAAGCTAGAAGTTTAAGTTATTTAGAATGTTGCTAATAAGTTAAGCCTATGCATGGAGTTTCAAAAGGGAACATTTGGGGAAACATTTTCACTTTACTATAATTATGTTGCTTTAAAGGCTGCAATTTTTTCAAATGCAAGTAGTATAGAAATAGCCAATAAATAAAAAAAATAAATAGCTAGAAGTTTAAATTATTTAGAATGTTGCCAATTAGCTAAGCCAATGCATGGAGTTTCAAAAGGGATAATTTGGGGAAACATTTTAACTTTAATTATGTTGCTTTAAAGGGTGCAATTTTTTCAAATGCTAGTATAGAAATTGTAGTTTTTAATCTCCAAATAATTGGGATGTGCTTTGATGGCAAAGCAATTTTAAATATTTATTGCATTATTTCCGGCTCTCCTCTTCTTTGCACCAACTTAATGAAGTGCATATTTAATGAAGCGAAAAGTGTGGTGGGTTGTTGTTTTTTTTTTGTTGGTTTTTTTTTTTTTTGATTATTTTAACCATCACGGGAAATCTGTTGGCCTTTTAAATGCCAATCGTGTTAGTTTGTTGCCTTAATTTGTGTGAAGTGTGTGTGGCACGCTTGTAGCTCCATTTTTTGTTCTCCCTTTTTGTTTTTGGAATAATACTTGAAGTAGTTGGCGTTCCTTTGTTCTCGCCGACATTTGCACAATATTAACATAGACGTTTCGTTTTCGAGCATTTCATGGGCACCGAGCAACAGAGCACTCCCCCCACTGCGCCGCGTCCACTATGAGCTGCAGCTCCATACACTTAATTTTGGCAACACGCACACTGGCACGCACACCACAGGTATTATTATACTCGTACACCTTGGCCAGAGGAGTCGGGACAAACACACACACACACACATAGAGAGAGAGAGAGGGAGAGTGTCGAGCACATGCTTGAACGTACTCGAAGGAAATTGGTGGAAATTATCGAGTTTCCTATACAAAACGCGTCTGACACGCAAAACGAGCCTGATGCCTATTCTCTAACGACGACGATTAGGCCAACAACGTGAACATTACCCACATCCTCCCGAACTCGAATAGTTGAGGGAGTTGTTTATGGTTGGGATTGGGGTTGGAGTTGGGTTCGAGGGTGGGATTGCTGTTGCTGTTGCTGTTGCTGGTGTTGGGGCTGGCTCTGGGGGATTGGAGGATTTGGGTTTGTGAAGTGTGAGTCAAAAAAAGCTAACCAAGCGATGAACCCAACCCCAAAATCTGGAGGCCAGCACACCCACCCCAAAACCCATAACCAAATGAGTCTGTTGAGCACATGATTTTCTTTTTGGTTTCATTTTCGTTTGTTGCCTAATAAATTAAGCGTAATTTACGTTTTTTCCCTCCCATTCTTCCTCTCTTAGATTGTTGCTTTTGCTGTTGTTGCTAGCTGGATGGCTGGTTGGTTGGTTGGTTGGTTGGACGCGTCTATGGAGTTTTCTTTTAATGTCTGCTTAAAACTAGACTCTTTTAAATGAGCCCCCAAATGCATTGCTCGAGAATATAGTAAGTGCGAGTATCAGAAATGAACTAATTAAAATCAAGGCTGCTCACTCAATCGAAAGTTTCCACTCCATCCATTGGGAGACTGCACAGATTCCTTTAATAATGCTGCCCACAATTAAATTACAGTTATCGCTGTTAATTAATAACCGCAGTGTAAGCATAAAAAGGTGGCGCAATCAAGTGTGAAACTCTGATTCTCCTTTAAGTATATTAAATTAATTAAAACAAAATCTTGATGCGGTCACAATTTTCACAAAACTCCTATACTTGTACAACCTATATAAGCAGTATATCTTTGCATATAATAATAATTACTGCATATTTTTAAATGAAAAACTAAATCAGTTTTGAATAAAATAAACATACATACGAGTGTCTATGACGTAGAAAATGTAGAACGAAGTACGTGTTCTGAAGTAAGGCATTTTTAGATAGTATGCGACAAGTTGGTTAGAATGGTACATCCCTACCCGACTTCCATTCAAAATTTCTAATATATGCTGGACGGAGTTATTGCATCTGGTTGTTTTTTTTGTGTTATCAGATTTTAATTTCGCTTAACATTTTCCAACACGTTTCAATTGATGAGAAGTTTGTGGTGAAAATTGTATGTATATACGTATCTCGTGGCAGGGTCCACGAATGGTATACGCAATTCATTAATGGTCTTGATGACTTGCATATTGACGAACATGTCGATAATCTAAAATTGTTAATTATCGAAGACGCACTGAAAAAAGTGCGTGAACTTATTAAAAATCCACCAATATCTTTACAAGTATTACATTTTATTTCAATAAACTACGTATTTCGACAGCAATACAAAGCTTGTTTTTATTTAGTTCTGATAGCAATTTGGAGTTCGTCTGATAAATATTTAAAAGGCTCTTAGAAAAGAACCTTCTTCTCTGATCCACAATGTCACATTTTAAAAACATTATTAGAATCTGTTTTTTGAATCTGAATCCCCAGTTTCCGCTAGAAACGAACCACTTATCGATTTGCTAATCGACAACAATTGCAGCGATTGCAATCGAAAAATCGACTTTTGGGTAGTGCAGGAACTAAAATTATTATTGAATAAAACAAAATGGAGCAATTTTAAGAAAGTCTGAAATACTAGCTGGCTAACTAAATGAGTAAATGGATCGGTAAAATATGCTGAAACATCGCCAAACAAATGTTGGCTAGTAGATTAAATTTATGTTTAATCTATTACCAGTTAACACCTCAAGCACTAACACATATTCTAATTTATCAACACCCAGTCTTCTTTCCTTCTTCCTTACTTATTTCCTAGACAGAGGACCAACGGGCGACTAGCTGGCTAATTAGCCAACTAAACTGCTAACTGGAGCGATCAAATATGTTTAATATCCCAAGTGGTATTAAAAACATTGACACATGTTCTAATTTTCAACACTCAATAAATTGAAGAGTCGCCCTTAAACAGCTGATCGATCAGCACGCTCCACATTTACCGTTAAAGTGCCGTTACAACGCCATACTGTTTAATTGATGAGTCATCTCAAATTCTTCTTGGAATTCTTGCAAAATTCGAATTCGTGTTTTTGACGGAGGTTAGGAATAATACGAGTACATAGTGCCTATATATGGCTAGTAGCTAGTACGAGTACGTGCCTATTAGTTATGGATTAGCGTTGAGAATGCAATGGATTTATTTGAGCATACGCACACACACACACACACGATTATGCACAAATACAGAAAAAGCCTTAAAAATATACAACAATAGGTGTAAATATTAGTAGTGGATGATGCTATCAGTGGACCGCTGGAAGTCCGTGCTGGAGACGGCGCATCAGACGACGTTCCCGCAGCCAAGGCAGAAAGAGGTTTCGATGTGGCAGCGGTGGCGGCGGCTGGGTGGGGATGGGCGGGGCCGGTGTGGTCTCAGCTACTTTTTCGCTTTGACGGCGGGGCTTTTTGGGGCGTTCGTTGCGTCCGATGGCCTTGGGAATAACGTCGTTCATTATGTTTAGACTGAACATGTCGCCGCTCCGACTATCCGAGGACGTCAAACTGTTGACGGTGTTCTGAAAAACGCGTGGTAGATTCTCCACTACTTGCAGAGCATCCCGCAGTGGGCGTATCTCACGCGTTTCCGGCTCCGGCGTCTCGGCCGACACATTTGGTTTCGCAACAACTCTGCGTCCGGTGCTCGGCTTCTTGGCTGCCTTGCTGGAGCGGTCTTGTGACTGGCCGCGCCGCTGAAGCGGTGCTGGACGCGTCAGTCGAGGCATACTGTGTTCCAGAAACCAGGGCTCTCGATGGGACGTCATATCGGCGCTGCTCTGACGCTTCACTTGAGCGGCCTTCTCTTCACGCTGTTTGGCTGCTCGGGCGCCCACAGGCGCCGGGCGTACCAGAGTGCTGGCAAAATCGTTGAACCACTCCAGATGATCCACGGAGCGCTTGTGACGGGCCAGATCTAGCTCCGATTTCTTAGCTGACGCAACCGCTTCCAAGGCATTGGCCGCATATGCCGCACGCTTGCTATTAGAGGCGGACTGCCCCAGCAGGGAGGGCTTGTAGATGGTGATGGTGGAGCGGCGCTTGCGTGCTTTGTTGTCGGTGGCATTGGCATCGAACTGGAGGGCGTTGCGCACAAAGCAGTTGCTGCTGGGCCCCTGGATCAGAATTTGGTAGGGTATCTCCAGGGCTTTGGCATTCGTCTGCATTGTGCGAATGCATTCGGTATCTGAGTTCTCATTGTTGCACTCGCAAATGCACTCCTCACCACAATAGAAGCCGATGCAGCCGCAATGTTCGCACAGTGCTTTGCAATTCCTTTCGTGATTGTGCTCCACCAGCGGATTGGAGAAGGGTGTATTCTCTGTTGTTGTCGTTGTTGTTGCTGTTGTTGCTGTTGTTGCTAGTGGTGGTGCAATTGTGGTTGCGTTCAGTGGCGCGCCAGTGGCCAGTTTAATGACGGCCAGCCACACGAGCAGCAGTGCTATCGTGTAGAAGCAGAGACTGGGCCTATCCTTATCCAACGTCATGGCAATCGATCTGTGTGTGGGGTCTGTGCGAGTCTGTGACTCTGAATGGGCATTGGGTACGCGTTGCTGGCTTTATACGTCGCTGATCGTCGCTGGAAACTGTAGACGTTATTTTCTAGCTTTTTTCGATGTCAACGCTTCGTGACTGTCTGCTGTTCAACTTCAATTCGTTTGGCGAGCTTCTGCTTCTGCTTCTGATTTTCACTTTTTATTTTGTATTATTATTATTATTATTGTTTCTCTTTTTTGTGCGCTCGCTTTTTCGCCCGAATTTTCGCTGACGCCGTGTGATCTTGAAACATTTTTAATTGGGTTCTTTATGCAAACGAAAACCACATTGTACATATAATTGTATTTGTTTATACATACATACTTATACTTATAGTATGTTTGTTGCGCATTCAATGAGCTCATTTCATTTTGCGTGCTGCGGCTGAAAAATGTCGAGGCGAAATTCTTGCACTTGAACTCTGCACAATTTTTACGCAAATTTATTAAAATGCATTCCAAGACCTTATTTCAAAAAAATAAAAAACAACATATAACTATTCCGTTCTTGCCACCACCACCAACGCTAGCTGTCATCATTAGCTCTTGAGTTCCGTCATTGCTGCGTCACCATTTGGCTCTTTCAGCTGCGGAGTCAGGTGCCGACTGCACACGGAATTGCAGACTCATTGAGTGGAAATATTTCGTGAATACATATTAGAGCACTGCACGTGTCGAAAAAGAACACCCAACCACATTTTTCCTCCACTTGCGTGTCGATTTTTTTACCCACGAACGTGCTCAAATTTCAGCTACACGTCTCCAGCAATAAACCTATACAACTATGTAATGTTTTAGATTAATTTAAAAGGGAATTCTAAGCATCACAATATACAAGAAACTATGTGAAGGGAAATGTTCTTTTTGCAAAATACAATATTTTGCCCCACTTGCGGATCGAATTTTGCCACGAACGTGCTCTAATTTCAGCAATAGACTATACACCTGTTAAAGTTTTAAATTGATTTAAAAGGGAATTCTAAGCATCACAATATCATAGATGAAGCACGTTGTCAGAGGAAAGTTTTCAAGTGTTGTTTTCTGAACATGTTTTCCCAACTTGCGTGTCAAATTTTGCCCCGAAGGTGCTCAAATTTCCGCTCTACATCTCCATTAATATACCAATAAAACTTTAAAATATATAAAATATGAAACTATGTGAAGGGAAATGTTGTGTTTGCAAAATACAATATTTTGCCCCACTTGCGGATCGAATTGTGGCACAAATGTGCTCAAATTTCAACTCTACATCTTCAGCAAAAGACCCAGCTAACAGACTCAAGAGGTATATCTAATCATTACAATATCTTTGAAGAATCATTCTGTGAGAGGAAAGTTGTGAAATGTTGTTTCTGCACAATGGACAATACTTAAAATACAACATTTGCGTGTTGAATTTTGTTTTACTAAGGGTTCTATATATCCAGTGCTATGGAATGTAGAAGTGAATAAATGAAACAATCAAGCTGCTTGAACAGTTTTAGGAAGGACATTTAACAGCTCATTATCTGAAATGAATAGCAGCATTTGCCTACACTTGCGTGTCGAATTTTCTAAAATTTCACCACCACATCACCAGCATTGTATAGAATATGAATGAATGAATGAACCAATCAAGCTGACTTATGCACACACATAAAGTTTATATCCATACACACACATATACAAATAGTATGTATGTATGTAAGTATATATAACATTTTTGGAGTGACACCCATTGTAGAATAATGCAAAGGCCGCTTTGAATTAGTAAATTAGTTCACCCTCAGTGAACATTTCGGTCAATTTGGTAGCTCACAGGCTATAATAAGTAGGACGTACTTTTATTAAGATGTACAATCAGCAATAACAACAACAACAAGAGCAGCAGCAACAACAAAAGAACAAATGGGGAAGAAAATGAGAAGCACATCTTATCAGCCTGAGCGATCTGCTCAATGATAAGCTAAAAATACTTTTTACAACAACAAAAACAAATAGAGTACAAGCCATTGAAAAAAGTGCGCATTCATTGTGCAGAATATTAGACAAGACTTTTGAAACTAGGTAGTATGTACATATATACAACCCTTCAGCCAAGTCAAATAGAACGTCCAAGTCTAAGGCCAAGACGAAGACGAAAGCGGAGGGCTTAGAACAACTACACTAAAACAACATGCAGGTTGTTGTGATCGAAAATCAATATCTAACCCTATTCGATGCGGACGGACTGTATGTCTGTCTATGTAGATATATAATATATATACGACTTGGCACAAAGGCCTGGGCGATGGGTGGATGGGATGGGCGCTTGCAGCAAAGCTCTGCCGGCCCCCTTTCGACCAAGTCTAGTGCATCAAGACACACAGACACAGGTCTATAGTATACCCAAACATGTAAGTATATATGGATATATAAGTATGTGTGTAATGAGCTTAAGCAAAGGGCTGCTTGCCTTTTGCCTTGGCAAGCAATTCACATTATTCGTGTTAATTATTATAAAGGCAATAACTCCTTGAACTCCTTGCATTATAAGCCAAAGCCTCTTCTTGTGTGTGTGTCTCTTTCTCTCTCTCTCTCTCTCTCTCTCTCTCTGTGTGTGTGTGTGTGTGTGTGTGTAGGTATTCAAAAAGCCAAACAGACAGCACACAAATATATCAAGAATCATGTCAATGCCAACATCGACAATTCTGAAGCTACCAGAAATAAATAAATAAACAATTGGCACAGGCGACCGCAACAAATAATGGGTATCTGCTGGTCTGGATAGGGGTAGGGGTACAGGTACAGGGGGTATGGCCATTGCTCATTGTTCACCATTATGTCGTGTCCGATTCATTGTTAATTAATTTTCTTGCAATATATTATAGTCAATATTGGGCCATAGAGTGCAAGTACTCGTATATACGAGTACACGCGCCATTAACAATAATTAAGTGTAAAACAAGAGAGAGCGCTACAGTCGAGCAAGCCCGACAGTGAAATACCCTGTACCCAGACAAATTTCCGGCACTGAATTATATGCGCCCATAGCAGAAGCAAAAAGAAGAAGAAGTTGTACTGGAGTCAAATTGTTTCCCTAATAACTTTTCTTAGAACTAACCGACTTAGATGAAATTTGAAATAATTGTTGAAAATCAATACAAACATAAGTACCAATGCACGCATGTTAATATAAGCAGATAATAATCTTATGTTATCTACAAGTTATCTGTCACTGTTGCATACGAATGTAAGCATAAAGAATATGTATAGCAAAAGTGTCAGTCTCCAATAAAACTCTAAAGCGAACAGACGCACGGCGGTCCGCGACTATTGTCTTTTACTTTACTCCTACTGAGCCCTTCCCTTTTCAGCGAATATATAATCTATTCAATAGGTTATGGGCCCAGGGCATATAGGCTCATAGGAGAAGTTCAAAGTATTGTGAAATAGTAATCGTTTGGTGACTCAAGAAATATAACATTTAAAAAATGAGTGCGCTATATCAAATAGACAAATTGGAAGAGCATAACTATGACTCATGGAGCATACAGATGCGATCTGTCTTAGTGCACGCGGAATTGTGGAGTGTGGCATCAGGTGCTGAACCTAGTAATACTGAGAGTTCAAGGCCAAAAGATGAAAAGGCATTAGCAATTATAACGCTAAGTGTAAAAGCTTCACAATTGGGCTTCATTAAAAATTGCAACACTTCGTACGAGGCATGGAAAAAGTTAAAGGACGTTCATCAGCCGAGTGGACCTGTACGGAAAGTGTCGCTGTACAAGAAATTGCTAGGCAAACGCATGTTTCAAGGCCAAAGCATTTCAAGTTACATACACGAATTTAACGAAATTCTGGATGGTTTGTGTACAGTTGGCATCGAATTAAATGATGAGTTAAAAACAATCGTGTTGTTGTCAAGCTTGCCCGAACCATACGAAAATTTTGTCGTCGCCATTGAGACGCGTGACAATTTACCGTCATTTGATGTGTTATGTATCAAGCTGATGGAAGAGGGAGAGCGCAGAGGCAATGCAGATGGAGAGAGCGAGAATGCAAGAGCATTTATAGCTACGCAGCAGATCGTCGCGCATTCCAAAGCGAATTCAAAAAGGAATTCAAAAATCGTCGTTTGCTACAACTGCGGCGAAAAAGGGCACTACAAGGCACAGTGCAAGCGTGAGAAAATTCGCGGTGAAGGGAAAAAGCAATCGACAAAGAAAGAGATGGAAAAGCAGAGCAGCTTGTTAAATGCGTTGGACGTTGGAAAGATAGAGAACAACATGTGGTGTCTGGACAGCGGAGCAACAAGCCATATGTGTTGCGATAAGACGTTATTTTCAAAATTTATTGCGCACACTGAAATGATCGGTTTAGCTGACGCTGGTTTCCTGAAGGCCGAAGGCAGAGGAGAGGTGAAGTTACAGACAGAACTTTGTACCTTGGTGTTGTCAGATGTACTGTATGTACCGAAAATGAATGGCAACTTTATGTCCGTCAGCCGGTCAGTGCAAAAGAACAATGTTATACATTTTGGGCCACATTTTGCTAAAGTTATACAAAACGGCGAGTGTATACTGAAAGCGAATAAAGTTGGGAACCTTTATATGTTTCAAGGCAAACAAAATAGGTGTTATTCCGCAACTGAATCAGATGGTACATTGTGGCATAAGCGTTATGGCCATTTAAATTTTACCAGTCTGAAGGAAGTGATCAGCAAAGAGCTAGTGCGTGGTATTGGAAAGGTTTTTTTCCCAGACAACTTGAATTGCAAAACGTGTATGCTAAGCAAAATACATGTACAGCCATTCCCAAAGGTAAGCACTAACCGTGCCGAAGAGCTGTTGGAACTGGTTCATGCTGATGTATGCGGCCCATTCGACACGAAGTCACTTGCTGGATCCAAATACTTTCTGACCTTCATCGATGACAAGTCCAGGCGTATATTTGTTTATTTTTTGCGGAAGAAAGATGAAGTGTTCAGTAAGTTCGTCGAATTTAAAAACTTGGTTGAACGGCAAACAGATAAAAAGCTCAAATGTATTCGAACCGACAATGGAGGCGAGTTTGTCAACACAACATTCAACGGTTTCCTGAAACACCATGGTATTGCAAGGCAATTGACCGTGGC